GTAAACAATTAGCTTATACTCTTGGATTTGATTCTCAAACAGTTTACTCTGGCCATGTTGCAAAGTATATGCCTGACATTTCAGGAGGAGTCCGACAATTATTAGTGTACGCACCAAAATTAGTTGAGAATAGCATTATAGGAAACGTAACCGCTCCTCTTCTAAGAGTTGTAAATGTCAGTGGTAAACCTGGAGATAGCGTATCAGAAGTATATATGACTGAACATCATCACCGTTTACAAGGTAAAAGACATCCTGATATAACTATAGAAATTAGAACTTTGACAGGGAAACTCGTAAAATTCCATTGGGGTAATTGTATTATAACATTACATTTTCAACGGTCGCTATTTTGAATGACCCACGTAGCTGTTGATTTGGATAGTATTGACTGGGAACCCTTCCTAAATTCCCAAGAAGGAGGAGGGTTGGCAATTAAGGACAGTTCTCCTTACTTTCAAGGAACACGATACCAACGAGGCTTTGGCTTGTTTGGTACTGTTGGACGTTTTCTATTGCCTATTGTCAAGAATCTAGCGACTACTGCTGGACAAGAAGCAGTAGCTGCGGGAAGAAACGTACTCGAAGATGTTGCACAAGGTAGATCTATTAAGGAAGCACTGCAACAACACGGTAGTGAAGGTTTACAAAAGGTAGGCAAAAAGCTGCAGCAGTGCGGGAAAGGCAAGCAAACAACCAAAAAACGTCGTTATAAAGACCAATTAAGTAGTAGTATATAAGTGTGTTACCTAGAATTTTATCGCAACAATGACTACAATAAAGAAAATAGATAAGGATAGTGAAGAAGGAGTTGATAATAGAATTACATTCTTTTCTGTTCCTGCTACAAATGTAGGAATTCAGCGTTCAGCATACAAGGAATTACTTCCTCTTAATGCTCTCAATCAGTCTGCTGGACCTTTTATTTTTCGTTACTTTGGTGACTCTCTCTATCTTGATTTAAGCAAGACTTATTTCCACTTGAATTTATCACTTGAAAGAAAAAACGACGAAACTGGTGAGTGGGTTCCAATTACAGACGGTTACGGCGATTTCAAGGGGGATCGGTTTATTAGTGTTGCTCAATATCTAGGACTTACATGGATTCGTCGTCTGACTCTTTCTATTAACGGTACTCAATGTTTTGACTCAGGCATCCACTATGCATACAGATGTATAATTCTTCATGAACTTGGTGCGGATCGTGAAGTAAGTAGGGGTCTGTATGAGGCTTCACTTTATTACAAAGATGCGTTAGATAAAGATGATTTTGAAGGCGCAGGATTTAAATCTCGTCTTTCACGTTTTTCTAAAGGTAAAGTTTGTCGAATGATTTCTCATTTAGATTATGATTTCGCGCGGCAGAATCAGCTATTAGTTCCACACAGTGACGTTATATGGACCATCTATAGAAATTCTGACGAGTTTCTTATTCATGCGCCCAAGTATAGAATAATACCACCGAATGCGGCAGGTGCAGAATTTGTAAATAACACTCATACTTACCGTTTACGGCTTCATGATATGAGAATTTATGTGAAGCAAGTTGACTTAAGTATGTCGCTGAATAATGCAATTGCTAGACATTTGGAACAAACTCCCGCGAAATATGCTTATAAAAAGATTGAAATTCGCAGTGTTTTTCTTGGAAAAGGACGCCAGGAAATTAGTCACGCTTCATTTACCAGTACATGTCCAAGACGCTTGATAATTTGTTTCGTAAATTCTTCTGCATTTACTGGGGTCCCTACTCTTTCTCCCTTCACTTTTGAAAATGCTAATGTTCGTTCAGTTTCAGCAGAATTTGGAGGCTTCCAGTTCCCTTCCATTCCTTATGATTTAGACTTTGCCAATAATAATTTTGTTCGCGCCTACGTTGATATGTATTCAGGTATGGATCTCGATGCGTGGCCAAACTCTGAGCAAAGAACTCTTAGTATCGGGATGAAAGAATTTTCAAAATCTTCATGCTTCTTTGTTATACCTATGACATCCACCCTTGAGGATACAAATGGTTTAGAGCTCATAAGACAAGGCACAACGACTGTTAGGTGTTTTTTCAACGAGCCTGTAAAAGAGGAGGGCTATGAAATGATTATCATGGGTGAGTTTGACTCAATTCTGTCCATAAATGCTGATCGTGTTTTAAGCACTGATGGATCAGTATGAATACGCTGCAAATTCAAACTATTATGCAAAAATATGAACCGCTAAAACATAAATTTATTGGTGTGTTTTCTTCAAATAATATACCTCCCTCTGTTAAAAAAAAGAATTTTTGCTTTATTGCAAATACAATGCGTAAAGGAACTAGAGGAGAACATTGGATTGCCTGTTATTCTGATAAAGCGGACACTATAGAATACTTTGATTCGTTTGCCGAAGAACCTAATTGTGAGATGCGCCAATCATTACTTTCAAACTATTCAAATGTTAAGCAAAATCGTTTCGTTTTACAATATCCTTTCTCTGACACATGCGGTCATTATTGTATCTGCTTTTTAGTATTGCGTTCACTTTATGGAACCTTTTCCGAAGTTCTACAGAAATTACACTCTATACCCCCTGAAGGACGTGATATCGCTCTAAGAAATTTTGTTCAAATATTAGCGCTTGGTATATAAGAGACCGGTAGCATTGTATCAGCTATTCTATTCTATGATGGTTATTTCCGAATTAATTCTTCCTTTCCCCCGTAATCCTTATGAAAATAATACAATCTTTATAGATAGCGAAATCATTATGCCTCCTCAACAAAATTTTATATTAGGGTTTGCTTATGTCCTGTATATACTATTTATTTTTCTTTTACTATTCTTCTATCAGGCTCGAAATGGTTTCTTTAATCGCACTAATATAAATGAAGCTGTTCGTCTTTCAAGGGTATAAAAGGCGAAAATTTTACTAACAAAATATAAACATGCGAACCTCTTGTATAACCTCAACTTCTGCTTTTACTCAATGGAGGGAAAAACGAAACGATATCGATTCCAAGCCGCCCACGCCTTGCCTTAAAAAAACATCCCTTGTTAGTCTGCTTTGTCAGTTTAATGGAGGATGCACTCCTGAAACTCTGCACTGTGCTATGCGTAAAAGAACAGAAGAAAATCTAAAATATATTCAACAACTATCTGGAATGACTGAAGATGTTATTTCAGCGGGAATTGGACAAAAACTTTTGTTGGATGGATACGCTCCAATGAAAAATAAAGGACTTGTAACAAACCATTTACATAAATTTCAGATGGAATTGTATCCTTGTAAGCTTACAAAATTGGGCGCTGATCATGTATTTGCTCTTAGAGGATATCTTCGCGTTACAATAAGGTAATTTTATTTTTCTTCTGTTATTAATATTTTTCATTTTTAGGCAATACTTCTATGTCCGTCATCGAATAAACCTTTATCTTCCACGTCTACCCGTCCTATGTGTGTTTGGAGGAAAGAATCACCAATATTTTTATCCACTTGAATGTATAGATGTTGTGACGAATGAAGAATAGATATGTTAAAATATGCCCTTTTACTAGATAGCGTTTCCTATATTTTTTGAGTTATTTAATTGTTAGCTTTATTGTTTTCCTCATTTTTGTATTGCTGATGCGCTCAGAATAAAATTTTAATGCACAATTGTTTTCTTTTACTCATTTTTACTAGTTTTTAACTTAGATAAAAATTTTTCCTCTAATAATAATTTAAATTAAATTAAAATAAAAATTTCTTATATAAATAAAAAATACATAAAAATTATAAAATCACAAAATACAAAAAATTAAATAAATAAAAATCAATAATAAATAAAAATTATAAATCACAAATATAGAAATTAAATAATAAATCAATTTGTCACTTACTCATACACTTAAGTGCTTTACAACCTTAACCCCTGTGCCCCTATCCATTAGTTAAGTGGTTTTTTAAGTGGGTGTTTTTTTTATAAAATTTTTTAATTTTTTAAAAATTTTTTAAGTGGTTTTTAAGTGGTTTTTTAAGTAGTTGTTTTTTATAAAAATTTTTAATTTTTTAAATTTTTTAAAAATTTTTTAAGTGGTTTTTAAGTGGTTTTTTAATTGATTTTTTAAGTGGGGGTGGGGTCCTTAAGTGGGGTTTTTAATTGATTTTTTAAGTGGGGTTTTAAAGTAAAATTTTTTAAAATTTTGTAATTATAAATTTTTAAGTGGTTTTTAATTGATTTTTTAAGTGGGGTTTTAAAGTAAAATTTTTTAAAATTTTGTAATTATAAATTTTTAAGTGGTTTTTAATTGATTTTTTAAGTGGGGGTTTTTTATAAAATTTTAAATTTTTTAATTATAAATTTTTAAGTGGTTTTTAATTGATTTTTTAAGTGGGGGTTTTTTATAAAATTTTAAATTTTTTAAATTTTTTTAAAATTTTTTAAGTGGGGTTTTAATTGATTTTTTAAGTGGGGGTTTTTTTATAAAATTTTAAATTTTTTAAATTTTTTTAAAATTTTTTAAGTGGGGTTTTAATTGATTTTCTAAGTGGGGATTTTAAGTGAAATTTTTTAAATTTTTTTAATTTTTACCATTTTAATTTTTTAAGTGGCAACCCTTAACAACCCGTAAGTAATTAATGGTGGTATTTAAGCTATGCCGGAATCATTTTTGTTCTTATTTTTTTATTTTTTGTTATAAAACCGGCTTTTATAAAAATTAATAATGTTATAAAAATGGGTTAGATACTACTTCTGTTGTTTGGTTAGATTTTTCTATCTAGAAAAAAAAATTATTTTTTGAAAAATTTCATTGAAAAGTTTTGAAAAAATTACAGAACCTGTTTTAAAAACAAAAATTTTCAAAAAAATAAAAAATTTTCTGAAAAAAAATTTTTTTTGAAAAATTTCAGAATCTATTGAAAAAATCAAAAATTTTCTGAAAATTCGAAAAAATTTTGAAAAAATTTTTTTTGAAAAATTTCATAAAAAATTTTGTAAAAAATTTTAAAAAATGCAAAAAAAATTTTCTTTTGAAAAAAAATTTTCACAAATTTTCTCCTTCACAAACCTCTGGAAAATATTTATTCTTCAACCTATTCAATAATTGATCAAGATTATTTCCTCTATAATAAGCCATTAAACTAGGAAATGCTTGTTGGGCATAAATTGATAGTTGATTGTTTTCTTCACCAATTACAGCATCCAAAATATTGTGAAATTTATTGAGCTGTAAAAAAGATTTTTTTAATTCAATTTTAACAGACATCCCCATATCATTTAACCTTAGTGGAGACCAATAGGAAAACCATCATCACTATCCCCATCCTAAATCAAACCCTCTCAATTTGAAAAAATTTTTAAAACTTCGTTTCATGCGAAAAGGTGAGGGTTCTTCGGTTCGGAATTAATAATCGAGTAGATTATTTGGCTCGGTTCCGGATATTTGAATAATCGAAGACCACCTATCCAGTGGCTCTCACCTACCCAGTGGCTAACCAAATATAAATTCGACTATTTTGGGTTCGAATTTTTTTGGATACATATTAAATTGACATGTAAAAAACACAAAAAATGCCCCACATTTGAAGGTATCTAACCTTAGTGGAGAAACAACAACAACATTTGGTTTGTCAAAGTAAAGTCCTCCCTAAAGTCTTAAAAGGGTGGCACGACGTTTCGACAAAGGACTTTTCGACAAAGGACTTTTCGACAATGGACTCTTCGACAAAGAACCTTTCGATAACAGATCTTTCGACAATGGACTTTTCGACAATAAATTAAAATTTTTTAAAATGATATAAAGATGACAAATATTGGCATTTTATTCAGGTAGATGATATGGGGAACGAAACTAATGAGTCCGCCGATAGTACCGCCGTTTGAGTGGATACCGCCGTTTATTTCTAGGATTTATGCGCCGCAGGCGAAAATTTTTTTAATTTCAGTTAGACATGGGTCAGAAATCCTACTTTTCTAAAAAAAATCCAGAAAATTGGGAAAATAAAAGAACAGGATCAAATCCCAAATCTTATGTAAAAAATTTGCCGGACCCGGATCCCGAATTTGCAACTAGAGCCGGATCTGATCCGGCCGGATTTCTCCGGATTAATACGGTCCGGTTTTAATCTGGAGATAGCAAAAACCCCAGATTTGAGACCTCGACTCCGGAAAAATCCGGCCGGAGTCCGGTCTGGCCTCGGTCATTACCTATATCCAATTAAGCCCTTAAATCCTAAAAATAAACGGCGGTACTATCGGCGGACTCATTAGTTTCGTTCCCCATATCATCTACCTGAATAAAATGCCAATATTTGTCATCTTTATATCATTTTAAAAAATTTTAATTTATTGTCGAAAAGTCCATTGTCTAAAGATCTGTTATCGAAAGGTTCTTTGTCGAAGAGTCCATTGTCGAAAAGTCCTTTGTCGAAAAGTCATGGAGCCCTTAAAAGTCCTCTAGAATCCCTTAACTGAGGGGGACTTTTGACATTTTGAAATAAAATTTTTATAAATCACTCAATAAACCTTATTAAATGGACACACAAAAATTAAAAAAAAACCTGTTCAACATCCAAAACACATTCAATTGTACATAGAGCTCGAATAATTCTACATAACGATTTTGCATTAAGCGAAAAACCTTTTTTGCGATGATCATTTAATTGGATTGAATTGACATTAATTGCTTCGAATAGTAAAGCTGAATATTTTTTGAGCACTAAGAAAATAAAAAAATAAATTTAAAAAATATTATAAAAATCACCAGTCAAACCCACAATTACCCCCTTGGGGACGGAAAAAATCGAAAATATAAAAATAAGGTGATATCTTAAATTAATGATATCTTTTTCCAGGAAACTATCTCACCTACCCAATGGCTAAACAAATAAGCCATCTTAATTGATATGTAAAAAACACAAAAAACGCCCTATATTTGAGGGTATCTAAAAACAGAGGTTTTAAAATCGGTAGAGTCGGGCCCTAAAAAAGCTGAACTGGATATCTGAGGGATTTCCTAGTTTAAGCCAATCATTAGACTGGAAGTAATAAAAAGAAGGTTCAACTACAGATTAGAAGAAAAATTCAAAAATAATTCAAAAATCAATTTTATTAAAAAAACCTTGTTCACTTCGAACAGACAAAGCTTCGAGTAACCCAGCAACAGCAAAAAATGCCCCATGTTTTTCATTTAAATCCAAAGAATATAATCTTTTAAATAATTTCGGTAGCAACTAAAAATATGAATTTTTTGAAATAAAATTTAGAAAAAACTCTTCAAAAACTCTTCAAGAAACCTCATTTTCGGAATATTCAAAATCAAAAGGGGCCAATTTTTGTAAAGCTTCAGCAGCCAATTCTCTTATAGATTCATCCCAATGTTGGCATTTCAACTCAATTAAATGATCAAGCATTGGCTGGACATATTCGGGAAATTTAGCAACCTAAAATCCAAAAATTTTTTTGAGAAATGAAATATTTTTTAATATTGGACATTTTGAAATTTGACATTTCGAAACAAAATTTTTTTTTCAAAAAATCCGGAAAAAACTCATAGTCTGGTCCGGAATCCGGGTAAATTCTGTCGGAATCCGGAACCTATTTTTACCGGACTGAAACCGGACCGGATTAATCCAGAAAAATATGGCCAGATCTGGTCCGCCATGAGTGTGAAATACAAAATCTGGTTAATGGGCCCAAAAAATGATTTTGCCGGACACTGTTAAAAACCAAAAAAATTTTTCATTGTCAAAAAAGCTTATTAAACCTCAACAGATATTTCCAAATAGCAATGCTTTATCCTTGCAATTTCACCAAAATCGATCAACTGGAGTACCGGAATGCCATGAGGAAAAGAATCGTTACGGCCTACATTTTCCTTTAAAGAAAAAAATTTATTTTAATTTTAACGAATATTTAAAAAACTTGAAATGAAGCACTAGCCGCCCTTCTAACATTAACTTCTCGATCAAATAAAGCAACTGAAAGTAAAGTTCCCGCAAGAGGTTTTAAATGTTGTCGAAGAAATTTTGCCTAGTTTTTATAAGAAATTTATATTAATTAAAAAATTCAGGTCAAAACTTTTCAGAAAAGAGCCTAAAAAACCTAGCAACAAAAAAATCCAACAATAAAAAACCCAGCAATATCACTTGACAGAAAGTGAAATATTTTTGTCCGCAAAAACTTGCGGACAGAATTTTGCGGACATTTTTGAATGTAAATTAAACTTCCACTTATAAAAAATTTGTTACAAGACCCCAAAAACAAATTTTAAAAAAAACCTCGTAAGCTCTAGCAAATGCCCAACATATATAACAAGAAGCATCTCTAATATTTAAAGCTAGCACACTACCAAATTGGTTTGAATCAAAAATTAAAGAGCGTGAAAGTACGAGTGAAATAGCCTTAAAAAAATATAAAATTTTTAAAAGAAAAATTTTCAAAATTTTTAGAAAACCTTTGGAACTTGTTCAGGCAACAGACATCCACGACGACAAAGTTCAGCTAACACCAAACATCCACCCATCCAAGAACTGGCAACATTTGAGTCTGTTTTGTCTTCAAAAATGTCTTTAAAAATTGACGAGACGACTTGGGCTGCCATCTAGAAAAATTAAAAAAATTTCTATCAGGTAGGCCGGTCTGTTCTTTGTCTCTAATTTAAAAAAGTAAGGAAAAAGGACAAGTTTCAGTCATAAAACACGCCACTCCTGCCGTTTAAGGGGGTCGTCTCACAATCAGACAATTATGAGACCATAATTACGGCCCCAAATTTCAATTGTCCCACATCATATTTTTGAAAAATAAATGCTAGTAAGGGTTAAAGAAAGATTAATTTTATTAATAGAAAAAATTGCATTAGTCTCATAACGGTTAGAGAACTGCGGCCCCTTAAACGGCAGGAGTGGCAAACAAATTATTCACCTCAACATGAAAAAAGGAGAGAATCTAGGTCAAAATGTTCAGTCGTCTCCTAATCAAGGTTTTGGACAGGTTCTCCCTCCCAAGTCTTCTGCCAATTTATAATAAAAATTAAAGCTTCAAGGACCCAATAAAATATAAAAAAATTAAAACCTCCAACGGAATTCGAGCACATATTCTAGCTATTCCTTTAGCACTTGTCCATCTAACCAAATTATCTCGATCACGCAACTTTAGTAAAAGTTGTCCCAAAATTATTTCAATCAAGTCGTAAGGAATATCACTGTCGTCATCATCATTTTGAGAATTCTCTTCTTCATTTGGATGACCTTTCGTATCTATTGATATATAAAAATTTGTTCTTACGGCAAGAGAAGATTTTTCAATCTACTACATTTCGGACTATATACGGGCAAGAGGTACATAGGCCTATACCTAAAAGAGAGATCCAGTAAAGATTGAAGGTGAGGTACGTCTAGCCCCAGGCAGGCATTTATCCTGCTACCTACTCCTCTGGCAGATATTGCTAAAAGCTATTTTGCTCACTACGTACCTGAGATCGGTCAGAATTCCGAGTTAGAAAATTTTAGGCTGATTTCAGACTTTTGAGTCATTTCCAATTTCCGACAGTTCCAATTTTCGGTACCTTCACCATTTCCGGCCAAACTCTGCTACGTCCTTTAGACTGTACTAGCACAAGGATGCTAGTTTCACCTTCAATTTTTAGCTCTTCTAAACCCCATACCTAGTAAGAAACAAGCTATTTGAATACCAGGGATGGGCAGAAACAAAGTTTAAAAAGCGAAAGATGAAAAGGCGAAATGCCAAAAAAGACGAAAATAAGGCGGAAGACGAAAAGCGAAACGGCACACCCCTGTTGGATCGCCCCTTCTTCTTTCTTAAAATTTTTTTAATTTAAAAAAACCTTGTAAAGAGGAAGCAGAATCCATTTTTAAATTTTTATCTCTCCTCAAAGTTTCCTCTATAGACCGATACCCACAACGATAACGCCAACTAGCAAGTTTAGGACGAAGCAGAACAAGTGAAATTCTTTGAAGAAGTTTTGAGATTAAATGGCGAACCAAAATATTTGGGCATTGGGAAAATAAAAAACTTGAAAAGAAAAAAAATTTTTTTGAAAATTTTAAAAATTAAAAAAAAACTCTTTTGAAAGTGAAGAAAAAAGTTGTTCAGTAAATGGTTTAATATCTCTTCTACGGCCCTAAAAAAATAAGAAAATAAATAATAAATAAATGTTACTGAAATTTAATTTTAAAGGCAAAAATTCCCCCAAAAAATAAATAAAAGTAAAAATTAGACTGTCAAAAAAATTCACAAAAAATTTTTTTATATTTTTAGACAATTTTTAAAAAATATTTTTTGACTATTTCTGAAGACTAATCTCCGTTTTAAGCTATAAAAAATTATTTCTTTCAATTCAACCCAAAAAATAGAATTTCATTAAATTGTGCGTCAGTTAACAGACCCAGCTTGTAGCTGCGTTAGTTAACGGACACAGGCTTGCAGCCAGGAAATTTTTGATTTTTTTGCGGACAGCAAATTTGCGGACAAACTATGGCAATAGATCCATCCGATAACCTAAAGGCCCATTCGGGCTTGTAGCCATGGGCCAAAACTTTCAAAAAAATTCATTGAAAATACGGACCTGAATGGACCATTTAGGTTATCGGACCTATTGCCACCGGTCGTTTGTCCGCAAAAATTTGTCCGCAAAAATATTTTACTTTAATAAAAAAATATACCCATTTCAGTAAAGCATTGGCCAAAGCTAATTGATTAATTAATTGACGCCCACCATCCTTTTCACTTTGAAATTTGTCAAAAACATTTTGAAAATTTAAAAAACGAGTTTCCAAAGCTTTGGTATTGACTGGCGCTCTAGTTAAAATTTGGGCTAGTAAAGTTGGGACAACTGACTGAAAATAAAAATATTTTTTTAGAAAATTAGGGAAAAAAGAATGAAAAAAAGCCTCTCTAAATTAAAAAATTTCTCAAAAATTTAAAATCACAAAGGAAATCCATCTTTTTGTTGGAACAACTTTATCCGTTGTAGGAAAACACTTATATTATATACGAGTTAGATGGGAGAGTTAGATGGGAGATGAAATTGAACCATCATGGAATGAGCCCAGACCGAAGCACAACCGACTTCCCTCTAATGGGTTATTTATTTTCATTTATATTCCTCTGTAAGTGTGGACACAACAACCTATATTTTTGTTATTTTTTGAGCTTGGTATTTCGGTGATTTTTTAAGGGGGGAGGAGGGGGCTTGATATTAAGGCGCTTCTCCCTTACACTTTCAAATAATTTTCAAAAAAATAAAAACAAACCAATCTTCCATCAACAGTTTCACTTTTCAAAATTTCATCTAAACAATTCACAATATTTTCTGCAAAAGAAGCAGAATTTGTTGTTTTAGTTGTTAAATCATTCCTCGAATAACGCAATTCTAAATTGAAAGGATTTTTGCAAATTAACATTAACCAGATAACAAGCATTTGAATTAATATTTTGTTTAAAAATTTGTCTTCTTTGGGACATGTTGACATTTTTGTTATTAAATGTTGAAGGCAAGAAAGGATTGGGTCGAGTAGTTCAAACTTGAAAAAAAATTTGAGAAAATTAATTAAACCCAGTACTGGTTGGGCAATAATGCACCAAAATATTAGACACTACTTTCATTCTCCTCAAAGACGGAAGAGAATTTGAAAAAGCTGAAACGAAGCTCTGAGAGTCAGTTCTTGAGTGAGCTAACTCCAACCTGAGCTGAAGCTAACAATAAGATTTGAAATAGGTCGGAGCCAAAAAACACCCAAAAAACAAAAACTGGAAGAGGGTCAACGAATTTTTATGAGACGGAAACTAGAAAGAAAGCTCCAGTAGCCCATAAGTCTGTAGAGAATTTATCAGAGCCATACAAAAATTTCGTTTCAAGATTGCTTCCACAAAATGAGAGGTAAGGAAAAGGATAGCTTCCCTATTTTCATTAAAGCTAGAAAGAAAAAACACCCCAAACACAATTCTGGTGAATCAGAAAAATCGTAGGGAAATAACCTTTTGTCGTAAAATGGGTCGTTAATATCACACCGACAAAAAAAGAAAAAATGAACTGTAAAAGCGGCCAAAGAACTTTCAATAAGGCTAGAGATGGGAAGGAGTCCAGAAAACATCAAAAACAAAAAAAATCATTAAAAAACCTCATGCGGAAGAAGCCTCATTAAAAATTTATAACCACGGACAAGACACAAAACACGAAGGTAAGTCAGCGCTACAATGCTTGAATTATCTAAAATTTGGAGTTCATCAGGTAAAGGCCATCTGATATGTTTAATTAGTCCAGCTACCAACTCATTCAGTGCTGGGTCCAAAAGTTGGGGTTCATCTCCATAAAGTTCAACAAGTCGTTGGAATTGTTCCAAATTCTGTTAGGATGAAAAAATAATTTTTAGAACTAACCAAAGAAATTTTAAGAGAATTAGAAATAAGAAACCTAAAATATTAAAAAAATTTGCGGACAAAACTTGCGGATTTTTGCCGTTAAGGAATAAAATAAAAAAAGATACTCTTCTTGCCTCAAAAAACTGATCAAAATTTAACGTTATTTTTAAAATCAATCCAACCCCAGATTCGACCTCCAAAAATTTTCCATCCTAGTTTTCATTCTTTCTGTGGACCAATAAACAAAGGCGTATTCAGGGCTAGGATTTCAGGTAAGAGGATTTAAATGGGAAGTGCACTGATACGGAAATTTTGTTGGATTTTAGAAGACTAATCGGATGCAATTGACAGTTATTTTTTCCCGAACGTTTTTCTTTTCCCCAAGTTAGAGAGAAGGGAGCTACAGACCTACTCCTGGGGCCTATTTCAATTGTCCGCAGATTCTGCATTCAGTGCACAGAATCTGCGGACAATTGAAATAGGCCCCTGGATACATACTTCCCAATAAAACAACTAACCCTCAAAAAAGCCCCCTTAAATCTAAAAACTTTTAGTAACCTTTTCTTCCATGGATTTTGCCGTTTCATTTGAAATTTGCGAAACTAAAAACTTCAATTTAGACACATGCTCCTCTTCCAGGTGAATTGGTGTACATCCAACAAGACAAGAAGTATCCATTCTTATCTTAAAACAATTGATTGGTCTAAATGTTTAAGAAATAAGCAAATTTAATTTGATAACAATAAAGTATTTGAGGTGTTTAATGCCTTTAAAAATCCGCAAAAACTTGAAAATTTGCGTATGTCCGCAAAAATTTTGCGGACAAAAACTTTTGGATTTTTTGCGGACGTTTAAGAGAAAAGGGAAATATAAAGGAAAATATCCAAGGGAAATATCAAACTAGTTATTTAAACTATCCAAAACCACAAAAAACTTCAAAATTAGTCGCTAAAGGAAACAAGAGCTCAAAAAAATTTTTTGCGGATTTTAGGCAAATACACCATAACTTAAAAAATAGAAAAAATTTTTGTCAACAATAAATTTACTCAGAAAAATCATTTAACAATTTAACACACATTTTTAATCCTTTAACACTCCAAAAGACTTCCTTTCTTTTCCCTCTTATTCTCCCAATTCATTTAAAGTTTCAGTTTTGTGCGGCGCCAATGACGACGTTTTGCATTATAGCGTATACGACTGCCAGTCTTCATTCGAACCCTAAAAATGAGAGGTTTTTAAAAAGGGAGGAGTTGAGATCTTGATTGTCTAACAAACTTTAATTGAAAATGGAAGGTCTCCCGGAATGGTTACTAGAGACCGTGATGGGCCTGGACCAAGGCCTGGGTTTTCCTGTACCCAGAGTCCAGGCCTAGGCATTTTTGACCTTCCTGGAGTTTTCCTGGGCCTGTGGTTCTCCTGACTACAGGAACTCGACACTTAAACTATCCAAAATCAAGATCCGGACGAGGTCAATAAATCAAAACCAGGAACAGGCTTTTCAAAAATCACGTCTCTAATGGATACAAATAAACATCAAAAAGTAGCAAGAGGGCCAAGTACAGACATTTTACTCAGCTCATGGCTACTGTAAGCATGGATCCCTTAAACCCAGACAAGAGATTTTAGCCCAGTCCAAGGATTTAAAAAAACCACGACTTCTAGTGACCCAAAATGGAAGCCTCTTAGTAGCCTCTTTTAAAAATTCAATCAAATCATCCCCGTAAAAATAAAAGTCAGGAAATCTAAAAATCATTTAACCTCAAAACCTCCCAACCCTAAACCTCCCCCCAAAGCTTTAAACTTTAAAAAAGTAATTAAAAAAACCATTGCGGCAGCGGTCGATTTTGCTTAGCAGCTTTAGCCAGCTTGCGCTTGATAATAAACGTTTTGTGTGCAGCCATTAAATTGTTGACTTTATCCCAACTTTTTTTGAAGGCAATAAACAAATTTAATTTTTATCTGAAAAAGGTAAGGGAAAATATTAAGGAAAGATGTTGACAAATAGGAACAAGATTGTTATCAAAATACAAGGTAAAATCTGAATTCTGAACTAAATTTTGACTACCAAACCCGACAAAAAATGAAAAACTTTTCATAATTTTCTATCAAGAAATGGGGTACAGCCCAAAACGGCGCGCGGCCTTAACGGCGCAAAGCCATAACTTGCTGGAAAATGTCTGGCACTTTTCAATTTTGGTACCAATCTCTCTAGCTCGATGAGAGGAATCGTTTGATACTAAATCTGGTAAAATTAGGAAATCTTGAAGCAAGTTATGGCTTTGCGCCGTAATGGTCTTGCGCCGTTTTGGGCGTGTCCACCAAAAACAAAGTTTACAATTTACAATTTAAAAATTACCAAAATGAAATAAAAGTTGACAAAATGAAATAACAAAAATACATTTCGCCAAACTGACAATTTTTGTTTGTTTGAAAAGAAAACTTCTAGGTTAAATTTTATCGAACACAAAAAAATGTGAAACAATAAAATAAAAACTCCTGGATCCATAGGATCACTTGAAGAGTCATGTTATACGGACAGTAAGAAAGGGTAAAAATACAAAAGATGATTTAAATAAAATGAATATCTGTCAAAAAATAGTTGCGCAATTTATCAAACTCCAAAAAAGTATACAATTCAATGATAAAGAATGGAACTCAAACATTGTTCGAGTCCTTGTGGTGAGGTAGGTAGGTACTAAAATGGGACACGACCGGTTAACCACCCGGTTAATTTTTCCTTGTGGCGGGTCAAATAGAGAAAATTTCCAAAAGAAAAGACGAGAATTATGCGTCGCCACAGGGAAGAACTAAACGCTAGGGAAGTCGTGTCCCACTCTAGTAGTACCGTTTTATCTCTAATAGAATGCCCGGCTATTTTACTTTTCAATTACCTTTCAAAGAGGCATTCAATTAGAACTAATATGGTCATGTAGGGTTGTTACCAGCTGGAACGGAGGGGGGGGGGGGGGGGGGGGGTCCGTGAGGTACTCGCTTAAGTTTCCTTCTCACATCAACAAATCAGGCTTTTTGGCGTTTTCCACCTTCGATTGGTGTACGGAATTTTCGTCCCCATCGGAATATTCGTCACCAAGTCAAAAAACGGAATGTTGGCCACTGAAATTTTAGGCGCACGGAATTGAGGGCGTCGGAGTGTTTTTATGTCCTCGTCAAGGATATAATTTACAAGCGAGTAAATAAAGATGGATAACAACCCTAATGGATAGCAATGACCCGAAATAAGCCTATAGTAAAATTTAGACTAATTTTTCTAATAATTTCTTGAACGGTTCGAGTACGTCTATAAAGTGCTGTGCTTTTTCTAGCACTCGTACTGGCACTTCTTTCAACACAACAGAAAGAATGTCTGCCAAATTGTATTCTGTTGCCTCTGAATCCTTGTACTTTTTAAGCACTAGTAGTGCATTCTCAACTGCCCAACGACCTGAAATTTTTAATAAGTATTGTAAGATGAAGGGAGATCCAGCTGGCTAACATTTAAAACGTCTACTGATCGGGGGTTTAAGATGCCATAATATCCTTAATAAAAGCCCATTCTAGAAACCCATTCAATGTGATCAATTAAAAATAAAAGTACAGGGCTTCTATTAAGACATTTAGGGTATAGAAAATGTGGAAGCGATGATCGAAAAGGTTACCGAGCGGCGCCTAGCAATAATTTCAAAAGATCGCCTAATTTATGCCTGCTCGGAGAAAATCCCTCTCTCTTGCTTCCGTGAAGCATTTTCCTCTTTTATAATCCTAAACCCCCGTCTAAACGTTTTTAAATACCGCACTACTGGATCTTTTTCGATTTTCTAAAAACTTGCCTGTGCTCATTCCACTAAGCGTCTTAAAATGCGGACTTGTATTTGCATCACCTACAGCCACAACAATTGCCGAATCTTTAGTTCCTTGAATTTGTTTTACTGGATTTTCCACTCGTTTAATTTGAACCCAAAATGTGTTTGTATTTATGCTGTTCTTGTCAAATTTAAGAATAAATTTTCCTCCTTCCTCAGCATTATGATCCTTCCCAGTCGTGCCTTTTCCCTTCTTGTTTCCCTTTCCCTTCTTGTTTCCTTTTCCTTTCTCCTCTACTTTTTCCTCCTCAACATACCAAACTTTATCTTTATTTATAACCGAATTGGCATAATTAAAGAGGGCTCTAGCCCATCTTCTTTGCAATTTCTCATAGAAAGCGTCATACTCTCCCAATTCCCACTTAGCGACAACTCCATTTCTTTTCTGTTTAAATTCCTTGATAAAATTAACCAATGCCGGAGGCGTATTTGTTGACATATACAGGAGCGTATTTGTCTCAAACAGGCATATATTTTCCTCAAAAACCTCATCCTCCTCTTTTACAACCTCAACATGTACTTTAGCACCTCCTCTTCCTCTTTTCTCCCCCCTTTTATAGTCTGTTCCGCAAATCTTATCTGTCAGATCGACATACTTTTGTCTAAGTTCAACTGGTGGAAGAAATGTAGAATCTCTTAAAAGCTCATCCAATTTCTCATCTTTTATATACTTCTCCATTTCGACAATAGGTTTGGTAAAGGCGTGGGCACCATTAACGACGTCTTTGCTTAAAATGTTTTTGTTGAAGATTGTGACGCCGTAGTTTACAGCTTCTGTCAACTCTTGTGGTTCTCCTAGAATTGATTTGAATTTAAAAATAGTCGTTCTGATAGTGTAAGGTGTAAGATCCAGGGGTACACTCCAAGGGACAGCAAACCCAAGGTACCACAGAGCTATAACTTTTTTAGAATTGTCAAATCCGGTACGACCTGGTATGGTTGGATTCAGCTCGTCTAGGCGCATCGAACCATACCAGGGAGTCTCGGATTCGAAAATTCTGAACGAAGTTATAGCTCTGCGGTACCTTGGCCTGCTCCCAAGATCCAGCTGGCTTGCATTTAAAACGCTTACTAAGAGCCGGGGTTTGGGATCTATTAGAATAGAGTGAAAGCAGCGCCCCGTCAGCTCAGTCGGCAGAGCATTGGTGAGCGAAAGCTCCTAGCAATAACTTCCATGTCGCGGTATCGATGCCTACCCGGGACTTCATTTTTCATAGCGTTAGGCGTTACGCGGGTACCACCAAGAGACCTCAGTAAACACATAACGGTCCCATCAGGGCTGCACGCAATTGCGGATTGCGTTTGCGGATTGCTAGTTGCGGAATATTTTTTTAATTGCGTGCAGCCTTGAGTCGGGTACACCCCAACCTGCCGCGAGCCCAACCTACTGCCGAGCTATAACTTCGTTCAAAATTGTCGAATCTAAGACAACTTGGTATGTTTGGATTCAACTCGTCGAGGCGTATCGAACCATACCAAGGCGTCCCGGATTCGACAATTTTGAAAGAAGTTATAGCCTCGGCGGTAGGTTGGGCTGCGGTAGGTTGGCCTGCTCCCCCTTGAGTCCCATGCCCTCTTATTTTTAAAATCATCAAAATTAAACAAAAACTACCCAAAATTTTATCACGTATTTTATCATTTGCACCACCAGCACAAAAAAGAAGATCAAAAGGTATCCCAACTTTTTTACTTCCAATTTTACTTTTATTCAACCCCCTTGCTTGAAAATTTGAAATAATTTCATCGGGTATTAACAACCCGTTCGAATTGTTTAATTTTTCTCGAACACCAACAACAACTATCGGTTTATCATAATTTTCATACAAAATGTCCAAAACTGCAATTTCATAAATTAAATACAAAAATGATTTTTCTTCCTCATTTTTCTTTTTTCCTTTTTCACCTTCCTTCTTTTCTACAAATTTTGATATTTTCTTTAACCGCCCCATTAATGCAAGTTCCATATCTTTAATGCTAATTAAAACAAGCTCTTCATCAAGCATTTTCCCCACTGAGTTTTCACGAATAAATAAACTATCGAATTCAGTACCAAAAAAGAAACGCATCTGTGAAACCCATTTTCGATCAAATATGACGAGTTGATTGCGGATATAATTTTCGGAACGATCATTGATAACTGTTACATTCATTCCTTCTAAAAATAAAAAAAATTACGTATAAATGTTCGTGGGGTCACAATTTACAAAAACTAATTTGCTATGACCAACAGATAATTGCTAGTTAGGGTTGTACCCTGTCCCCGAAAGTCGGGGAATTTGAGAGCTGTTTTCGGAATTTGAGACTGAAAACTGAGCGAGAACCTTGGCCTCGGCAAACAACCTTAGTTTGACTCCGATTAACTGTTGGTTGCTAACAAAGACTGACTTAAAGTGACTAAAAGCTAGTGCTTTTATACTAAATCTAACAGAACCCTTAATTGCCATACCAACAAAACTTGTCTTACCAAGAAAAAGTTTGTAGGTAGAATATAAACCAATTGGACCAGCACCCTCTACGACCGCATTTTTGTATTCTTTCATTTTATTTTTTTGAGTTTTATTTTTCAAATGTTCTCTATAAATCTCTTCATTAATTTCTTCATCTAATTTTCTCGTTTGAATTTTTGACAGCTCAAAAATTTTTTCCAACTCTTCCATTCCCGGCTTTTTCATAAAAGAGAATATATCAACAAAGGAGCCTTCTGCCCCTTCAGAATTTAAATCTCTTATAAATTTTTTGGAATCAATCACTAGCTTGAGTAGTTGATTGATTTTGGTAGTTGAAGTTGGAACGTCCGCTTCTGATGGAAATTTGAAACAGTCGATTCCTACATTGAAAAAACTTTTTTTTGTGCTTTTATAGTATTATGTGTTCATGCTGTGGAAAAATTCAATGGATGGGAGATAGAATAGAACCATCATGGAAAGAGCCCAGACCGAAGCACAACCGACTTTCTGCAAGTTCGGACACAACACTTTTATAGTTTTTCTATTTTATAACAACCCTATTTTCTTAAATTCATGTTTACATAAAAGAAACTCACGCGTCTTGCGACAGAAAAGGGGAAGAGGAAAAGAGGAGAGAAAGTCATATGCGACACGTAGCATGATGGAATGGCAGCTGCTTTGCAAATCCCCTTCTCCCTGCCAGCTTAACGATTTGCTATTGGTTATGCCATTCACTTATAATAGGGAAAATACGGTATTGTTTCATGCCGCAAAAAAATTTCACAGCATCGGAGATGGAATGGAACAATCGTAGAATTAGCCCAACCCAAGTATAACCGGTTGTAGTGAGGACAACAACCCTTCTAATTTTAAAATTTACCGCCCCACTTTGTTCATATATCCCCCCTCCTCGGACCCTTATTTGAGTCTCACATCAATTTTCATTTTATCCTTTTCTGCCTCGGAATGGTCAAATTACCTTCTTTATAAGGGTTAATTTTTGCCGTTAGGTAGATTTATGATGTTTTTTCCTTCCTAATATCTTGCCTTCTACTTAAATATTCGAGGCAATCGAATGATTGACGATAGAAAAAGTAAAATTAATTTGAGACTCAAATAGGGGTAGGAGGGATATCAACAAAGAACCGATTTACCTATAGTTTTAAATATATCGTCTGCAGTTTTCGAATCGTATTCTTTCAAAACTCTTTCCACAATTTTCACAAAGTCGTCTCCACATGTGTAACCTTCAAAGTTATGCTTAAAACCTTCAACCTTAGCTTTAAGCGTTTGAACAGACTTTTCGAATACTTTGAAATTTTCTTTTGTCAATTTTTGGTCGTTTAACACATTCTCCTTGTTTTTCAAAATATATTCATACTCGCCGTATTGAATCACATCATTAGATTGGGTGCTACCTCCAGACCTTGCGATGTTGATTAATGACTTTTCGCGCCAATCTTTTAGGCCTTCCTCTATAAAACAAAAATTTTTAAAAAACCTTTCCTCCTTGCCCCCATGGGAAAACAAAAAAGCAAAAGGCAAATTTTGGGTAATTTTGAGGGGCTCTTCACGCCTAATTCTACGCTTACATAAAACTAACGCGCGCGTTGAGAAAGGAAATATAATGGGGAAAAAAGAGAGCAAATTCGCATGCGATTTGTCGCTTTTCGAGTGCTTAGAAAAATTTTTTTCCGACAAGGCGTCTGCGTCTGGTCGCTCGAGTGATAGATAAAAGCGCATTGCGTTTTTCATCTTTATTGAAGATGCCGATTTTACGTAAGCACATAGCATCCGGTGCATTTATTGCCGAGCGTCTGCTAGACGACCGGCAATCCTTATGTAAGCGTAGTCTAAGGCGGCGGAGCAGGATCCAAAATTATTTTCCCGAAGTGAAACATATACCCCGGGGAAACTTCGCAAGATTGTTTTTATTGTCTTGTGGTTTTCGCCATTCTAAGATAGCCAGGCCTACTGGGGGAAAGCTACCAAAAGAAAAAAAAAGCTAAGAAAGCTAAAAAGGCTACCAAATCAACCAAAAGCTACCCTAGGGAAACCCCAACAAATCTGATTTTATTTACTCGGTTTTCAGGCTACCAGGCCCGAAAACCCCGGCCCTGGTCCCTAATGTCAAACACTAATTTATATTGTATCCACCTTCATTAAATATGTATCGTTTTGTTGTATCAGTTGACGGGAATGTAGCAAACGCAAGATTGTTTTGTATTGTTGTGGGTTTTTCAGCTCCATATTTATCAAAATTAGAAAGCAGAATCAAAGCAAGACAAACAAAATTCGAAGACAGAAACAACATTTTTGTTTTCTCTATCATTCTCTCGTTTTTATACGCTCTCTCTCCTGTCTTTTTGAATATTCTCTTTTTTTGGCAAAATGTATATATTTTTTTAAATGAGAGATTGAATACAAAATTTAATTTTTTTGGCTAGAAAAATAAATAAATGAGAGGGGAAATTAGCTATAAGACTTGTAGCTAGAAATGGGGAAGTGGGGAGTGTTTAAATAAAATCTCAGCTGACGCTTCTTTCCATCGATTCGCAGCGCGAGATTCTACAAGGCAAAAAATAATTTAATGGCAGGTCTTGAATCATGAGTTTTTTTAATAAATAAAATAAATTTGCCTGTTAGGGCCTTATAAAACTTTTTTTCTTTTTATTTTTGTAGACAAAAATGGAAAAAACTGTCCTCTTTGCCTCGCAAAATTCTCAAAAATTTTTTGCATGCGGCGCTATAAGGAGGAAGCCCTGCTAAAAGGGGCGAGCACTGGAGGAGGCTCAGAGGAGCGGCTCAAAAAAAACTTTGCCCCAGCTCCCTTCTAATCCATCCAAATCCCCCTTCCCTCAATCCTCCGATATCTCTCCAAATCACAGGATATCTTCAGTAATCCCCCGTTATCCTCTTAAATCCCATTAAACCCTTCAAATCCCACGATATCCACTGTATCACTCCAACTATCCCTTCAAACCCTTATATCACAAAATCGATACAACACTTGCAGACATTTAGTGATTCTTAAGAGGAATGGTCAATACTTAATAAAAAATATTTTTTCCATTTTTGCGTTGTTTTTTGGCCTTGAGTTGCGTTTTGCATTTTTTTGCAATTGCTCGCCCTCGGTCTTAATCACTCCTGTATATGTCTAGTATTAACCCCAATACACTAACGGATTCATTCTATTACCGTTGAACCTCTTGTTAAAGGATATTAAATAAAGGGAGTCTAGCCCTATAAGACACGATGGGTGGACTCTCCGCTAAATGAATGAAGTGTTTGCCTTTGAATGTAAAGACATAAGACTTATTAATGCTGGCAGAGAGTAGACATAAATAAGAAAATAAAAATAAAGTATCCGTTATCTTTGTCTAGAATATATCGGGAAGCGCTCGGTACCGTTAATACAGGAAAGTAACGGTCTCTTACTACAGGACGCTACTTTCATGTATTTTCCTAACCATGCTTTTCTGACCGACACTTTCCTAACCATGCCTAACACTAGTCAAATATATTTATTTTGCTATAATTTTCCATGAATGGATGGATTTAATACATAAAAACAAATTTTAATAAAAATAATTTTTGACGTTTGTTTCCTAAACAGACAAACACTTGCATTTTAAACGCAATCGCACTTTAAATGTACTCTTTATGGATCTCAATTTTATATACTCTCTAATCCCTTGAGAAAATAAAAAAATCGTATCACTTAAGCGGCTCCTTTCAACTTTCGCTTACTTAAGAGTCTTACGTCTTTCCGGAAGAAAATAGCATTGAAAATGAGGAGACGCGCACTCTGTCTCTCTTTTTTGAATGTTATTTTCTTCCGCTCATACCGCTATTAATATAAATACAGTAACATACAGTATACATTTAAAAATTTCTTAAAGCCTTTGAAATTTTAAAATTTCTTATAAAATTTATTTAAATTTTAAAAAATGGAGTTTATAAAAAAATTGAAAAATGTATATAAAATTAAAAATAGGCCAGTCTCCATTTATAAATTGAAGGGCAGACAAATTGATTAAATCGCTGACATGTGAATAATTTTAAAATTTCATAATTATATATTCTCAAGACTGCCTATTTGTTAGAAATTCTATTAGCTATTCCCTATAAGAAGGTCACAAGTCTGTAACACGTTGTCTAAAGTTGTCTAAAACAAGGTCATTTTTGCTTAACAAACAAACAACTTTTGGGGACTTTTGATTGAATCAAGGACGTCTCTCTTTTCAAGAAATGGCGGAACCTTGTTTTAGTGCCCCCTTTGAAGTTGAAAAATGAATAATAGAAAATTGCGTTCATTTATAAATTGAAGAGCAGACAAATTGAATGAGGAGTGTAGTGATGTTCGAGACTCTCGGTTCCCGAGTTGGGAAATTTTCCGGGTTTTTTTGAGCTCTCGGTCTCGACTTTTTTTAACTCCCAAACATCACCATAGGAGAGTACCCTCTCTCCATTACACAAAATCGAGAGGTGTCTATAATATTGAGGTTATATATTTTTTTTAAATTTTGGTTGGTCAATGGGGAGCAATGTATATAGGCGCATGAGACAACCGCAAGAAACACAAAACGCAAGTCCAAAATTTAACGCAAAACCCAATGCCATGTAGGTTAGCGAAAAAAAAAGTAATTGCAAGGAAATGGCACCAGCTAATGGGTGGGGGTGGATGGTGAACGGATTAGATGCTCACAGTTTGGAAATGGCCCTGGATTGAGAATTTCAGTTAAACACAATTTTTCATAATGCGACCACATCTAGCGGGAACGTGCCGTAGTAACAACACTTCCATACACCAATTAAAAAATAAATTTAAATTTATAAAAAAACGAATTTAAATTTTCTTTCGTAAATAATGTTTGTTGTAAATATAAATTAGGTTTATGCCTAGAATTTTTTTCAAAAAAAAAATTTCTAAAAAAAATTTTTATAGGCATCTACCTCAATAAAATAATAACAAATTTTTTGGAGGAGGGAGGGGTATGTAAATGAGTAAATACAATGAATAAACATTTTTGTGTCTGAATATATCAGGTCATAGCTAGAAGAGAAGAAAGAATATTTTTTATACTTGAGCATCCCTTTCTAACAGAGGTGGGTCGGAACAGTCAGAGGTGTCGGAAATCGGAAGAGCCGGAAATTGGAACTGGCTCAAAAGTCGGAACTCGGAAATCGGTAATGAACATTCTTTGCGGAAATCGGAAGGAAAAAAACGCCGGAAATCGGAATTCCGACCCACCTCTCCCCTCTAACTAAACGGTCCTATCCCCAATCCAAAGGAATTTTAGGATTAGAAGGAGCCGAATCTCTTTTCTAATTGAAAACCCATCTTCAAGCTGTCCAATTAGATTGAAAAATTAAAAAATGGAGGGAAAGGGGCTTTTATAAAAAAGAAGCTTTGTGGAAGGATAACCTTCTCAAAAAAAATTTTTTTTTGGGGGGAAAAATCCAAAAATAAAATTCTATACACTTTAAAAAATATTTTTTCACCCTTCAAAAAAATTTTTTTTCTCTCTCCCAAAAATTTCTATCAAAACAATTTTTTTCTTCTTCCTCTAGCTATATAGACCCTCATTTAAAATAAAAATTATTGTTGGCTCAAAAAAAATTATAAAAAAATATGCGCGAAAATCCTCTTTAATTTCCTTCAGTTAAATAGAGAGAGAAATAAAATATATTTTTAAAAAAGAAAGTGATATAAAAAAATAAATAACAAACCAAAGAAAGAAGCTATAGAAAATCCTTGTGCAAATAAAAAAAAACAAAAAAGAAAAAATTTTTAAAAACCAGACCAAATTTAAAACAAAAAAATTTTTTAATAATAAATTTTGTCGGCGGCTATGGTTTTAAAGGGTATTTTGCGCCCAATAAAAGCGCTGACATAAAAAGTGCTTTTAATGCCCAGACATTAATTCTTTCCAATTTGTATTTTAATGGATGATTTTTACTACTTTATACTTTTTTTGTATTTCCTTAATATTAACACTAGGGCTGATCGAAATTTCGATTCGTCTCGGAACGAAACAGAGAAAAATTTATTTCGTTTCGTTTCAAAAAAGGGGACCAACAGCACTTAAAAAATATATTTAGTTGGCAATTAAAAGGAAAGAGATTGACAGAAAATTAAAAAAAGGTCTTGTACTTGTCTGTTCCTTAAGTTAGCCCGACACGATCATCATTTCCCTTTTGATTAAGAAGAAAATAAAAATTTATTCTAAGACTCAAATGGGGGGGGGGGTGGTATAAACAAAAAAAAGTAGCATTATTAAAAAAAGAGCAACTTTGGGACCCAATGGGATTCTCATTTTTTTAAATTTCTAGATCCTAAATTAGTAAAATTTCCCAACAAGAAGACTCGTAAATTCTCAAAGGGACGCATGCCCTAAAAACAAGGCATTTTTAAACAAAAAATTTTTTCAGTCCAGTTTTTTAAAATAAAAAAGAGAAAAACATACAGAATTTTTTTTGGTTGTTAAATATAATTTTCTTAAAAAACAGATTTTTTAATATAATATTTATATATAATCCCGGTCAGTGTTTGTGCCTTTTAATTTTGTTTGTTTGTTGCTGTTTCTATTTTACTTGTTGTTGGGGTCTTTTTCTACGTCTTCGACGAAAACAGCAACATCTTTTAAATTTTTAATAGAAATTTAAAGGAAAATATTGGCTTTATATCGGAGAAATTTGGCAACTTTTGATCTAGTTTAGAGATCGAATCTCAAGAAATCTCAATAATTTTAAGGTCCCTTTTGCGTCTTGCGATCAAAATTATAAAAACAGAAGCAATTTTGCCCCTTCTACTAAAGATGGACAGGGATGAGAAAAAAATATTTGGGTTGGATTTCGGTTTTAAAAGAAAGTTAGAAGGTTATTAGGAAGGAAGTAAGCCTATCCTTTTATAGACCTAAATTATAAAAATGGAGAAGCAATTTTTCCCCTCCATCATGGATGGACCCGGGTTGAGAAAAAAAGGTTGTACTGGATTTCGGCTTTAAAAGAAAGTTAGAGGTATTTAGGTCGGAGGTAAGCCTATCACTTTTAACTGCATTTTTAGTAAGGAAGCAAACATTGGACTTTTAGTGATCGCCAAAAATCTCGGTCTCTATAACCCAAACTTTTGAACAACCTAGAACGGACAATTAGTTTCTCAACTTTTAAGAAAATCCAAACGAACAGAGGTTATTCTCAACTAATTTTTAAAATTTTAGAAAAGAAACTAACTTGACTTCACTATGACTCTCACTATTAATTTTTTGTGCTTGTCGCGCCCCATCACCAATAGTCTCTTCAATCTCGCCGGCATTTGAATTGATAACCTTTTTTGGAAGAAATATAAAAAATTAAATTTAAAAAATTCGAAAAAAGTATTTTGAAGACAGTGCTTTGCCAAACAGGAACCAGAACTGTAAAAATTGACCAAAAAAAGTTGGAAACTCCAACGGCCGGAAAAATTCGATTTTTAAAGGTAAAAGGGAATACAATCGAATTGTATGTATGTTTTCATAACTTTTCGGTATCTAGTAAAACCTGACAGCTTTGGACCAACGAAAATTTTCAAACCAGCCCCCCCCCCCCCCCAAAATTTTGTTTATTTTCACAGCCCTAACAAATCGAAAAGAAAGAAAACCTGTGTAGATCCAAATCCAGCACCTCCATGGTGTATACCCCCACCAGTTGTTGTACTACTAACTAATTGAGCATTTGGCTTCAAAACTTCTTCAATTAATTGTTTATTTGCAGATGAACGCTTTTTTTGTTCATGAAGTCGATGATGACCATCACCTCCACCTGCCATTCCACTAACTCCTGCGTGAAGAGAACCACTTGGTGTGGCCTTGAAAAAATTTTTTTGAAAAATTTTAGAACAGTTCTGGAGAGGAGGAACGAGTTCAAAGAAAAGAGAAAGTCAAAAGAAGCAACTGGGGACTGCCAACCGGCTGTCACTATTAGGGTTGACGGCTTGGTCCGTTTCGATAGATCAAATCAGGCATCGAATTTCGGCCCGAAAAAGACTCGGTGCCAGTTTGGATAAAAATGAGGCCCAAAAAAATGACTGAACATTGGCCCAGTTCGATAGATCAAATTGAGCAACAAATTTTGGGCCGAAAAAGACTCAACGGCACGGTTGGATAAAAACAAGGCTCGAAAAAATGACTCGAAAGTCGTTCCGGTTTGAAAACGGGAACCCTAGTGTCACTATGAAACCCAATGACAGTTAGATAGTTAAATTGGGTTGTGCTTTGGGACGGGATCCTGTACATAATTTAACAGGGTCCTGTCATGAAATTACGAGGTTTTGAAAAACAAACGGGATTACCAGGATCATCCACCTCAAAAAATTAAAAAAAACAAACCGCTTGATTCAATTTATGCACCCAATCAAATTCATAATCATAAGAATGGCACATTCGTTCCAAAACTGCTTTAAACAATCCATAGCAATATTCATAATCTGGAGTCTCAAAAAAGTCTAAACGGCGAGAATAACGCAAATATTGAGCAAACTCCTCTAAAAATTTAAAAAATAACAAAAATTCCTTCCTCAAAAAACCTGGAAATCCTTCACAAAGTACTTCTATAGGAGTTGCCCTCTTTGTATCACCAATCTTTTGATATCGCTCTTTCAATGTATCAGCTTTCAAGCCTTGCCAAGGAAGTGAACCACGAAGAAAGTACATAAACATATGCCCCAATGCTTCCAAATCATCTCTTCGACTCTGTTCTTTACCCAAATGTGTGTTGATAGACATATACCGTGCTGTTCCAGTTAAAGATTTGTGCTCTCTATAGGCTATGTGTTTTCCTGAAAAAATGAGAAAATAAAAAATTGGATAGCGCAAATTCTTTTCTAATCTACGCCTGGTTAAACAATCGAAAAAATGACGAAAATAAAATATTAGGAGGGCAAGCTTCCCAAAGGAACGACCATCAATTTTCAAGTCGTTTGTCCACAACGGATGGTTGTACAGCAGGGAAGTTTGAACAGTTTCACACCCAACGGTGGGATCGGTTCTAACACATGGAGTTGGGTACTTATCGCCATAAAAAACATGACTTACAGCAATTTGGTTCAAAAAAATTGGGGGAATAGTGAAAATGTCTTCCACAACGACACTATAACCCTATAAAATTATTGAAAAATAAAATACCAGTATCACAGTCAATATATTCTTTAGCTAGGCCAAAATCAATAATATGTAAAATGTGTTGTTTTCGAGTCGAACTTCGCCCAATTAAAAAGTTTTCTGGTTTAACGTCTCGATAAATTAAATGCTTGGAATGGACATATTCTATCCGCCTTATCTTTAAAAGGAATTTTGTTCAAAAATTATAAAAATTTTTTTAACAAACCAATTGCATCGCAACCATACAAACACATTTTAAAGTAAATTTTCTGTCACACAAATCAAAAAGGTCTTCTAAAGAATGACTTAATAATTCCATAACTAATGCATTGTATTTTCCACATGGGCCAAAATAGTGAACTTGAGGGAGGCCTTCTGCAAAAATTGAAAAGCATGTTAGAAGGAAATATATTTATTTAATAGGGTACAGTGCAGGGAACGCGCCGACAGAAAATCAAATTCCCGAAATTCGGGAATCGTGAATTCACGATTTTCGGGAATCGGGTCGGCGCGATCCTTGGTAGTGTAATTTGACTCCTTAAAATCAGAGCATAAAAGGGAAGGAAAAGAATCCAACTTTAGTGGTGTCGGAAATAAAAATCGAATTGGGTCCGGAAAGTTTTCATTTATCCAGAAACTCAAATCAAGGATCTTTTGAAGTTTTTGGGGCGTAGAAAGGAGGGAGGGGGTCCATAAGCCTATGGGTTTTCCGAATTCTAAAATGTTCGAGGTCAGCAGGCCAAGTCCATAGATCAGACCCAAACTTGGAAACTTTCGATCATTTCGAAAAGCCTCGGTCAGACTAAGACACAAAAGGGTAATTCCAAGGCTGGTCCCCCCTTTTTTTCAGTTCGCCTGACCATTTTGAGCTTTTTTGCTTGACATATAATTTACAATATATCATTCGAAAGAGCTGTTCGCGCTGAGTAGAATGATACTATGATCGGTCAGATTTGGAGATTCTGAGCAGAATTATCAAGCTAAATCCTCGATGGACATGCTTTTTGTGATGATGAAAGGGATTAAAACAAATGGTCATAACTAATGTTTATTTAAGTCGGATTTCGATGAATTTAGTACCGTCGACTCAGCTTGAAGAGCTCTTTCGAACGATATATAATTTGCCATAAAAAGTTTAAAAAATCGAAAAAAATAGAAAGGAAAAAAAGGGGGGGACCAGCCTTGGAATTACCCACAAAAGTAACCCGTTAAGAGAAGAACTTAACTTTAGATCGCTAAAAAACCTAGAATAAACTCCCCCAAAAGAATTCGAGGTACTTGTGAGTTATCCCAAACCAGTTTCTGCGGATAGCAATCTAAAGTTAAGTTCAAGCCACTACCAAATTAAATCCAAAAACCGGTTTGGGATAACTCACAAGTACCGGATTCTAACCCAACTTGTCAGTCATCTGTTTAACCCACATCAAATAACTACCCTGACAAGAAACTAGTCTTAACCACACCAAGCCATTACCAAATTAATTTAACAAACCTGCTAGTCCTAATAATTTATAAAATCGATATTCCAAATGCAATTGAGGCGCTTTACTCTTCATAGGTTCCAATTTAATAGCAACATGTTCATTGTTGTAAAGGTTTTTGCCTAGTCGAAGTTCGCCAAAATTTCCACAGCCAATTTTCTTTCCGACCTGAATTTATTGTTAGGCTTTTCCGCGCCTCTAAACTTCAAAAAAACCTTAAAATTCGGCCCAACCATAAGAACACCGACAGAGGCCGTTGTAGAATTTGAAGCTGAAGAGCTTGGACCTCTGACTTGACCCGCCATAATTTTCTTTTTGATTTTTCTAAACTAGAAAACGGCTAAATTGAAAGGAAGACGAGAGACGAAATAAGAGTTTGGCACAAAAGTTGGCGTTGTTTTTTGATAATTTTACAACAAAAATATTTTTAAACTGGTGTTGAGAAGGGTACAAGAAAGCCTCGATTAATTGCGGCTTTAAAAAGAAAATTTAATTGTCTGCCTATAAAAGGCTATAAAACTGAAAAGAAAATGTTGAGAGACTTGTAAAAGCACCTGCACGCCAATAAAATGTGTTTTTGGAATTTTTGAGAGTACACAATGTAAATTTTTTTTTGATTTTTATGGGTAAAGTCGCGTTAAACATATGTTAAAAGGGAATAAACAGGTTATTATGTAATTGGGAGTGATTGTGAGTCATTCTAATTTTGGAATACAGAAGAAACTTGGTAGCTTCTACTCTGCTTTTTTAGTTAGTATGACAACTCCAGGGTTTGAGGACGTAAGAAGGAAGGTGACGTGGGAGAGGCCCTGACCAGTCTAAGGGTCAACATGAGGGTACTGTTCTACTCTGTTTTTTTAGCTAGTGGAATTTCTAAATAACGACATCTTCGGGCCGAATTATGCTGACGTAAGAAGTACAAAAAGGTCGGTCGAAATTGCGATTTCCGACACCTTGGTAAATCAGACCGCCTGAGGACTGATCAAGGTTCAAGACTCGGACATAATTTTAGCTTCTTGTATTTTTCTTAGGCTCTAATGGGACCTAGGCCAATCAAAAAATCAGCGATCGAACCTGGATCTTTCCACCTTACTTTCAACTCCCTATCTCTAAGGACCTTTGTGACTAAGGAAAAACTAAGGACCTTTGACCACTAAGGACCACGAAAAAGAAGGGGCAACAAAACATAGAGGGACAATAGAGAGTTCTAAGGGGAGATTCGGGGTTACAAAATAGAGGGTCTGCTAGAATAAAGCCTAAAGGAAAGAAGTATAAGACAATAGGGACAATGTAGAGGTCTAAGGGGAGATTTAAGGGGAAAAAGGAAGTTTGGAAAGGCAGGTTTGGAAGAAGGAAAGTTTGGTAAAAAGGAAGTTTGTTGATAAATAGAAACAACCTAAAAAAACAGGTTCAAAACCATATAAAATTAAAAATAATCTGAAAAATGGGAGAGTTAATAAACGGAAATGACGAACGATAAAAGGAAACAAAACCTTACACCTTAGAAACAAAAGGACAGAGTGATTCGGCATCTTAACACACACAAACATAATATTTTAATAGTAGAGAGAACTCTTGTGTGTATTAATTATTGACAGACTATATAGTTACATATGAAAAAGAATTAATAAAATGGTGGTTAAGGGCTTCCGTTCACACAACGCTTATAAAAGCAAAAGAGGGGGAAAGTGACGCTTGAGTCTAGCTGGAGGATGAGTTTTGGAGTTTGTTTTAAGGGGGGACACGCCGGCGCGCGTCCATAACGGCGCAAAGCCATAACTTGCCGGAAAATTTCTGGCCCCTAACAGTTTTGGTACCATTCTCTTTAGCTCGATGAGAGGAATCGTTTAATACTAAATTTTGAAAGAATCGGAAAATTTGAAGTAAGTTATGGCTTTGCGCCGTTATGGCCTCGCGCCTACTTGGGCTGTACCCGTTTTCTGAGGACAACTCTGTGTTTTATCAATTTCTGAGTAATTTTGGTGTCAATCGGAAGCTCTAAGGGTGGGGGTTATTTCTCCTATCGGGTCGAATCGGCTCCGACCAAAATTTATTGAAAATAGGGGGAGCTAAAAAAGATGAACGATCGACTCTCTAATGAAGGTCATATCTTATCAGCAGCTGATAGAACCTTATCAGCCCAATTATCAAAAAGATAAGGCACATTTAGAGCTTCCGATTGATACCAAACTTGCTCGAAAGTGTCGAAAAACAAAAAAAAAGTTGAGCCCCAAAAGGCTTCAGACTCAACCGTCCTTACTCAAGAACCCTTCAAGCAACACAAGGAAATCATAAAAGAGAAGGTATAAAATTTTAAATTCCTGAACTTCTCTCTCATGTAAAAATGTGTCTTTTCTCCCTTCTTGCTGTGGCTGTCCACAACTGCTCTTTTCTTAAAATTGTTGTCTAACAATATCCGTTTCTTTAAAGCTGCTGCAAAATAAAGAGAGACAGAAAGGGTTATTGATTGGGGATTTGAAGTTGGTTAGAGTATTGTTTAGAGAAAGGGTGTTAAGAGAAGGTATTAATGAGTAGAACAAATAAAGAGTATAAAAAATATGGAAGGAAGACAAAAATCTTGTAAATTAGCGGTATATCCTTATGGAGATGTTGAACAGATTAAATCAACAAAATTCAAAAATATCAGGGAAAAAATTGAAAAAAATTTTTTTTTAATTTGCTAGACTCTAGTGTCCAATTAATCGATTTATCCGAATAGAAGGAAATACAGCGGTGAGAGAAATAGGGGGAAGGGGCATTTTTCAAAATGTCAAAAATCAGGAGGTCCAAAACTCGAACAAATCCAACTAGCACAATTTAAGAAAACTATAAAGTAGTAAAAGAAGGATTTGGAGGATGAATAGAAACGTAAAAAAATGAAAGAAATAAATGCAAAAATGTATTAAAAATTAATCCCTGCCTGCGCAATTTTGATTAACTTAAAAGGAAGGGCACAGCCCAAATAGGCGCGCGGCCATAACGGCGCGAAGCCATAACTTGCTTCAAATTTTCCGAATTTTAACAAATTTAGTATTAAACGATTCCTCTCATCGAGCTAAAGAGATTGGTACCAAAATTGGCAAGGGACAAAAATTTTCCAGCAAGTTATGGCTTTGCGCCGTTATGAACGCGCGCCTATTTGGGTGCACTAAAAGGAAGAATTTCCCCAAGCTGGCAAAATGTCTTTTTGGTCAAATGAAATTTTACACTTTTTTGATTAAATAAATACCGTAATCTAATTAACTTTCGTTTCAAAACATTTTAGTTATTTCACAATTTTTGCAAAAAATTTTTTCATTTCCGGTCAATCAATGTGTCATTTATTTGTCCTTTTCATGTTATAATTTCCTTTTTTAGATTTTAAAGCAAAAAAGTAAATTAAAAAAGCGATTTTAACGATAAAATTAGTGATGGGATCATCCGTTCTTCAAGATTTATTGAAAGACCACATTTCTGAGATTGGCGATTGGAGCGAAATTGTAAACAATCATCAGGTTTATTTTTGTGTTTTGCCTTACTTTTTGTTAAACGAATTTGTGTTTAAGTTGTTTAGGGGAAAATTTAAAAGTTGGGCCACTGTCGAATATGGACGGTTTTTTCGATTTTCATTTGTCCGTTATGGGGCAACAGGAGTCTAGTAGGACTAGTGATCGAGGTTTTTGAAAAGCCTGGCCTGTTCCTGGGTTTGGTTTATTGACCTTGGCCTGATCCTGGGCTTGTAGTCTTTGAAAAACCCCGTTCCAGGAAAAACTCAAGAGGGGCAAAAATGCCTGGGCCTGGCTCTGGGTACAGGAAAAACCCAGGCTTTGGGCCAGACCATTTTCGATCTTTAATTGAAACCGCGCATTGATTGATTCTGGAATTGACTATTGGAGTGAAGTTGGCAAGCTTTTTTGAATATCATGTAATCTGTCCCTATTCGAAAGTGGCTTGCAATCTTAAATTTTCAATGTCCTGATTGAATTTAACGGACATTCCTTAAGTATTTACGCAACAATTGCGCGGGTCTTTTGACAGAAAGGACTTTTTGGTTTTAGGAGTCACAAACTTGTTGAATATTTTTATTTTGGGTAATAGTATTGGATTCAACTCACAATTTGGGTTTACTGTCGGCAAATGAGATTTTGATTTTTAAAAGTTGGGACCTGGTCTAATTTTGGAATCCATTGGGTCGGACTTGAGTCTGATCTTTGTCTGGGTGTAAGAAAGGCCCAGTAACTTGCCTGGAATGCAGCTCGGTCTATAGTTTGAGTTCTAATCGATAAAATTTAAAGGAAGACTCTTCAGCTGCCGAATCCTTACGAGCGCGTCAATCATTGTATAATATCAACCTAGATGGCCCCTTCTACATTTTTGTTTCACAAATGCCAACTCATTACAACAGAGAACCAGAGTCTAAAGGGCTTCGAAATGATATTTACAATCTTTTTGAGGGTCCAAAAAATGTAAAAATTTTTGTTTTTAAAAATTAATTCAAAAAAATTTTCAGCTCTTGCACGTGCATATATACGGACGCGGATGTTGTATGTTGAGAGCAAAGAATTTTGAAAGTTGTGTTCAAATTCTGAGGAAGGATGGCGAGGTATTTTTTTTATTTTCTTAGGCTGATGAATTTTCTTGGAATTTATGTATGACTTTAGAATTTATGTATAACCCCTTCTATAAGGTGTTATTTTCTCTAAAAATTTTTCCTTGGTTTACACTTTTTATGAAACCTGTTTCTTCGTATTTTTGGATCGTTCCCGAAATTTCTCATTATTTTATTGGCCTTTTTTATTTATCAAACCAATACCTTTCCAACTGTCTCGTGTTACTCATTAAAATTCTGAATGGCTCAGGGTGTGCCAGTATTGATCGGGGGTTGTGCCAGTTTTGTCTTTCGCCATTTCTAGTTTTCAACTTGGTTCATTGTTCGTCTCTCATTTTCTGTTTTGCTTTTTTGTTGTCTTTCACTTTTCACTTAAGTTTCGGCAAACCCCCTTGTATCTGTTTTCTCAAAAACTTCAAAGCGTTCCCCTTTGTGAGTAATAAACTAAAATTTTAAATTTTCAGAATTTCAAAGATAAACCAATGAGGATTGAATACGTCGTTCCAAACGGCGAACACCAATTTAAATATACAAGGTTTACTTCTATCCAATTGGACGCTCAAATGGAAATGTACCAACAAAAACTTTTGAATCCTCCAGAGGGTTTTTTTCAATTTTTTCAAAAATTTTTTTTATAAAATTTTCTTTAGAAAAGGCAAAACCGCCAAAACCAAATCCTTTTGGTGAAGCAAAACCATTAGATATTTCAAAGAAAATGGAAGAAGTTGCTTTGAAAGTACAGGCTGAAAACACTGAAAAAAGACCGCCGACAAAACCTGTTGTTGAAAATCCGCCAAAATATTTTCCTCGAACAATTGAGAGAAGCGGCGGACGTCCACATCCACAACCACATCCGCACAAAAATGATAATTATAATAGGTTTATATTTTTAATTTTGAATTTTTATTTTGAATTTTTTTTATGGGAAAGACAAATTTTTGGTCTGAAAATTTTTTTAGTTTGTTTTAAGTTTGCTTAAGGAATCAAAAATGAAATTCACTAAAATGAGGTTTAGGCACTCGGTTCTAGTTCTCAAATCTTCCATTTTTTGGACCTGTACCAGAGGAGCTGTCTTAAAATTATGTTAAGAAAAAGTTTTGTAACATAATTTTACTCGATTCTTGTTCCAAAATCCTTCATTTTTTTGACCAAATTTCACTGATTAGGCTGTAGGATCGAGGCTTACCGAGGATTATTCGATTGGTTTAATGCCCAAAATTTGGGATACGTCCGAATAGTCGCGCGGCCATAAGGTCGCCAAGCCATAACTTGCTTTAAAATTTCCGAATCTTTCCAAATTTAGTATTAAACGATTCCTCTCATCGAGCTGAAGCGATTGGTACCAAAATTGATAAGGGTCAGAAATTTTTTAGCAAGTTATAGCTTGGCGACCTTATGGCCGCGCGACTATTTGGACTGTACCCCCAAAATTTGCGATTCTTTTCTTCAGTCATTTTCGGATATTTGAAGAATTTTTTAAACTGACAACCTTTAACACTGATCTAAAATTCATTTTAGATTTAAAAAATCAACTAGACGTATGTCAACGATTTTGGAAGAATAGGAGAAAAATAATTTTATTAATAAAATAAAAAATAAATTATAAAAAAATTAAAGGGAAAAATAATTTAATAAAAAGGTAAAAACTTTGGGATGCTTGATTTATTGTCAAAATTTTAAGTGAAAAAAATTTTTTTATCCTCATTATATTCTTTCAACTGGGGAATTGTCGTTCGATTAACCAAAGAAATTTTCCTCCTAAAATTTTTTTCTCTAAAATTTTTTCCTTTAAAAAAATTTAATTTTTAACTTTATTTTAGAGGCACACCCAGAGGTGGAGGAAGAACAGGAGGAGGCGGAGGTGATCATCAACACCATCCACATCAGCAGTACCAACAACATCACCACCACCAAGGACACCAAAAACCATTTCATCCACGAATTTTATCTCATAAAAGCAATGATGGAGAAAATATTAAAGGAAATAATAGCAGTGAAATTGTTGGTGGTAATAAATCCAACATTGAGGAAAATAAAGGAAAAGAGGTTGAAATTAAAAGTGTTGTTGTTGAAAGGGCGGAAAGTGCTACATTAACAACGTCAACGACAGGTTTAATTTTGTTATTAAATTTTCTCAAATTATAATTTTCCGGAATTCATAAAATTAAACATTTTCCGGCAAATATTTTCTTTACTTCTGAATTTATTTTTATACTTGTACTTTTTCCGGAAAATGTATAATTAAGTTATAATTCGGAAATATTTCCGGAAAATACAGGTTTAAATTAATTATGGAATTGTCTCCGGAATTTCTTTTAATATGTTTTTCCGGAAAACAAATTAATATGACTAACAATATATTTTCCGGAAAATACATATTGTAAAATATACTCAAAAATTTCTGGAGTATTCCGGAATTTGTTTTCCGGAAAATACATAACAATACTATAGTATAACTATTATATCTTCCGGTCAAAATAAAACTTACCGGAAAATACATATTTTTAAAATAACTGAGAAATTTCTGGTCTACTTCCGGAATTTGTTTTATGTAAAATATATAACTATAGTATAGTATAACTCTAATACAATATTTTCCGGAACAAAAATATAGAACTTTCCGGAAAATTATATAACTAAAATATACTCTTGTATTACATTTTCCGGAACAAATATAAAAACTTTTCCGGAGAATAGAGTTATCAAATTATAATTAAATATTAACTAGGCGGAAGCACTATAACCAATATTACAACCGGAAATACAATTGCTACAACTTCAAATACAAACGGAAATAGAACTAGAATAATAAAGTCTTATAGCAGTACAGTTTCTACTGCAATACAACATCATCAACAACAACATCAACAACCTTTAATTAATGAATTACCACAATTACAACAAAAACAAGAACAACAAATAAAACAACAACAACAAAATTTTATTAAAAAACAAGAAGAAGAACAAATATTGGAACAAGGAGGAGGAGGAGGGCATGTTTCTTCTTCTATTAATGAAAATAAAAATGTTGTTGTTTCAAATTTGGAGAAAAAACCAAATAAAAAGAAGGACAATAAGAAAAGGAAATCAAATAAGAATGTGAGTTTAAAGGGTGTTATAAATGATTATCTTTTTTGATTAAAAAAAAATAAATTGAAATGTTGGTTGAATAATTTTTTTTAACTCTCTAAAATTTTTTTTTGGAATTTTTGGTGTTGACCTCATTAACTTGGTTTGGAACACATATTGAAAAAAATTTCAAAAGGCCGTAAAACGTTTTAGAAAAATTTCCAACATTTCAATTTTTGCTTATTTTGTATATATTAATTAATTTTATTTATTTTACTCAAAAATTATTCAAAATATCTTTATGGGAAGATTTATGTTTTGGGATTTTGACAATCAGAAAAAATTTGCGGGATTTTTTGGGGGTTCTACATATTTAGGATCCACTATTTTCTAAACCTTTGGAAATCTTTATGGGATTTAACATTTATATGTATTTTTTTCTTTTTGAGCCTCAGTTATTTTTCAGTTTAATCTGACCTCAAACTTATTTAAAAAATTTTTATTGTGTATACTTGGGATGTTAGAAAATTAAGAATAAAAGAGACTTTTAAATTACCACATCTCAGACGTCCGTTTGATTTTGCTTGTCGAGATTTATAGAAAAATATTAGGACTTTGGGATGTAAGCCAGGATTCACGCGTGGGTCGCTAGACGCCATAGTGCATCCATGATGCGGCATCTTGGATTTAACTATATGAGCTAAGCTATGTCTCTGCAGTTTTTGTTCTAGCAGTCTGGGTCTTTTAAAGTTATCTGTGTCCTTTAAAGTTATATAGGTCCTTTAAAGTTACCTGAGTCTTTTAAAGTCATATGGGTCTTAAAGTCATGACATCAAAAAAATTCGTAATATTTTTAACATCTCTAAAGTATATACTTTAAATACTTGTATAAATATTATACTATTATATATATTTTGCATTTTTCAATAAAAAATACTAAAAAAAAATTTTCTAAAATTCTTTTTTTATTAATTTTTTAGCAAGGTGGATTCAACAGCCAAAATCGGTACAATGCATTTCTGGATCCTGAATACAATTCTTAAAAAATTTTTATATGTTCGTGTGCTTGGTTGGTTGGTTGATGGTGGGTGTTTGTGTGATGGTCCGCAACATTCTCTCTCTCAAAAAAAATTTTTTTTCTCAAGAATATATGACATCTCTGGATTTGAATGATGCGTTTTTTTTTGCAAATTTTCCTCCCCAATATATTCAAATATAAAAAAAATATTTTTTTTCTCTCCCCAATAAAAAATATATATCCCCAGAATTTTTGTTTTGTTTTACTTATTATTTTTTTGGGCCGTGAAAATTTTTTTTCTAATTTATAGCGATGAAAATTGGGTACTTTCACATTATCTGGTATCCATTTTTCGAACTAAGTCAAGTCAGTAAGGTGTCCATTTGAGGGAGATTGGGTCGATTTTTCTCGATTAATTCCCTTCCCTTGAATAATTCCCCATGATAGAGTTGGGTTGAAACAACAATTCAACACCCTCAAACACACTACCGCACGTTCAAATGCCAAAACTCGAATAATTCCCCTCCCTTGATTAATTCCTCATGCCAAGGAAGGGTTGAAAATATAATTCCCCAGGGGAATTAATCGAGAAAATACGGTAGGCGTATTCTTCCGAGTAGCTCCCCTTCCCAGCTCTGTGGTTTGAAAAAATGGGTACAGATAGTGTGAAGTAGAGACCGGACTGGGAGGGTCTTACAAGAATCAAGATCGATATTTCGAAAAATCTTGATTCTCGATAACCTAGATTTTTGTTTAAGATCTCATCTCAGTCCGATCTCTAGTATAAAGTACCAAAAAAATTTATTTCCCCCTCCAATTATTATTATTATTTAAAAAATTTTTCTTCTATTTTGTTTGTATTCAATTAAAAAAGCAAAAAAAATTATAAATTATGTTAGGAAATATATTTTTGATTGAAAAATGGACATTATGCCATAGCTTTATTTTTTAGCTAAATGTTTGAAAAGATTTGGAAAGTATAAAAGGGTTTTCCATTAGGTGGTCTATTTTTCTTTTCGTTTCACACAAGAATTTTGGGTACTTTGTTCATATCCCACTCCCACCACTATTTGAGTCTCAGATTAATTTTCGTTTCATTCTGTCAATCCTTAAGTTCCCTCAAACATTTAAGCAAAGGCAAGTTATTAGAAAAGAAAAATAGACAAGAGCAACAAATCAAACTTACGGCAAAAATCAACATACTATATAAAGGAGAAAATTTGACCATTCCGAGGCAGGAAAAAATGAAAGGAAAATTAATCTGATTGTGAGACTCAAATAGGAGTGGGTGTGGTTATTCAAATAGGGTAGGGGTGTGCGGTACACCTCAATTGAGTCCGCACGATTGAGTCCCCACGATTGAGTCCGCACGATTGAGTCCCCACGATTGAGTCCCGGCACAATTGGTGGGGACTCAATCGTGCGGACTCAATCGTGGGGACTCAATCGTGCGGACTCAGTTGAACTGCTCCGGGGGTGTGGAACTAAGACTCTAATAGGGGTAGGGGAACAAAGTACCGAATTTTGTTTTTTCGTATAGCAAAACGAAACCTAAGAAAATTTTTTGGTTCAAAAACAAATGAGGGGGCAAGAATTGGGAAACGAATCGAAATTGGGTTATTTCGTCTAAAAATGACGAATAGTAAAACGAAATTTTGCAAAGTCTAGGTCCTATCAACACCCTTTCCTTAATTTTCCAACTTAAAACTTTAATCGCTTTTTCAGATTTTTAATTAAAAATAATAAAAATGAGTGTCAATACACACTGGCTTTGGGATCATAAAGATTTGGAAGATACTCCTTCAGTTCGAGATGGTGGCATATCTTTGGAAGAAGAAAATAAATTGAGAAGGGAAGGTGTGAAAATGATTAAAAAGATGGGGAAATCTATTAATTTGTTTGTTTTTTTAAAAAATTTAAAGGAGAACAAATCCATTTAAAGGAGAACAAATCCGACGTTGGCCACTGCTTGTGTATTCTTTCATCGATTCTATATGTTCAATACGTTTGCAGAATATCCTACACACGTGAATTTTAAAACATGAATAATAGCTTGGCTCTAGTATAGTCTATAAGCCCAATCAAAAAATGGGAATTTCTTGGTTTGCAAAATAGGGCTATTGTTCCGACGATTCTTCACGTTCAGTATCTACGCCTACTGGGTCTGGAACCATTTCTACCCTACTTTCTCAAAGTTTCTCAAGGTTCTAGCCAATTTTTAAAATCTCATAACGAATTTAACATTCAGAAATTTCGAGGGATAAGGTAAGGAAAGGTCCCAGACCCAGTGGGCTTAGGTCTCGAATATGAAGAAATGTTTTGGTGCCATACCTCACCTTTGCAACACCAAGAAAAATTCAATTTTTTTCGATTGGACTCATAAACTAGATTAGAGCCTATAGTTTTTATTTTCCTGAAAATGTATTTCCGGAAGTTAAAATACATATTTTCCGGAAATACATAGTTTAATTCCCTTAAAGTATTTTGAGTAAATAATTCCGGAACTTTATTCTATTTTTAATCATTTCCGGAATACTATCATGCTTAATATTCCGGAAAATAACAACTTAGAATATACTCTTCCGGAAAACTTATAGACCCAATAAACCCAATAAAATAATAATATTTTAATAGATGATGGCATTAACCTGCCTTTTTCTTGCCGGAAAAGTAGAAGAAACGCCTAAAAAGTGCCGAGATTTGGTTCAAATGGCTAACGACAAATATCCAATACAATTTGCTGGAATAAATTTAATTGTTTGTTACTAGATAGAAATCCTATTTAATTTTTAATCATTTTTAAAGGACGAGCTAATTCTGCTTGAACGCATTTTGCTGCAATCAATTCGTTTTGATCTTCATGTTGAACACCCGGTGAGATTTTATTTTATTAAAATATTTTCCGGAAAAATTTCTTCATATTCCGAAAATAGTGTGGGAAAAATTACTCTAATTATTTCCGGAAAGTAAAGTATATCGGAACCTGTAATAGTTTTTGAAAATAATATGTATTTTCCGGAAAGCAATTTTTTGCTAATATTTATTTTCCGGAAAATTGTATTTTGTAATATAACTCTGTTTCTGAAAATAAAACGTGTTCTCCGGAAAATTGTCTATTAATATTTTAAATAGTTTCCGGAAAGCTATTTTCTATTAATTTTATTTTCCGGAAAATTGTATTTTGTAATATAACTGAAAATAAATAGTCTTTTCCGGAAAGCCTTTTCTATTAATATTTATTTTCCGGAAAGTTGTATTTTGTGATATAACTCTGAAAATATAACGTGTTTTCCGGAAAGCCTTTTCTATTAATATTTATTTTCCGGAAAGTTGTATTTTGTGATATAACTCTGAAAATAAAACGTATTTTCCGGAAAACCGCCAATTAATATTTTAAATATTTTCCGGAAAAATTGCTTATTTTAATATTCTATTAATATACTTTCCGGAAAATACAATTAAAATTAAACCTTTTTTAGTATAACTTTCTGGTGGAATATGCAAAGGAATTTAAACTTGATAAGGATTATATGAGCAAAATTGTGGTAATAATATTTTCACCTTTTCATTCCAAAAATAAACTTAAAGACAAATGCCTGGACTTTTATTAATGATTCATTAGCAACCAGTCTTTGTTTATTATACGAACCGGAAGTTATTGCTGTTGCTGTTCTTTATATGTCGTTTAAAATGGAAAAAATGGCCTCTCATTTGTCTTCAGAGGGAGAGGAGGCAAAAATGAAGGAAGATACTGAATGGTGGAATATTGTGAATTTTTATTTTAAATTTAAAAATTAATTTCCTTTTAAAAGTATGTGCAAAATTTGGCAGTTAAAACGATGGAGGATATTTGTCATAAGGTATTAAAATACAAAATTCCGGAATAGAAAATAATTCCGGAATATAACTATAAATATATTTCCGGAAAATAAATTGTACAAACCAGAATTTTATTATAACTATAGTTCTGAAAATAATTATATGCCCATGTATTTTCCGGAAATCTTTTTTTTTGTTTATACATATATATATTTCCGGACAGTCAGAATTCTGGAATAACTATAGTTATGAAAATACATGTATTTTCCGGAAGCTATTCTATTACAATTCTAAATTTCCGGAAAATACCCTTAATTATTGAAATATATTTATTCTGATTATATTTATGTTACTAAAAATATTATTCTGATTAATTTTCAGGTGTTGGACTGTGTGGAGGATGCAGGTGTAGAAGACATTGACGAAACGAGTAATTTAGCTTATAATTAAAATTGTTATTTAATTCGTTAAATTTGTTTATTTTAAATTGGCAAAGGAAAACATTTAGCTGAGGAATTAGGTCATAATTTTGATGGAGTGGATTTGACAGGGCGTGAACAACTTTGCAATCAATGATTAAGTATTTTTGTAGGTTGAAAAGAAGGGATTTTAGTTTTGGTTCAAGTAATTTAGGAAAATGGAAGAGACCCAGCTTAGTTAATATTTAAAACGATTAGGGAGGGATATGTAAAATATTTAAGAGAAAAAGCATAGAAACATCGCTCGATGGTTCAAAACAAATAGGGAAATTTTTTGACTTTCAATGAATCGTCAACCGAAACAACAATACAACAGACCGGACCATCAAACGAGGAAACCAAATCAAGTGCACAAACAACAACAATTATTGTCATTTTTTATACAAATGATGAACAACAACAACAACTACAGAAACACCAACTACAACAACCTCCACGACAACGACAACCACCACGATAACAACAAAGCCAAAAAAGGAGGAAAAAAAGGAAGAAACACAACAACAAACAACCACACATAATTTAATTTAATTATATATAGGGCTGGGAATTGTCATTCTTGGACTGGCTGCTGGCATTGGAGTCGGGGCTTATTTTTATTTCAATTTAAATAAGCCGGGAGATAATGAAGGTTTGGAGATGCAGGATCAGGCGCCAGGGAAACGGCGCTTGGAGCAGGAATCGAACCCTTCTCTTTTGCTCCCGGATCTGAGGACACGGCTATTTCAATGTCAGTAAAGGAAAAAACAGCAGTTGAAGTTTGGGGAGTGGAACTGCTGCTGCTGGAGAGACAAAAATTGATGCAGAAAAGGAAGGAAAGGAAGAAGCAGCTGGGGGAGATGGCAGGTAAAAAGACATCAATAAAAATTAAATCCGCAGACTTTTGACTTTCTGGGATCTGTTCTTCACAAAAATAAATCAAACTAAAAATTAAATCAACTTTTTTTAATTTAAATCAACTTTTTTTAATTTTTAGTTTGATTTATTTTTGTGAAGAACAGATCCCAGAAAGTCAAAAGTCTGCGGATTTAATTTTTATTGATGTCTTTTTACCTGCCATCTCCCCCAGCTGCTTCTTCCTTTCCTTCCTTTTCTGCATCAATTTTTGTCTCTCCAGCAGCAGCAGTTCCACTCCCCAAACTTCAACTGCTGTTTTTTCCTTTACTGACATTGAAATAGCCGTGTCCTCAGATCCGGGAGCAAAAGAGAAGGGTTCGATTCCTGCTCCAAGCGCCGTTTCCCTGGCGCCTGATCCTGCATCTCCAAACCTTCATTATCTCCCGGCTTATTTAAATTGAAATAAAAATAAGCCCCGACTCCAATGCCAGCAGCCAGTCCAAGAATGACAATTCCCAGCCCTATATATAATTAAATTAAATTATGTGTGGTTGTTTGTTGTTGTGTTTCTTCCTTTTTTTCCTCCTTTTTTGGCTTTGTTGTTATCGTGGTGGTTGTCGTTGTCGTGGAGGTTGTTGTAGTTGGTGTTTCTGTAGTTGTTGTTGTTGTTCATCATTTGTATAAAAAATGACAATAATTGTTGTTGTTTGTGCACTTGATTTGGTTTCCTCGTTTGATGGTCCGGTCTGTTGTATTGTTGTTTCGGTTGACGATTCATTGAAAGTCAAAAAATTTCCCTATTTGTTTTGAACCATCGAGCGATGTTTCTATGCTTTTTCTCTTAAATATTTTACATATCCCTCCATAATTATTTTAAACATTAACTAAGCTGGGTCTTCCATTTTCCTAAATTACTTGAACAAAAACTAAAATCCCTTCCTATTCAACCTACAGAAATACTTAATTATTCATTGCAAAGTTGTTCACATTATGTCAAATCCATTCCATCAAAATTCTGATCTAATTCCTAGGCCAATTGTTCTCCTTTGTCATATACTTATTGTGTTACATGTGATATTATTTATTAAAATATTTTTACTATTTTTGGAATTTTTTGTTTAAAATAATTATTTAAAAAATATCTCAAAAACTGATTCATTTTATTAAAATTATTAAAAATTGAAATTTTGTGGTTTCGTAAAAATAGAAAAATGTAAATAAAAATTAGGGTTGGGGGCCCGGTCCGGGCCGAAAATCCGAGTCGGGCTTCGAATTGTGGCCCGAAAAAGACTGTCGGGCCGGCCTGATAAAATTGAGGCCCGAAAAAATGACTCGAAAAAATATGGCCCGACACGAAAACCCCAACCCTAATAAAAAACAAACTATTATAAAAATTAAAAAAAAAATTCCAAAAGTAAAATTAAATAATTAAAAGAAAAATTAAAAGAAAATTCCTTTCCTATTAAAATTAAGCAGAATAAGCATTCGATGTAACTCGTCTTCCTTTTCCTGTCTAATTTGTATGTAAAGCAATTCCTGGATTAGAAAGAAGTTCATAACAATGAGCACCAAAATAGTCACGCCTTAAATTTAAAATTTTTTTAAGAATTCCTTAAAATTAAAAAAAAACCCGTAATAAATTAGCTGGTAAAGCTTCAGAACGATAACAATCAAAAAATGATAAAAGCACTAAATGCAGGCAGTGGAATACCGGGTTGAACGGCTGTAGAGATGACTTCACATTAAGCATTCTAAAAATAAAAAATATTTTATTTAAAAATTTTTAGGTTTCGAAAAATTTTCAAAAAAAATTTTGAAAAAATTTTTCAAAAAAATTCAAGAAATTTCAAAAATTTTTTAATTCCCAAAAATCGCGGAAAAAATTAAAAAAATTAACCTGAGCATTCTTCATCGCATCAAGAAAGAAATCATCCAAAAGATCCAAAACGTTTGCTGTGCTTCGGCTCCATACCGGCATTGAGCCGGATTTTTATCGTCGTCTGTTGTTGTGGCTCAATAATTCCAGAATCCTGCTCAATTCGGAAGTTATTTTCTATTTTATTACTCAGCCCCAACGCCCAGGCCACTTTCCTTCGCCCTACATTTCTTATGACAAGTTTGTAGGGCCTTTCCACGTCAAACGGCGCGTTGAAGACGAGGCGGCTGGCAGGCACAGTGGTGATTGGAGAAGGCAAAAGTTGGGCCATGATTGAAGTTAACCTAAAATTAGGCTTTTATACTAGTGTTTAGACATACCCCTTATAGGGCTCGGATTTATATTTAAACAAATCACTGGACCCTGCCCACTAACTGACTACTGTCTCTCCATTTTTATCACATCTATCACTGCTTTTCTGTCTGTCTTCTATTGAACTCAATGGTCAGACAATGGTATGTCAAGGCCTGTTCAGGACCAAGGCCGTTTTTGTGCCCTACTTAAATATTGATCCGAGCTCTACTTTTAAGTTGTATTACAAAAGCCATTAGTTTGGGGTGAAAAGGCAATAAATTAATAAGTTGGGAAATAAAAATATTTTTAATTTGATGAAATTTCAACAAATAAATTGGAAAAAATTAAAAAAAATTTCACAAAATATTTATCAAAAAAAATTTTTAAGCATAATTTCTAAAATATAATGTAACTCGTCTTCCTTCTCATGTCCAATTTATATGTAAAGCAATTCCTGGATTAGAAGGCAGTTTATAACAATGAGCACCAAAATAGTCACGTTGTGCCTTTAATTTAAAAATTTTTTTAAAATTTTTTAAAATTAAAAAAAACCCGCAATAAACTAGCTGGTAAAACTTCAGAACGATAATCATCAAAAATTGCTAATGCAGCGATAAATGCAGGCATTGGAATACCGAGTTGAACAGCTGTAGAGATGACGCTAAAATTTCTTTTACAAAAATATTTTCTTAAAAATTTTTTAGGTTTCGAAAAATTTTAAAAAAAATTTCAAAAACAATTTTTTTAATTCCCAAAAATCGCTAAAAAAATTAAAAAAATTAACCTGAGGAAATCGCATCAAGAAAGTAATCAACCAAAAATATACAAGTTTTGGATTTTTCTCAAAAGCACTTTTTAATTCAATCCCATCTTGAGTGGGGGCAAAATCTTCTTTAGCCCTAAAGAGGGCTGTTTAGGGTTGTGCCCTCAAGAGGGCATCGATGCCGATTCTTTTGTGGTTTTTTATACCTGGCTCTTGAAGCCAGCTACCGCGGAACCTTCGTCCCTGGTTCACAGGAACATTAAAGGTTACTAACCTTATATACAGACCTTCCTGTGGCTGAGAGGGCTCCCAGATAATACTGGTTCTGAGCACCTCTTGCGGTCTAATTACACCGCAAATATCAGCCACTCCAATTTTTTCACAAAAATTCGACTGAAATGCGAACGCCACTGGCCCTACATTTTCTACGAGGAGCTCATGCTCCTTACGCATGTTAAATGGCGCATTTATAACTAATCTATTTGAAGGGAAGATAATAACGGGACTGGGGGTCATGGTAGCCATTATACGCCACTGGGCGTCGGCCGACATTTTTGACGAGGAGTTCATGTTCCTGTCTTAAATTGAATGGAGCATTTATTACCATTTCCAATTAAAATGATTACTTGTCTCAGGAAGTAGAGCAAATCCTTGAGCACAACTAACAAATTTTGAAGCATATCAGGCCTTTAAAAATCAATTTTTAAGAAAAAGTAAATTAAAAAAAACCTGCCCAAGATTAATAAATTTATATCCATAATTTTTTTAAATTTCTTTTCTAGTCCAGACAAAACTTTGGAAGCACAAATACGTTGTTGTTTCTTTAGAGATGATAAACAACAGGCAAAAAATTGCATCGGCTGAAAAAAAGGATTATATAAAATGGATGGGGGCTAGGCGGCGGACCGATCAACCTACAGAATGATTAAAACACGGAATATTTTAAAAATTAGAATATTTTTAGAAATCGGAATTTTTCAGAATTTTTTTTAATTCTATTTTTTTTAAATTATTCAGACTTTTCAAAAAATTCCATTTTTAAATTATTCCGTTTTAGTCATTCCGTGAGTTGGTAATTGCGTGACTTGTCCGTTCCGTGAGTTAGTCCGACACGATGTAAAATAAAACTAAAATATACCAATTAAAATAACAAGAATTCCATATTCAAGTTAGTATTAAACGATTCCCCTCATCGAGCTAAAGAGATTGGTACCAAAATTGATAAAGGCCAGAAATTTTCCAGCAAGTTATGGCTTTGTGCTGTTATGGCCGCGCGACTACCTGGGCGTGCCTTTAAAATTAATTTTATAATTTTTAAAAAAAATTTTTTTCTAAAAATTACAAAAAATTTTTTAAATAATTTGAAAGGGAAATATGTAAGACAAAATTTTTAAACAACCTTTTGAGCAGTGTCAAGTATTTTCGGCATTAATGGCTCTCCTTCTACATCACGATAACATAAAATAGTTGCAGTTTCTATCAGAAAAGAATCGAGTTCTCCTTTATTCCAATCCTCAAAAATCTTAAAAAAATCAGTCAAAGAAAATTTTTACTTATAGGAGGTTTTTAATGAGTGAACGGTTATGGACGTATGAGGTGGAAAGGTGGGAGAAGTTTGTCCAGTACCTAGGGGCCTATTCCTTTTTAGCGATTCTCTGCCTAGAATGCCGCCCTATCCTACGTAGAAAAAAAAATTAATTCGGTTGGTCATAATTTGACAAGGCGATAATTATGGTAGTCGAATCAGTTCGAGGAACCCATTCGAATAAGGTATTATTTGTCCATCGACTCATTAAAAATTAAGCTTATGCAGTTTGGGTACACACCCCATTTATTCGCGAGACACACCCTCATTTACTAGGCGAATTGACTAACCAACCCGTTTATTCGCGAACTAGCAAAAAGCCAAAGCGTTTTCCCGACCGCAATATGGTTACTTTGACCATTTTTAGCTTGCGAATAAATGGGGTTGTACACAAACTGCAAAAGTTCCTTAAAAACCCCCTATAAGTGAAGAGTACCCTAGTTTGTTTAGAATTTATCAAAAAAAACCTCAGCCATTTTTGTAAAATCAATTCCCCTTTACTCATTACACGGAAAGCTTCACAAATTAATTGCAGATGGCCATACTCGATTCCATTTATGATCCATTTTAACAAAATGCCTAGAACCTTCAATCCCCACCCATTCACAATATGGAAGGCCATCTGGGGCTTTTGCTACGATTCCTTGAAAAATTTGGTTTTAAACGTTCCCAAGCTTCTAGAGAACCACCAGGCATTAAAGAAGGCTGAAAAAATAAGTAAAATTGGATGTCAGAGAAAAACACGTCGGCGCGCGGCCATGTAGGCGCAAAGTCATAATTTGTTTCAAAATCTCGGGATCTTATTAAATTTAGTATTAAACGATTCCTCTCATCGAGCTAAAGAGATCGTTATCAAAATTGTTAAGGGCAAGAGATTTTTCAGCTAGTTATGGCTTTACGCCCACATGGCCGCGCGCCGAAGTGTCCCTTACCTTTTCTATTTGTCCCCCCATTTCATTATGCTCCTCATCAAATAAATCAAAGTCAAAATTCTCAGCTTCTGGTCTAATTAATTTATTTAATAAATTAAATAAAAATCCTTACAATAGAAATCTCCAATAATTTTTCACGAGCAAGTTCGTATTCAAAATTATTAATAAAATCACGAAAATATAAATTTTTTTGTTTAATTGAACATATGTAATTGCTGATAGTTGAAGAATTTAAAAACATCCAGTTTTGTCTTTGTTGGTAAAGAATAAAGCATTTTTGAGGAAAGTTTAAATTTAGCACTAAAAATCTAGGAGCTAGAGATCGGAATTTTGAAAAAAACGGGACCGGGAACCGGGTTCTGAAGGTCGACCGGGAGGGACCCGGACCGGGAAAACCGGGAATTCCCGATCCCGGTTTCATCCCGGCATCTTCAAAAAAGCCGGGAAAAAGGACCGGGAAACCGGGAAACGGGACCGGGTCCCGATCCCGTTCCGATCTCTACTAGGAGCGAGCCATTTGAGTACCGCCAGTTGAGTACCCGCCGAATTTGATAGGATATAACTTTTTGCTGCTTGATCCAATACGAATGAATCTTATATCTTTCGAAAGCCCTCGATAAGCGCTATCTTTTACCCAACTGGATGGATCATGTCTGATCGCCCAATAAAAAGTTACAAGTCGATAAGTGCCCGAAATCGTTGTTTTTCACTATTATCGACTTGTAACTTTTTATCGAGTGATCAGACAAGATTTATCTGGTTAGACAAAAGATAGTGCTTATCGAGGGCTTTCGAATGATATAAGATTCATTCGGATTTGATCAAGCAAAAAAACAAAAAAACATGGCCCTGAATTTGTTCGGACCCGTTTTTAAGTCAATAATTTTAAAAAAAAATTTAAATAAAATCCTCTTATCACGAGTACTTGTACAAATCAATTCATTAAATTAAAACATTTTTTGCCAACTATCTTGTCGATTTTTGAGAGGACGGACAGTCTTTCGTAAAAATCCGTCTAAAAAAATTTTGAGCGCGCGCACCCTTAAAATTTTAAAAATTTTTTAAAGGGCAAAAATAAATATTTTTCAACGCTATTTTAATTTTCTTTTTCTCTAATTTGATAAAAAATACAAAAAATTATCTGGAAATCAATTCTTTGTGGCAATAAATTCGATAAATTTTGCCAGTCCATTTAACGGCCTCTTCTCAGCCCTCCATATATATACAAGTATCAACCCCCCTAATTTAACCAGTTTACTCAAAAAAATTTTTAAAATCACAACCCGTCCTTTAAAAGAAATTTTCTTTAATATAGAAATGCGTGAAAAAGCAAAATTTTTGTTAATTTTTGCTTTGATTCTCGCTTCGAATTTTAGTGTTGGCGTTGTTGCGAATGGTTTTGATAAAGGTATTAATATTTAAAACCGTTTGTGGACACCCTTGGTTAGCTCCAAGAGGCCTGTTTTTATTCAAGTTTCCCTAATAGTATTTATAAGAGGTAAAATTAAAAATTGCCTCAGGCAAAGTAGACCAAAGTGCAATTGATCAAGTGTTGTGGCATCAAACAGGCAATAGGGTTCCCATTTCCCAGTCCTTTACGGGGTTTTTTAAGATGCCGGGATGAAACCGGGATCTGGAAGACCCAGATTTACCGGTCCGGTTCCGGCCGGTTAATTTTCTTTTTCAGTTCCCATTTTTTTCAAAATTCCGGTCTCTAATTCTTGTATTATAATTAAAGTCGATTTTTGTTTTTGGTCCATTTTTTATTTCTATAGATTTCGTGTTAGAATAAAGTTAAAAAATTTAAAATGAATATTTTTAAAAATATTTTTATTCATTTTTACAGAGGGAGTGTTAAAAGAAGATCGCATTGAACGTTTACAAGAAATTGCTGAGATAGATGATTCAACTGGAATGCCTCGTGGATGTGAATACCCAACTGATCCGATACAATTCAAGGAGTATGAATATCTTAAAGAAAAGGAGCAATATAAAAACCTTTTCAAAACATTTAAAAAAGCCTTTGAAGGACTGGTAAATAAAGTAATAGAATTTGCACAACAAAATTTACTAAATATTAAACTAAATCCTGATCAAGCTGAAGTTATTGCAAATGAATTAAAAGAGTATGATAAAACTGTCGAAAAATCACAAACAAAGATGAAAATGCAAGAGGTAAAGGAACTGGACAAACTTTCAGTTTTAGTTCTATTAGCGTTTCTAAAAAGGGAGCAAAAACAAAAATAGGCATATTATAAGTAGGGAACGGATTTATATGGATTTCCATATTTTTTTCCTGGCCTAGCTGGGTCTTGAAACGTTCAAAAAACATAGTTTTAGCATATGTTGATAAGACAGATAATGAGTTATCAATCCATATTTTCCATATTTTTCCATATTTTAACGTTCGGTCCATATTTTCCATATTTCGTCCATATTTCGTCATTTTTTGTAAAATTTTGCCAAAAATTGGTCAAAATTTTAAAATTTATGAAATTTTTTGGGCAAAAAAATTTTTATAAAAATTTTTTGGAAAAATTTTTTGAAAAATTTTTTCATCAAAAATTTTTGAAAAAATTTTCGACACAAATATTATCCGAAGTATTTTTAGAAACAAAATAATCACTATAAATTGATTTATTTTTAATATTATGCATCAAAATTAACTTAATTAGCATTTTGCTGCTTAAAAATGCAAATTTTGCGTTGAAAATTTTCAGTTTTAGGCCCATATTTGATCCATATTTTGGATTTTAATCCATATTTCAGTCCATATTTTAAAATGTTTAGTCCATATTATATGTCCATATTTTTCGATTAATAGTCCATATAAATCCGTTCCCTAATTATAAGTCATGCTATACTCTTCTGACCACGATAAAAACATGTCTTTGAACGTTTTACATCATGTCAAGCTCGCAGAAAAAAAGGCATTTGCCTATAAATCCGCGGGCAATGAAAAGGCAAGGGTAACAGTATTAAGTAGCGACTGGACGGTACCGTACTTGACGGCATTTTTCGGTAGTTATCGGTATTCCGTATCGGTAGTATGGTACGGCATACCGACCTATAAAATTTTTATTTTTTCCGTATCGTAATACGATACCGATAAAAATGTATCGGTATTTTTCAGTATTTTGTGGTGCATATTTATCGGTATTACAGTCGGTATGCTCTTTAGTAATAAGTACGTGCCATGAAAAAGCAAGAGCAATTGTGTTCTTGACAGCACGTTCTGATGGCGTGAAGCTTGCGCCTTTTGTTTTAATTCCACGCAAAAGGCATGTACTTGAAGCCGAAGAGCGTTTTAAAAATTAAACTTGTATTGGCATGGTAGGAAAGACATGGAAAGACATCTAATGGTGTGAGAAGCATCTAATTTGAGAAAAAAGACTATATAATTCGAAAAATAGTTAAAAGATAGAGCCCGATCCTTAGTTAGAGCCCCAATCTTAAATAGACCCCACCTTGTAGGATAGTTGAAAAATAGAGGCCCATGGGGCTCTAATATAGGAAATACGGTAATTTTTGACAAACTTTCCATTCTAGTTACCCATTATGTCGAGGAAGACCGGCCAATCCAAAACCTATATTTTAAATTAAAGGAATCTGCTACTTCACCGAACACGATTGAATACAAGGAATTGATAACTATTGTTGTAGAATGCAAGATTTTCATGATAGATTTAAATTCAAGTTCAGAAGCCTCCCTGATTGATATTTACTCTTTTATGGAAAAAGCATCCTCTTTAAACTACAAGGAATCGTTGTTTAATTTTACTGCAATAAATTATTTGAAATTTATTTTTAATTTATCAAAAATACAAAGCAAAGAAATGGATAAAGCTATTATTGAAGTAATTTACAATCAGCATTTGGAAAATAAAAGGTTGAGAAAAGAATTTAAAAATGCAATTGTGGAGGGTGCTGGTCCAGTTGGTTTATATGCTTCCTTCAAACTTTTTATGGGTAATTTTAATAAATTAAAAGTGATTTTACCAAGGAATGACTAAAACATTCTTTATTACATAGTGATTAAGTCTACTAGCTGAGCCATATTGAGTATACTAGCTTTTTCATGGGAAGGGGGGGGGGGTTATAACTGGAGTTTATTATATTGGAGTTTATTCTCCGTTGAAGACTTAACCAGCTTGGCGGGTTTTGCTAGAATCTACCTATACAATGAGTTCAAACGAAATCAATATATGTAAATAATTTTAAGAAGGAATAAATGTAACTGTTGTGAATAGTCATTCTAACCGTAAAATATATCATACAAGAGTGCAACTTCAACAATGGATGTCAAAATTGCGTTTCTATCTGGGTACTAAATTTGATAAATTACTCCGTGAAGAAAAATTGATAGAAAAATATGAATATTTTTCAATTCCTTTAAATATTAAAAAATTTGATGATGCGTTGAAAGAACGTTTAAACGTCTTGTCAGAATATGTACAGGAAAAAGAAAAAAATAAAAAAGAAAATGAAAAATCGTTTTTGAAATATGATGCAAAAATTTTGGACATTAATACTGTTAATGAGAAGCCACTGGCTATTTTGGATAAAGTTTATAAAGGGAAAAATTTTGAAATTCCTTTTGATTTGATTTTCTGTGATTTTGAAAAGCAAATGAAATATGGTGTTGTTATCGTCCACAAAAAAGATTTTAACAACAGAATATTCAAGGAAGATCAAAACATGATAATTAAGACAAATTCGATTGATTCTAGTTTATTAAAAAAATTAGAAACATTGAAGAAGGAATCATTTTTCCTTTCTAAACAGATTAGACAACGTTATTATAATCTAGAATATTTGATTAAAAATGGTATGAAAAAGGTCGAAAATAATTTTCAAAATTTTTTGACCAGAACGGGCAAAGTTTATGCAACACGACCCGATGCAAGACTTGTATCTCCTTCCGGGATTGTAGAAAATATTTCTGTCCAAATATTTGAGACAGAGACAACAATACAAATTCAGTCAGAAATACCCATGGCAATTGTTGAATTAATTGAAGAAGTTAAAAATGAAAGGGAGGAATTGAAAGAGATGAATGATGAGGAATTTAAAATGAAATGGAAAGAATCAATTATTGAAGAGGCAAAATACAAAAATGATAAAGAACTTAACGAAAATTTAAAGCCGATAAAAAACAAACAACAGAAGATTCTGGATGAAGAATTAAAAGAATTAAATGGCAAACATATGGGAACAGAGATGCGAATAAAATTTATAAAACAAAATTTTGAAAAGTCAGAAAAATTGAAGAAAAAACAATTAAAAGAGGTGAAAAATTTGCAAGAGAAAAGTGACAAAATTATGAGCAAGATATGGGAAATAAAAGACGAAATGAATCACGGATTTAAGGAAGAATTAGACAAAATAAGCTACAAAAATGAGAAGATATTGGAAGAAAAACTAGGAGAGATTAAAGTTGAAAATGATAAAATTTTGGAAGGAGACATGGAAGACGAACGTAAACAAATGTTAGAAAAATATGATGATTTTATTGTTGAATTAAAAGAAGAATGGTTTAGAGCTGTTTTTAATCATGTATTTAAGGGATACAAAAGTGGAGACAAAAAGAAAGTGATAATTAAATTAGGCAAGGAAATTGAAGAGGAAAAGAAAGGAGAAGCAAGTACTAGCTATGATATTGAAACAATTGGAAAAAACGAACATATTCTTTATTTTGACACAAACAGTTTAATTGGAAAAACATTTTTGTTAAAAATTTATGGAAAAGAAAATGCAGTAAAATTAGTTAAAGGAAGAAAAGATTCGGCAATTTTTGTGAATATAAACGATGAAGCACGTAAAGAAAATGACGAAAAAATTAATAAAGGCATGCTTATTAAGATTAAAGTGTAAAAATAAATTAACGAATTTTTTGTCCCGAACCTCAGTAGTTACCCATACTCCAAATGTCCGACCTACTTGGCGGATATTTAGGAGGGGGAGGGGTCTGTCGGCAAAAAACATAGGATGTAGGAGGTTTCGAGGCGGCATGATCAAGGAAAACCAAAGGGTGTAGGGGCAATTACTCATCCCATTTGTCCGAGTTTGCGGCATGATCAAAGGGAAACCAAAGGATTTGGGGTAATTACTCATCCAAATTGCGCAAATGGGATGAGTAATTGCCCCTACACCCTTTGGTTTTTGCCGACAGACCCCGCCCCTCGTAAATGTCCGCCAAATAGGTCGGACATGGGGGGTAGTACTATTAGCCTCGCATTTTTTCTTTCTGGAAAGATCGATTAACTTATCAATAAATTAAGATATAACTTATATTAAGTTTTCTAATCAAACTTTTCAAAGATTTGCTAGATGTTGAGGGTGCAGTTTCTGCTATTAAAGAATACAACAAAAGTAGCGAACAAATGGATTTAACAAAAATGTTAATGAAAGCGTTGAAGTCTGCTAAGCTGAATGATTATTATTTAATTTTTTAAAGCAAACATTCAAAAGTGTATCAGAATTGGGCAAAACCCGTTCAGGCCGTCCTGTTATTAGAAAAAAACCTTTTATTTCGCATAGAGTTGTTGTAATAATATTAAGAAAGACCCAATAGCATTAGGGTTTAAAATATTAGTGCACATTTGTATATGACATAAATCGAAATGTATATGACATAAATCGGATTTAATTTCTGTAAGAGAAGCGGAACCTTCTACTCTATTGTGCGGATTGTGGTTTTGTCTGAATGCCTTTTGCCTTCACCCATGGGAAGCATCCCCATTATTATTTAAAAAACTTTTGACCTATTAATGCCCCTTGTAAATACTCATACAAAATGGTCATTAAAGATATAAGATATGACCATATCTTCGTATTTTTTGGCCTTGTGTTATCCTAACGAGGGCTGTGCGCCATGCCTGGCGTTTTGCATCTATTTTTGGCCGATTTTGTCGTATGGCTTGTTTTAAGAATTTGAAAAACTGGCGTTTGGCGCGCCACGCAAAAATTTTGACGCACAGCCCGGATCCAAACGATAAATCATTTAAAAATTATTTTTTAAATTTTATTCAACAATTTTTTAAATCCTCGTTTTAGATTTGTATAAAATTTAGTTGTAAATTTAAAAACTTTTTTGTTCAAAAATTTAAAAAAATTTTTAAAATGGAAACCCAAATAACAATTTTAATTTTTATTTAAATTATAGTTTCGTTATTTAAAATTATAGTTTTAAGTTCCTCCCGACAGTCCAACATCTAAAAAGATTAAAATAATACATATTTTAGATTTAGTATTTGTCGCGGATCGCTCCAAAGTGCCTTCTCTTACTCAAAGAGCTCTCACTCTTTTACACACAAGAGACTCACTTTTCTGACCTATTTAAACTCTTAATTTCTCATATGGGGTTCTGTTTTGGTTCTCTGGCTGGCTTTTCTGATCCTTAACTTATTGCTTTGTTGGTTTTAATTGCTTACTATTTAGCTCGCTTGTTCATTAATTGTTGAACTTATTTAATTTGGCAAAAATATTTTTAATTTGTTTGAAACGTTTTGTTGAAACTAAGCGATTAAGCCTAAAGTTGGTCTACTTGCCGTAAAAAACCTAATTTTATTTGGCATTTTACTAGATAAAAATATAAAAAATAACTATTTTTAACATTTAAAAATACACAAAAAGAACCACCATTGTGTATTTATAAAACGTGTCTTGACTTGAAAAATCCTCGAAATTAGCAAAAATTTTGATTGAAAACCCTACCTTTATACTAATGCCAATATCTAACACACTTCTTAATTTTAAGATTTATTTTAGATTGTTTAATTTGTTTTGCTACTTGAAGGGAGAAGGCGACGTTTGCGTTGAATTGATTAAACCTCTCCACATCATTGCAACAGTTCCATAATTCAAATTCCAATTAAAATGATTACTTGCCTCAGAAAATAACATAAACCCTTGAGTATAACTAACAACTTTTGAAGGATATAAGGCCTTTAACAATTAATTTTTAAGTGAGTATGATTCGTGATTGTGGAAGTGTAGTTATTGTTGATGGTAGTAAAGCTACAGTCGACATGGCTGTAGATGTTTTCCCTGTCCCGGGGGCGCCTGTTGATAAACCTACGGGTATATCAACTTTGATGTGAGGAATATGCAGCACTTTTTTAAAGAACCTGTTGGAGCAGAGCAAATTTGTTTGTTGCTACTCAAAATATTAGGATTTATGTGTTATGCCGAGTTAACTTAAAAAGTAAATACTTAAACGTTTTAGATTTCTCTCCGATTTACTGACCCTATAAGATCAACTCTCAGATAGACTGAGGAAAGGCCCAAAATAATAAATATAAATTTAACTTCTAATTAAATACAAACAATACTGGTCATTGGGGAAAACAGCTAGGAAAAGATCTCTCACTTCTCTCGGTAAGGAGGTCGAAAATAAGGAATTAAGTTGGGGTTTATATACAAGAGAAAATGGGTGGAAAAAGGCATAGTAAAATGACGATAAGCAATAGGTCATCGTCGGAAATTTAAATACTAAAAGGAAATATGAATGATGGGAAAAATAATATAAAATAATTATAAAATGATGAGCGGTGAAACAAAGGAAATATTTGAATATGAGGGAAAAGGCAAAATTAATAAAATAAATATAGAAACAAATTTAAATATTATTTTTCCAATCAAAAACATTACATTATGAAATTATTTGAACTAAATATTTGAAGAAAATTACTTAAAACGAGAACGTGACAGAGAACAATGAGCGGAAAGAACTTAGTTAACGGGAACGAGATCGCAAATGTTATTCTAGAAAAATTTGAAAATTGTATTTTAAGCCATAATTTTACTTTTTGACCTAGAAAGTTTTGGTGATGGGGTTGGTGTGTCCGTTGTGTCAGGAGTTGTCGGTCTACGTTTGTTTCCTTACAATAAAATTAAATAGTAAAAAAGGCAAACAAAAACTTATTTTTTCGTCTTAGACGGCCTGACATTAGTGGAAAAATAAAATTTAGAATTTGAACAAAAAAGTTTGCAAAAAAGTTAAAATTTAGAATTAAATACAAATGAAAAACAGTTTAACTATCTGAATTGGTAAGAAAAATTGTTTTAATATGAGTGGAAAAATATGAAAAAATTTACTGAGTCTTTGAGAAATTTACCTACAGCAAAAAGCATAAACAACTTATTTGAATATACTAAAACTTTTTCCTTCTTGCCACATAACACCCAGAAGATCACTACGATAGAAAAAACAAGCGAGCAAACAATTACATAATTACAAATATTTCAACACCCCCACCCAGAATTACGTAATAAATTAATACAACATATACCCTACACTATCCGGAATTGCTGAGATAGAATCCGGAGTTGCTGAGATTCCACCACAACACTTGAACATCCTAGAACCGCCATTCCAAAATTACGCAAGCAATTAGTCAGACATATCCCCCTACCCCAACCTTCACACCCTTTGAACATAAGAGTTCTCGCAAATTGCAAGAACAACCAAACCCGAAGCAATTAGTCAATTAGTAATTAGTTTCCATTGCACCCCCTAATTAATCTAAAGCGTTCCACAAGGATGGGATTTCCCCTTACCCATCCCCCCTCTCGCGCCAAACACTTCAAAGAATCTGCGGACAATTGAAAAGGTCCCAGGAGAAAAACTGACTGAGGGAGGGGAGCGAATAAGAGAAGGGCCCTGCCATATTTAAAAAACTGATGATGAAGGAATCATAATAAAATAAAAACCCGCAGACGGATACGGATTCGGAAAGTTAAAAAAATCCGGAATTGCTCTGAGACTCAAGACAGCTAAGGATTTCAAAAAGCAAAAAATGCCCTTTGCCTAGTGCTATTGCCTATTAACGTGTTAACGCACGCGTATTAATTTAAAATTGACAGAGATAATCATAAGGGCAAATAAGCAATTATAAGTAAATAAAGAGAGGGCAAATAATCATAATCAGGAGTGGGATAATAAATAAATTCGAAATTTCGAATTGAAAGAAGCAAATTAGATATTCCAAATTGGGTGTTTTTAATTTAAATGTTCTATTCGTAATTAAAATTTAGAAGAAAGGGTGTATATAGAAGGACAACGGTTACAGTATTGAAACAGAGAAAAATATAGGTTTACAGAATCCAATACCTAAAATTAAATAGAATAAAATTATTAGATATAAAAATTTTTCTCGGAAAATGAGGTAGATAATTATTTCAAGAAAATTATTTTAAAATTCTGGTTTATACGGGTGAGGGTAAAATAGGGAATGCCAAAACACGCAACGGACAAAACATGGAACGACAAAATATGGAAAAGATAAAACACGGAACGACCAAAATACGGACCATACCAAAACACGGTCCAGAGAATATTTAAAAAAATATTCTGATTTAAATAAATTCTGATTTAAAAAAATATGATTCTAAAAGTATTCTATGTTTTGGTCATTCGTGTTTTGTCTGTTCCGTGTTATGGAAAGACCGTGTTTTGTCTGTTCCGTGTTTTTATATAGTCCATATTTTAGTCGTTCCGTGTTTTGTCTTTTCCATGTTCTGCCCGACACGTATTTTGTCGTTCCTTGTTTTGTCCGTTCCGTGTTTTAGCCCGACACGGGTTTATACATACTTCTTAAAAAGTATAACAGATTATATTTTCGACAAGATTTTCAAATATAAAAGTTTTTCAAATATATGTCATATTTTTGCAAATTTTGGCGTAATGTTTAAAAAATAGCGAATTTTAAAATATTTAAAATATTTTTTAAATAAATCTCTTCTTTTTGTTGTGTCTCTGCACAACAAGAAATAAGCAATACAATAATGTGTTTATCATACAAAGAAATACAATAATATTGAAGTAATAGAATAAGGTTGGGTAATGTTTAGGAGACAATTAGGAGACACGGACTGACAATTGTGTGAGGCTTTTATAGTAGCCACCACACCACAACACTTTTTAAATAGTTGTTTAAATTTTATCTTTGCAGACATAAAATGCAGTCATTAATCTGACCAACCCAGGGGCTTATTTTTTTTCGATTGACCTCTAGTGGGGCCTATTTTAGAGGGGGCCTATTTTAGAGGATTTACGGTAAATAAAAAACAAAAAATAAAAACAAAAATAAGATTTTGCAGGAACCGCAACTCTACTTGAGAGACTTTAGGATAAATAAAAAATATGACTAAAAATTTTATTTTCTATTAATTTATTCAATAATGTTTTTAAATAATGTTTTTCACCAAAGAAATTTATTTTTGTTTTTAAAAAATATTTTTTAAATTTACTTTTTAAAATTTTATTTTATTTTTTTCTCTCTAAACAGAATTTTATATTTAGCCTGTTTACAGACTACGATAAATAATATTTACCTGTTTACCAATTAAAAAAATTGATTAAGACAGGGGATACAAAATAAGGTAATTCATTAAAAAATCTTAAGACTTTAAAGCTTATGACTGTATTCTCGCTTTCACGTGTTTGCGCTTTCAAAATCTTGCCCTATTTGACTTTGCGATTTCTTAACATTCCATTTCTATAGACGACTGGAACTTATTAACTAAAAATAAGGATCCAAAGATTCAGCAAATGGTCTGTTCGTTCGACCAGTCTAAAAGGGGTCGAAAAGTCGAAATTGAAGAAAATGCCGAAAGATGTCAACTGAGTTATCGTTTAAGCTATTTTTTAAGACCAAGAATGTCTTCATTAATCGATGCTGAAAGGTTTTATGATGTTTTAAAGCCGCGGCATAAACTTGCACCTCACTGTATTACATTCCTTTTAGGATTTGAGGGATATGTATAAGATGAAGTTCAACGAACTCGGGTTCAAAATATTCAATGTTTTCCTAGTTATTGTTCGTAATTTTCTTCTTTTATCACTTAATTTCAATGGCTATATCTCGAGTTTTTAGAAATCCGCAATTTTGTTAAAAATCAACAAGAAATTATCAAACAGATTTTTTTAAAAAATAATCCTCATCAAAAAACCACAAATAAGGAATAATCCGCATTTTGTAACAGAGTGACACAAAAGTTTACATGGACTTTTTAAAACAGTTAAAAAAATTTTTTTAGTGATTGGCAGTCAAGGCGAGATTCCTCTCCTCATTGCTTTCTCCTTCTAAATGCCCTTTTCCATCGGCAAAAATTATTATTGCATTTGCCAATCGGCAATTAAGACAATTTTTATTGACATATTCCTTATTGCCTTTCCTTCCCCTGCCTTTCCTTCCCCTTGAAAATTTTGCCAGCCTGCTTGACGAAATTGGGATGGAGGGGGGGGGGGGGATGGGGCAGGATAAAATTTCATGACACTCACTCCTCCTCGTTACTACAGACTCCTCCTCTTTACTAACGCTTACCCTCAGCTCTCCATTTCCATTAATGTTAATATAAGCAAATCTATTCTAGCCAAACTCAATCATTTTGTTTAAAAAACTTCAAAAACAACCTCTCTCCCAAATTCTTTAAAAAGTAAAAATCTTTCTCTGATTGAAAGAAGTAAAAAAACAAATGAGAGGCAAAGCAAAAATGCTTCTTTTGCCTTTCAATCTTGTTTGGCTGGCTTTGATTCTGGCTTCATTTTTTGATAAAAATGTTGCTTATAATGAACCTAGATTGATGGCAACAATACAACAAAATCTTATTTATGCAACGTTTCCAGGCGAGAGATTCCCTCAGACTCGATACACATTCAACGCAGGTAGGGTTTATTTTAGTAAGGCTATGTGGGGATGGGACGGGCTGAGAAAAAAAGTCACAGTTTGGATCTTATCTCTCAAAATCCTCTTTAAATCTCAAATTTATTGAACTTTTTAAATAATTCTAAGGCTCTCTTAATCTTATTCCCTTTAAATCCATCGATATCGCCCCAATTTATGCTAATCATTTTATTCGCTACAAATCCCTCGATATCTCCCCGAGTCTCTTACTTAATTTGTATCCTAATCCTTAAGTATTATCCTAATTTTGAAATTTTCTCATTGAAAAATACAATGCCACCCTCTATTTGAATGCCACCTTATAATAGAATGCCACCTTTGAAGGTGATTGAAAAATAGATTGGCATGGCAATCTAATACAGTAAATACGGTATTTCGTAAACAAAAAATTAAAAGTTTCTGTTTATTCAGAATATTCCTTTAACTAATTTCTGAAATTTTTATAGATGTGGGCTTCGAAGACTGGCGACTCGAACAAATAAATAACATTTCCGAGATAGACAACACTAGAATGCCCCGAGGGAGTACACAATCGAATGATGCGCTTATGTATGATGAATGGAACTACCTTCGAAATGAGTGGATTTATGTGCAGGGCGAATGGATTCAAAATAATGTGAATGTTGGAGTGTTTGATGCTGCTGTGACAATTCTCTCAAATAAAGTTGCAATATTTACCTCAAATAATAGCAACTTAAACTCATGTGATCATATTACTGCTGAAAATGATTTGAGGGAATATGATACAATCCAGGTTGAAACCAAAGAAGCATTAAGAGATAGCCCTAAAGAAAGGAAAAAAATACTGTTGAAAAGGAAAAAATTGCTTTCGAAAATCTGTCAATGTTTTACACCTTCTTCAACATCTCCTCATCACACTCCTCATCAAGAGGCTTCCACTCCATCCACAAAAAATCATTGCGAGGAACTAATCGAATTAATTATTCGCTGTAAAGTGTTTATTAGAGATTTACATTCTGAAGGCGCAGAAGGCTCTCTGATTGATATATTCTCTTTTATGAATAATCATCCACATCTTCAATTGCTTAGACAAATTTTAAATTTGTCTACAGTTCAAAGTCGAGGGTTGGATAAAGCTATAAATGAGAGAATTTACCAAGAACATCTGGAGAATAAAATGAGAAAAGCATATAAAAATGCAATTGTGCAAGGGGCTGGTCCTGTTGGTTTATTCGCTACCTACAAACTTTTTATTGGTAAGACAATTTTTAAGTTTTACTTAGGAAAAACTTTGGCTAGTAAGCATCGAATTGAAAATTATATAAAAAATCAACGACCGGTATGTTCTATATTTGGTCGCTAGGTTTACAGGATCGAGATCATGTCCGTTTACCGCTAGATAATTTTGGAAGGGGTTTAGTCTAATTCTACAAACAATAAACAGGCAATTTTCAATCTATTAAAGTAATATTTTTAGGAGGAGTGAATGTAACGCTTGTAAATGATCGTTCCGAGGATTATATAAGAAATCGAGTTGTCTATTTTGACCGAAAATGGATGTCACAATTACGTTTCTTTTTGGGGACTAAATTTGATGAATTATTTTATGACAATGAAAACGGAGAAAAACCTTTGGGAAGAATACTTGATGAAGATATTGGGTTTGTTAACATAAAAAATATGGAAAATGTTTTGAAGAAACGGTTAAAAGTTCTGTCAAGTTATATAAATGGACGAGAAATTCAACAAGGAAACCAACAAGAAAAATCATTTCTGAATTTGGTTTATAATACAGCAGTTTTGAACATAAATACACAGTATGAAAAGCCTTTGGCCATCCTCGGTGCTCCACAAAAGCGTCCTGAATCCTTTGATTTTAATCATGTGATAGAAATGTTAGAAAATTATGAAGGAATGACAATTTTCGAATCAAATGTCATTGGAATTCCTTTTGATATATTTTTCTGTGCTGGTGGTGCAAGAGACCAAATAAGGACGAACTTTATAGGTTAGAATGTGATACAAGTGCTTAGTTATTTTAAATTAGTACTTAGTTATTTTGAACTCGGTCGATCCTCTTTCTAAACTAAGGTTGCTTAATAATCAATACTATTGATAGCACACTATATATGTGTAAGATACACAGAACTCTACTATCAGTTAGAGATACAGACCAAATTCGACTAGACTAGTTATACAATATTATACCATTATAACATATTTTCAGAGCCACCGCAACAATTGACAGAATCAATAAATTATGGGGTTGTTATCTTCGATAAAATGAATCCTAGCATTATAGTTTTCGAAGATTATGCTGCCTTCTACCGTGATCCAATGGCTAATATGAGTGAACATCTGGAGAAACAAAATATCGATGGATTGATTTGGCACGCTGGTTTTCTTTCTGATGAGCTTAAATCGAAGTATTTCAACTTAACTGAGATGATCTTACAAGATAATCAGATCGTTGTTCGTCTTTTTGAGTCAAATCCAACATTGCATATTGCATCTATAACACCTCAAGCACTTGTAGATTTTATTGAGGAATTTAATGCAGAGAAAAGAAGCCGTGCTAATGAATTCCATGAAGCTGAGAATGAATTATATTTAAAACTAGCTTCCAAAGGAAAAAATAATTCGAAAATGCTAAGAGAAATGAAAAACACACATGAACAAATATTAAAACAATATGACGAATTTCACGAAGAATTGCAAAAAAGATGGGCCAAAGCTCTTTTTAATTATACATTTTCTACTAGACATCCTGAGAAACAAGGGCAAGTAGTTATTGAAGGTGATGAACATGTTGGAAGTTCAAGTACAAGTTCTAAAGGCAAAGAAATAGCACATGAACCGGAACAAACTCTTAAATTTGATCCTCACAGTGCTAATACAAGCACTTTTTGGGTTGGAATTTATGGAATTGAAAATCCTGTAAAGCAAATTCATGGAAGTTCATCAATTATTGCAGCTATAGGTGATGCAAATACAAGCGCTCATTTTATGACTGCTAGCGGGATTAGTACAGGCAAGTTACAACGAATAGTAAGGAGCAATAACGAGTCTTTTAACTATAAATTTTCAATTTCTCCCGGTATAGTGATAAAATTCACAAAATTGCCCTTACTACACTACTGCTCAAAAGTATTGCACCAAGCTAGTTGACCAAGACTTTTTATAAATTATTCAAAATTAGTGAATTATATAACCAAATAGGCATTCTTGGAGTAGCATTCTTGGAGTCCAATTATTTACATTATTAAAACTCTACAGAAATTTGTTCTTCAGTTGATTTAGTAGAAGTATATCAATTATTTTTAATTTTAGGCCGATTGGGAGTTGAGAATGCTGTTAATGCGATTAAATGGTACAATCAAAGCAATGAAGAGTTAAATCTGGAGACAATGTTAGGTGCCGCCTTGAGAAAAGTTCGAAGGCGAGTACTCGAGAAAGCTCAAGAATATGTCAAGATAGAGGAAGGAGTAAAAATGGATCTTGAAAATTGAAGAAGAAAGTGAGGATTGATTTGAGAAGATGTACAAGTGATTTGAAGTCGTGAACTTTTTAGTTTTAGTGGGGTTTTATTGGGCTTTTTAGATTAGGGAATAGAAAACTTTAAAAATAGATTTGAAATTAAAAGTTACGAGATTTTAAATTTTCTACAGGCAAAAATTTTGGAAGGCCAAGAAGCCAGATTTCTACCAATTTTACCTCAGATTGGGTATATTTTTTGAGTTTTTGCGTTAATATATCGGCGTTTTTGCCGATATGTTGGAGTTTTCTATTCTCTAAATTTCCACCACAAGGACTCAACATTGTTGACCGCTGAGATCCACATTATTTATCTTTTTCAATTTAAACATTTTAAACTAGTGCTGGGTATGATTCAAATAGTTTTGGTCTCAACTCTGGGACCTGGCTGTAATTTGAAAAATACTTTCTTTAATTCAAAAATATCTTAGCTTTTGGGCTGGAACTTTTTTTAAAAAAGGTACTTCGGACCTGTAAAAGAGTAAATACTCAGCACTGCTTATAGTCTAGCGTTATCTTTGATTAAAAAATATATTTGATTCCCGCTATACCGAACCTCAATTGTAGTCCTCAATCAAATATGAAGGTATACAGGGAGTCAAGATTATTTTTAAATCTTGAAATGCCCATATATACTATGTATATCATCTATTTTTAATTTTTTATTATCCAAAAATTCACCACAAGGACTCAACATTGTTGACCGTTGAGATCCACATTATTTATCTTTTTTGAATTGTATTCTTTTTGGAGTTGGATAAATTTAGACTATTTTATTTTTAAATTTTATTAAATTAAATATGTAAGACTGCAGAAGTTTACTTCGTGCCTATTTGACAAAGGATAAGTGAAAATCAGTATACGGTAGTATATTCCAAAAGTAGCTGATAGAGCATTGAGACTTAAATTTTTGCATGGCATTTCTCTTTGACTTTCTCTTTTCTTAAACTTTTATTAGTCGACATTTAAAATTTTCTAGCTAAAAAGTTATCAAATATCATTAATAGTAAACTTATTACCTAAACAAAAGATCTCCTAAAATAAATTTTTATATTTGATACAATACTACTCATCATGTCCCTCATGTTCACCATGATCACGTCCCCCATGTTAAATATTGTCCTCATCACGTCCCTCATGTCAAACTAATTCTAATAACGGTCCAATATCTTGTCCGCCGATGTCTGAACGGCATTTTGGGCACCTAGGATCATTTGTAGGTGCTCTTTCCAGACAAGTCTGATGAAACTGGTGACCACAAGAATTTAAAACAAAGCGTTTTTAGCGATTTATGTAAGCTTAGAAATGTTCCATCCTCGAACATTTCCTCATGACAAACAGAACAGACCATATCTAAATACTTTAATTAGGATTGTTCACGAACGTTTGCTGAAACGTAACCAAACCCAAATATTTTGACTAAATAACTGAAACCGAAAATTAACCGGTAGTGACCAACCCTAATTTTAACAATAAATTAGTTTTAAAAATTAAAATTGATTAATGTATAAATTAATTTTAAAACTAAAAATTTGGAATTAAAAATTAAAACCACAAGAAATTTTAAATCTTAAAATTAAAAAAAAATTTTAAAGAAAAATGTTTTAGATATTAAAAGTTTGAAAAATTAATTTAAAAATAAATAATTAAAACTAAAAAAACAAATGAAAACTAATGATGAATAAATTAAGAGTGAGGAATGTTAGTTTTTCGTTCCTATCCCAGATAATATGGAGTATGTTTGTTAGAAAAAGAAGCACCTCGCAAATAGGAAAATGTGTAGACATATTCTAACACATTCAGAGAATTTGATGACCGTCATCAATTTCTCTGGCTTAGGGAAAGTTGTTTGCCAGAAACCATTCGGAAATAATGAATGAATAAATATATGTGACCTATAAAACAAATCAATAGGCTCACTAGAGCCGAGTTAAGCAGTATATTTATAAACCAGAATCCTAGGATAATTATCTGAAAATAAAATTATCTACCTTATTTTCTGAAAAAATTCTATTAAACTTTTATTTAGATACTTCCGGAAAATAAATTGACTTATTAAAATGTGTGTATTCTGATTATTTTAAATTTCTTAAAATGTTATTCTGATTAATTTTTATATGTTGGACTATGTACTAAATTTTTACACATATCTAAAAATGGAATTTAAAAAATGTTAAATAAAATGAAAAAAACATAGTTTTTGAATAGGGTTGTCGTTCAAGTAGTTGAACATCTTTTTAAATCGAAAATATGTTATGCAGTTAACATAAAACCGGTTTCTATAAAATTTCAAAACGAGGAAAGTTAGCTGCTAAAACTGAAACCCTATTTTTAAATAAATTATGGTGGAAAAAAATAAATTTTTGAATGTTGTTTTAAATTTTAGTTTAGTTTAGCTATATAAAATCCGGCTTCTTTGTAGTTTTGATTTTTTGAATTTTTGCAATTTTTTGTAATTTTTTTTTAATTTTTTTTTATTTTTTGAATTTACAGTTGTTTTTAAATATATTTTTGTTTTTTTTTAATTTTTAAATTTTTTGCATTCATTTATACATTGTTTACTTTAACTTGGGCTTTTTCAATGCTTCGAATAACATCCCTGCTAAATCATTTTGCTCACTGCTTTCCCTATAATTTTTGACAGCAGAAACTGCTTTTTCAACATCGAGCATACCTTAGAAAAGTGAAAATAAAAATTTTAATAATATTCAAGCCAAAAATTCACTAAGTTAACACAACGGCTGTGAACAGTGCTTAAAAATTAGTACAATTTAAGGTACAAAGTATGAGTATAGGACAAAAATAAAGGTTAGTATGAGGACTTAATTGTACAAAATCTAAAAGGCTGAAAAAATAGCTATTCAATTGTTTTATAAAATATGACTAATAAATCTCAGAAACTTAGAAGCCATGACCTGTGAATAAATTAGTTTTTCTAATGAAATTTAGCTCAAATTTATAAATTTTCCTTTAGTTGGTCAAAATTTTGAACTATTTGGTATTATTCAGATTTTTATATTTATTTTGGCACTTAAGAAACCTAAAATAGGCACCCAATTTTCAAAGATAAATGGATTTAAATTAAAGAATCAGTGAGATTTATATAACTTGCCATCATTTGTTTCAAGTGTATCTTCATCGTATATATTCACAAAAATTGCTGAATCTTTTTTTCCTTTAACCAATTTTACTGCATTTTCTTTTCCATAAATTTTAAGCAAAAATGTTTTTCTAATTACACCGTTTTCGTCAGAATGAGGAAGATGTTCGTATTGTTTAGCTTGAATTGTTGCTTTGTTAGAGCTAGCTTCTCCTTTTTCCTTTTCATTATTAAATTTAATTTTCACATCCTTTTTCTCCTCTTTTTTATATACTTCATTAAATACTTGATAAAAAATAGCTCTAGACCACATTTCTTTTAATTCAACAATAAAATCATTATATTTTCCCGAAACTATTTTACGCCCATCTTCTATGCTTTCTTTCAAAATTTTATCATTTTCGACTTTTATCTTTTCTTCCAACACTTTATTATATTCGTTTCTTTTATTGTCTAATTTTTCTTTCAGTTCTTTATTGTTTTCGTTTTCAATTAATTCTTTTTTCACTAATTTACCGACCTTATTTCTTTTTTCTTCAAATATTCTATCATGGTCTTTTTTTATTTCTTTTAATTTTTCGTTCAATTCTTTATTAAGTTCATATACTACTTCTTCCGTAACTGATTTTTCCCTTTTCTTTTTAAATTCCTCACCATCCATCTCTTTCAATTCTTCCCTTTCAATTTTAACTTCTTCAATTAATTCAACAATTGCCATAGGTGTTTCTGACTCAATTTGTATTGTTTTCTCTGTTTCAAATATTTGGACAGAAATAATTTCGTCAGCTTCGGAAAAATCGTTATACCAAAGTGTTTTTCCATCTGGGAATGTTTTATAAACTTTGCCTGTTCTAGTCAATGAACTTTGAGAATTATAGAATAACGCTTCCACACCAAAAGAAAATAAATTAGCCATACAATAATAACGTGTTCTAATTTTTTCAGAAAGCAAAAATGGTTTTCTAATCATTTCTTGTAAATTTGATAATAAACGGTAATCCATTGAATATGTTTTAAAAGACATGTTTTGATTTTCTTTGAAAATTTGTTTGTTATCCTCTTTGATGTTGATAATAGTACCATATTTTATTTCTTTAATAAAATCACAGAAAAATAAATCAAAAGAAATTTCAACATTTTTTCCATGTTCAACCTTATCTAAAATAGCCAGTGGCTTTTCATTAGCAGTATTAATGTCCAAAACTTTTGTGTCACTTAACAAGTTCAAAAACGATTTTTCATTTTCTTTTTCAATTTTCTCTTTTTCCTGTATATATTCTGACAAAGCGTTTACCCGTTTTTTGAATGAATTTTCAAAATTTATGAACTTTAACCAAATTCCAGTACGAGTCCATTTAATTTTCGATTTTTCTACTTGTTCAAACTCAGTACCCAAATAGAAACGCAATTTTGGTATCCAATTGGGATTAAGGTACATTATTTTGTCTTTATCTACTATTGAAGCTTGATGACTAATCACAACATTTACGTTCATTCCTTCTTAAAATAATTTGTAATGATTTTCGTCTAAAAAAGAGATGACACCATTCCGTTTCGAATACTTTTACAGAATTATCCCCGACCAGACGCCTATACTCAATTATCCCCGACCTGACGCCTATACTCAACAGTGTTTGGCGTGGTTTCATACTTTTGAAATTAAAGCCTCAGACGATTTTAAGTATTTTATCAAATTAAGTCATAACTTGGATAGAAAAAATTTTCCCTAAGATGGAACTTCGTTAAAATTTTTTCGTTTTTCTCTTCAATAATTTTTATTAAAAAAAGCAATTAAAAATACCAATGAAAAGTTTGAACGCAGCATATAAACCAACTGGACCATCACTCTCTACAATTACATTTTTATATTCTTTTCTCAATTTTTTATTCTCCAAATGCTGATTGTAGATTACTTCAATAATAGCTTTATCCATTTCTTTGCTTTGTAATTTTGATAAATTGAATATAAATTTCAACACATTTACTGCGGTGAAATTAAACAATGATTCCTTGTAGTTTAAAGAGGAGACTTTTTCCATAAAAGAATAAATATCAATCAAAGAGCCTTCTGAGCCGTTTGAATGCAAATCTATCATAAAAGTCTTACATTTTATAACTAAGTCTATCAATGACTTGTAGTAGTCCATGTTTGATAGTGTATCAGATTCCTTGAAATTTAAAATATTTACCAAGGATAAGACGGCCCGACTTCATTTGGACGTTTCTGAATTACCAAACTAGAACAATTTTTGGTTGGACATCCTTAGTCCTAATCATTACCTTTTCTCCTACTATCTCTTTAATATTTTTACTATCGTTCAAAATTTCATCATAATTTTTTAATTCGTTTGCAATAACTTCAGACTGATGAAGAGGTACGTTAATATTTATTAAATTATCCACTGCAAATTTTCTAACTTTATTTACAAGCCTTTCTAATGCCTTACTGAAGGTTTCAAAAAGGTCGTTATATTCCACTTTGCCTTTAAGATATTTATATTCCTCAAATTGAATTGGATCATCAGCGTATCTACCTCCACGAGGCATTCCAGTTGAATAATCTATCTCAGCAATTTTTTCTAAATCTTCAATGCGCCATTCGCTTAACTTTCCATCTATAAGAATATATAATATTATGTAAAAACAATAAATATTCTCCAAATATTATACAAAAATTAGAAAATTTCTATAAAAACAGGTCTCTTGGGGATGTATCTAATTATCCTGAAACGATCTTAAATATTAATACCTTTGTAGAAGTTCCCAACAGCATCAACATTACACTTCGAAACACAGAGCAAAAGAAAAATTAACAAAAATTTTACTTTGTCTCGCATTTCTTTGGGTTAAAACGAATTTTCCTCAATGGAAATTTTTTTGTATTTTAGTCGAGATTTTTTAATTTAAAATTTTTTTGAATAAAATGAAAAGTTAGGGGGTTGATAGATGTATAAATATGGAGGTAATGAGAAAATGGGGAGGGTAAATTTTTCTGTCATCATATGAGATCGATTACAAAAGCTGAGTTTCACAATATTTCGGCAAATTTTATAAGAGAAATTAATAGAAAAAATTTTTGCTCTTTATAAATTTTAAAAATTCACAAGTGCATGTTAGAGTGAAGACTAATAGATCGTATTATTTTGAACACTAAATAATTTGATCGTATAGATTTGATCGAATTAGAATTTTTCGCAGTTGTGCGTGAATGTCTTTAGCCAAAATAATTTAATAAATAAATTAAAAACATGATTTTGTTTTTTCCCTCTATGGACAAATAATATTTTTAATTTTTTTAAATAATTGTTGAAATACCTTTTAATAAATTCTAAGGTCGCTTTGTATTTTTTTTTGGGAAAAGGGATCTGCACAGCTGTGCACAGCACAGCTCCTCTATATATATAGACTTCAATAATGCGGTTTTTGGGTACTCATCGGTGAACTGACACAGATGTGGCCCTATATGGACTTCCTTGACTTCCTCTATATATATGCACATCAACTTAACCCCAGTAATTAAGATTAAAACGATTGAATACTATATATGAGGGATTGAATAGATTTGGGTGTTATATCATGATTTAGGGGATTCAATGGTTTGGATCCTTTGAAAGCCCCTTTAAATTTAATTCGACAAATAATTAAATTTAATGATTCTGAACTAAAAACCTTTTAAATTTCAACTAAAATTTTTATACAAAGCTAAAAAATGGAAATATAAATATGTTGAATAAATTTTAGAAAAAAATAGTGTTTAAATAGGGTTGTTGGTACGGTAGGACAATTGGAGAGTGGGCATTAAAAAATAATTAAGAAATAATATTTTGGACAATTAAAAATTATGTATAGGCTCGTGAAGGTGTTTGATGGGGCTTTAAAGATTTTAAAGATATTTTGATGTCTGTATCAACTTGGTTTTTGCGGTTGTGATCAGTTAAGTACTACCGCCAGTTGATTACTGGGCAAGTTAAGTACCGAACATTAGTAAAGTTACTATTTTCTGGAAAAGGTATTCCGGAAAATTCTGAAAATGGTTTACAGAAAATACGGAAAGTGGATCCCGTAAGACCTCACGAGCGTATAAATTATTTTTATTTGTCTAAAAAATTATTTTTAATGTCCACTCCCTAGATGTCCGGACACATTGCTACATTGTTTGGAGTTTAACAAAGTAAAAATTTAAAAAATTAATGGGTTGAAAAATGGATTGTAATTTCTTTGTATTTTTTACATTTTTGTACAATTCCTTTTCTACATTTCTGAATTTCATCTTTTTTCCATTTACTTTACCTTCATACATCTTTTAATCTTAATCGTTTTTCAACGCTTCGACAAACATTTCTGCCAAATCCTTTTGTTCGCTGTTTCTGTTATATCCTTTGATAGCAGAAATTGCTTTCTCAACATGTAGTAAATCTAAGTAAAGTGTTAATAAAAAAATTTGCTGTGTAGGAAGTACACTGCGTTCCAAAAGTATATGCACCCCTAGTTTTTTGAATTTTTTATACATTTTTCTTTGTTATTTTGATTAGACTTTTTGTCTAATTATTCTTCTAGATAAATGTGTATGTTTAAATAAGAAAATAAAAATTTCCCCTATCCCATTTCATGTTTATAAACATTTATGCAAAAGTTCACTGTTCCAAAAGTATATGCACCCCCTCATAAAATTTTTATTAAGCATTAAAAAATCCAAAAAAATTTCTCTAAAGATATCTATCAATATAGATAAGAAATACAAAAGAAACGAACTTCTGTCATCATTCTATCATGAAGATATTGAAACCCTAAAATCAACGGAAAACCGGGGGTAGACGTCTTTAAAAAATATTTTCGACCCCTTACAAGAGAAATAAAAATTTTATTTCGGACTTATTTGAACTAATGGTAAGGTGCTACTTAAAATCACTCGAGGTGACATTATCACCGTGCAAAATTCTCTTATCTCAAAAAACTTGCCTATATTTATTTTATTTTTATTCACTTCATATGTTTCATCAGCTATATTCACAAAAATGGCCGAATCTTTTTTTCCTTTAACCAATTTAACTGCATTTTCTTTTCCATAAATTTTTAACAAAAATGTTTTTCTAATTACACTGTTTTTGTCAAAATAAAGAATATGTTCGTCTTGTTTATCGTGAATAGTCTCAACTTTATTGCTAGTACTTGCTTCTCCTTTTTCTTCTTTCTTAAATAATTTTTTAACTTTATCTATAATGTATTGTTTGATTCCTTTTCTTTTCCCGTTTCTGCTTCCTTTTTCTTCTTCCTTTTTTTCTTCCTTTTTTTCTTCCTTTTCTTCTTCCTTTTCTTTCTTTTCTTCCTTTTCTGCTTCCTTTTCCTTACTTAATTTAATTGTCACCTTCTTTTCTTTATCCTTTATGTATATGATGCGATTATCAAGTAAATGATTAAAAAGAGCTTTAAACCATTCTTCTTTTAATTCAACAATAAAATCATCATATTTCTCCAACATTTGTTTACGTTCAGCTTCTTTGTTTTCTTCCCTTTCAATTTTAACTTCTTCAATTAATTCAACAATTGCCATAGGTGTTTCTGACTCAATTTGTATTGTTTTCTCTGTCTCAAATATTTTTACATAAATATTTTCAATCTCGATAGTATTATCACAATTAATTCTTCCAATTGGCATTATTTTATAAACCTTGCCTGTTCTAGTCAATGAATTTTTAAAATTATTTTCTTCGACTTTCATAGCTAAACGAATCAAAATACTTGTTTGATGATAACGATTTCTAATGTTTTGTGAAAGGAAAGATGATTTTCTAATTAATTCGTCTAAACCCTTTAATTCTAATAAATTCCTCGGATTTACGGAGTATTCACTTCCTTTGAATACATTTTCGTCAAAATCTTTCTTGTTGAGAATAACAGCACCATCTTTCAATTGTTTATTAAAATCACAGAAAAATAAATCAAAAGGATTTTCAATATTTTTCCCTTTATCAGCTTTATCCAAAATAGCCAGTGGCTTTTCATTCAATGTATTAATGTTCAAAACTTCTGTATCAAAGAGCAATTTCAAAAACGATTTCTCATCACCATCTTTTTCAATTTTTTCTTTTTCCTGTACATATTCTGACAAGACGTTTAAACGTTCTTTCAACGAATCATCAAATTTTTTAATATTTAAAGGAATTGAAAAATATTCATATTTTTCTTTCAATTTTTCTTCACGGAGTAATTTATCAAATTTAGTACCCAAAAAGAAACGCAATTTTGACATCCATTGATCAAGTTGCACTACAGTATGATATATTTTACGGTTAGAATGACTATTCACAACAGTTACATTTATTCCTTCTTAAAATTATTTACATATATTGATTTCGTTTGAACTCATTGTTATAGTTAGATTCTAGCAAAACCCGCCAAGCTGATTAAGATTGAATGACAACAAGATCGATAGTTTATATGATTCTAAACAAAATCATGAAAGTATCATACATTGCTGGTACCTCGCTGGAACGGCAAACGACTAAAGTCTTCAACGGAGAATAAATCCAATATAATAAACTCAAGTTATATCCCCGCCCTCCCCATGAAAAAGCTAGTAAACTCAATACTGGCTCGGCTAGTAGAATTAATCACTATGTAATAAGGAATTTTTAGTCATTCCTTGGTGACATCACTTTTAATTTATTAAAATTACCCATAAAAAGTTTGAAGGCAGCATATAAACCAACTGGACCAGCACCCTCCACAATTACATTTTTATATTCTTTTCTCAACCTTTTATTTTCCAAATGCTGATTGTAAATTGCCTCAATAATAGCTTTATCTATTTCTTTGCTTTGTATTTTTGATAAATTAAAAATAAATTTCAACACATTTAATGCGGTAAAATTAAACAATGATTCCCTGTAGTTTAAAGAGGTTGCTTTTTCCATAAAAGAGTATATATCAATCACGGTGCCTTCTGAACCGTTTGAATGTAAATATGCCATGAAAATTTTGCATTCTACAACAATATTTATCAATTCCTTGTATAATTTCCTGTCCGGCGAAGTAGCAGATTTCTTGAATTTAAAATAGGTATCTGTTTTTGATTTAACGTTATCCTCAACATAATAGGTAAATATATGATAGAACTATATGATAGAACTAAAACATATCTAACAGAACTAAAACGGAAAGTTTATCAAAAATACCGAGTTTCCATATTAGAGCCCCATGGTCCATATTTTTCAACTATCCTCTAAGGTGGGGGTTTGGGCTCTGAGGGTGGGTTTGGGCTTTGATGTTGTCTGGGGGTGGGTTTAGGATCTGATGTTATCTTTTTTCTCAAACTAGATGTCTGGCCATACCATTACATGTCTTACCTTACCATACCAATGTAAGTTTACTTTTAAAACGCTTTTCAATTTCAGGCCAAGAGTTAAATGGCGATTACTTAATACTTTACTATTTTTGCTCCCTATTTGGAAACGCTAATAGAAATAAACGGAAAGTTTCAAAAATATATCCAGTTTCTTTACCTCTTGCATTTTCATCTTTGTTTGTGATTTTTCGACAATTATATCATACTCTTTTAATTCATTTGCAATAACTTCAGCTTGATCAGGATTTAGTTTAATATTTAGTAAATTTTGTTGTGAAAATTCTATTACTTTATTTACCAGTCCTTTAAAAGCTCTATTAAATGTTTTGAAAAGCTTTTTATATTCATCATTTTCTTCCATATATTTATATTCATCGAATTGTATCGGATCAAACGAGTATAAACTACCACGAGGCATTCCAGTTGAATTATCTATCTCAGCAATTTGTTCTAATCGTTTTAATCGACTTTCTTTTATCACTTTTTCTGTAAAAATGAATAAAAATATTTCTAAAAAAAGAATGACTCCAACTATATTACAATATTAAGGTCCCGCCTATTTTTCTCATCTTAAACATAACATTTTGGCGGGAGACACAGAACAATTTTTTCCACTTTTTTGTTAACCACTTGCCTTTACTTGCTTGGCAATTTTTGTTATTCAGCAACACACATATTTTTTGGCTTGGGATTTAGCCTTCACCACATATAACATTTTTTAAACTTGGCTTGTTTGTTTTTTGACTTGCCCGATGCCTAGAAGCAAATTTTGATCAAAATTTGCACGGATATAAACGGATCAGATATTGACCTCACGGATATGTCCGGAATTGAATGGCAAAATCTATGTCCATCTGCAGGACTGTTCTTAGAGTATCGTTTACACAAGCTGTTTTAAATATTAATACCTTTATCAAAGTTTTTCGCAGCTGCGCCAACATTAAAATTCGAGGCGAGAATCAAAGAAATAAATAACAACAATTTTGCCTTGCGTCGCATTTTTCTTTTGTTAGAAAACAATTTTCTTCGGCAGAAGTTTTTGATGTTTATTGATATTTATATTTTAAATGGGATTTTTAATTTAAAAAATATTTTAATTAAATGATTAAATTAGAGTTAATTATTATGTGTATATATCGAGACAATAAGAGTGGAAAAAAGGGAGTGGCAAATTTTATTGCATTATTGCCACATAATTGCCAGATAATTTTTTAAATTTTTTATGGAAATTAGAGAAAAATTTATTAAAATAGCATTGAAAATATTAATAATTGCCCTTTAAATGGACATATCAAGCTGTATTTAAAAAAGTGCAAGGCGCGAGTTTGAACCGAACTTTTATATAAAATAAGGATAATAAATTCTCTTGAATATTCACAAGGATAGAAATCACAAGAAAATGCTCGTGAATACTCATGTGAATATTCACGAGAATCTTATTCAATAATTTTATTAAAATTTAAAATAATTATTGAATTTATTTCCAAACATGATTAATTGACAGCCAATAATTTATTAATAATTTTTAAATATCGTAAATAAGAGTCCGGACTTTTTATATTAATAGGCCATTCATAATTTTCAAATACGGTTTTAAAAATCCAAAGTTTTTTTTCGTGTTTTGATTGTATTTCCTATAAAATCGTTATAATTTTATTTGCCGAAGACACAAAAAATAAATTAAATTTTTTTTTGAGACCGAACAAATTTTTTAGTTTTGAAAAAACTCTATTTAAAAAATCTTGTTTTATTTTCAACATCATTTTTTATAATTACTATAACAGATATGTATATATACCTATCATTTATCCCCCGATATCTAAATCTCTTTATAACCCTCCAAACCTCTTAAATCCACAATATTCTCTCTATGTTACATATAGGTGCAAAAGTTTACATTTCAGGCAGAGAAATCTCTGGAATAAAAGGGACCTGAATTAAATCAATTATATATTAATTAAGTGTAGGTCAGCTTTTTATAATATCCATAAAAAAATTTTTTAATCTCATGTCATTCAAAATTTATTCTCGTAATAACTTATTTACCTCCCATTTTGGGGAGCAAAAGTTTATGCGTCATATAGAAAACTTTTGCAAATTAACTTTTGCACCTTACTGTAAAAGCCTGTTTATGTAGACGAGCTAAGAGTATACAAACTAAGCTTTGTCGCATTCTAGTTAAAATGTTTGAGTTAGTTTTTTCAACGCTTCAGTTAGCGCTTCTGTTAAGTCTGGATAAGGTCAGATTTGTGTAATAACCGAATTTAACGACGTATTTTCTGTAAACTTCTATTTAAATTTTGTTTAAATATTTTTCGGAGAATATGCTTATTTAATTAGTTTATTATGATTATTTTAAATTTTTGAAAATATCATTCTGATTAATTTTTATGTATTATTTGAGACATTGATGGAATAAATAATTCATAATAAAATTATTATTTACCTTTTGTTTTTTATTTAAATTTCTTTTTTATTTATTCTAAAATTTAGTTTCCTGGAGAGTTTTCCACTTATAATTATTTTTTGATACAAAATAACATTTTCCCCCTCTGACAAAAAATATTTAAATTTGCAACTAACATTTTATACAAATCTAATAATAATGTTTATGAAAAAGTTAAATAAAATAAAAAAGTTTTTAAATACGGTAGTCGGTAGAGTAGTTCAAGGTAAAAAAATATACAAGGGCTTTGCCATAGATGGCATCTTAATAACCATTTGGAATAAATATTTACAGGGGGCAATAATCACAATTTTTAGATAAATAAAGGTGTGATATCATTGGGTGAAGGACAAAACACAATCAATCAAAATACTAGTAATTATATTAAAGACACTGTCCACTTCTACAATATTAAATTAGATTTGTGTTGATATATGTTATCTTAATATTTCTGATAACTAAGTGTATTGTTTCTTGTCTAGTAATTACAACTCTTATCTCTAAACTTTTTAGTTTTGTCCAAAGTATCGGGCGGATGTAATGTGTTTTGCCCTCCACGGATATCTTTTTGAATGTTTGTTTTAAAAATTATATAAAAAATAATCGTTTAGTTTGGCTGAATACAGTCTGTTTTCTTTCTTTTTTTGTTTTTTTTAATTTTCTGTTTTTTAAATAAATTTTACATTTTTACATTCTTCGATTTTTTCTTTTAATACTTTTTAATTTAACTCTCCTTTTCCACGCTTCAATTTATCTCAGGTTTCTTCGACACTTTCATTAACATTTCTGCTAAATCTTTTTGTTCGCGCTTTTTACTGTATTCTTTAATAGCAGAAACTGTTTTCTCAACATCGATCAAACCTTAAAAAATTTAAAATAAAAAACTTTAATATAGTAGCTATCCGCTTTTGCATGTCTAAAAATTTTAATAGTCAATCGCTAGTCCCGACTAGTGCTACGTTGATAATACCTGGTAAATAAGGTAGTTAAGGTTTGTTCGAAATTTACAATTCTAAGCATTGTTTCTGATTTATTTTTAGGCCCCTAAAAAAGTTTTTTAAGGTAACATTAAAAACTAGAAAATTATTTCAATTCAAGTCGATATTTAATTTTATGTAGTTGTCTTTAAAAACTTGCCTTCATTCACTCCAAATGTAATTTTATCGTTCATATTCACAAAAATTGCTGAATCCTTCTTCTCTTTAACTAATTTTACTGCATTTTCTTTTCCATAAATTTTAAGCAAAAATGTTTTTCTAATTACACTGTTTTTGTCAGAATAAAGAACATGTTCCTCTTTTTCATCTTGATTTGTTTCAATATTATAACTAGTACTTGCTTCTCCTTTTTCATTTTTCTCCTCTTCTATGATTTCCTTACTTAATTTAATTATCAACTTCTTTTTGTCATCATTTTTGTTTACTTCATCAAATACATGATAAAATAAAGCTCTAAACCATTCTTCTTTTAATTCAACAATAAAATCATCATATTTTCTAATAAACTCTTTTCGTTCCTCATCTATGTTTAGCAAACCTTCATCAGTCAATTTATTATGCCCTACTTTCAAGTTTTCCAATTTTTTTTCCCAAAAAATTTTTCCTTCTTTTCGTGCTTCTTTTAATTTTCTATCTAATTTTTGATTGTTTTCCTCTATCATTTTATCAATTTTTTTCAATATTCCATCTTTCACTTTTCTTAATTTTTTCAATTGTTTTGACTCTTCTAAATTGCTAATACTGTTTTCTAATTCGTTTATTTCTTCCTTTATTTTCCAATATTTTAATTTTTTTTCTAACTTTTTATATCCTTCGGTTTCAATTTTTTCCATATCTTCCTCATAATTTTTGTCTTTTTGTAATTCAACTTCCTTGAAATTTTTATTCTTATTGTTATTTATATTTTTTATTTCCTCAATGTGTTGTGTAGTGGTGACACTACTATAAAAGCCACGCTACGGTTCAGCTAATTGGATCATACTAGCCCGGCTAGTCCCTGATCTCCTTCGTCTGTTCCACCTCAATCCCTTCGCCTACACATTGTCATTTCTCTCTTTGGATAAACTGTTAATCAATTGCACGTCGACATTCGTATACCCTCGGACATAACAAGTGGCGCGGATCGACTACGGTTGCAGCTCGTCTACAGAACATCTACAGGAGCGACAACAGAAATACTGGAGGTGAGTATTGAAAGAGAATAGACGAAGTGAAGAAAAATTGCTTGAAGCAATTATTGAAAAGGATTATTGAATTGTGAGTGGACAGACGTCGTAAATTATTGTCGCCATTGAAAAATTTGAAAAATTAGTGCGTACTGGACCTATGAATTGAAAGGTGAAAATTCCTTAAATTGAAAGCTAAAATGCTTAAATTATTAGTCCTGAAGCACACAGAAAGCCGACAAATTTCCGAATTGAAAAGAAAAATATTGCTACATTGAGGAATTGTAAAAAATTGTAAAAAATACTATTGTAGAAATTATTGAAGAAAAGAAAAAATAGTATTGAAAAATTGTAGCATTCGGAAATTGTAAATCAAAGAATAAAAAATATTTGGCGTTCAGAGAATGTAAGACCAAAAAATTGCAATTTCAAAAATTCCGAGGAAAAGAATTCAATTGTCACGAAACACTATGGAAAGTGTACGTGACAGACTTCTGGACAAACAGCGACCATCAAGTGGAAAATCAAACCAGGACGTGCGAGTGCCGTGTTGGATTCTTGTGTGCGCTGTCGAAGTCTCTACTACCAGAAGAAAAGAAGAAAACAAAAACTGTGGATTAAGATGACAAAAATGTGATATTATTTAAAATCTTGTAATGTAATTTAAATTTTGTTTTCCCCCAAAATTGTCATCCCACATGTTTTCATTGTTGTGAGTATTAGTAGAGACTGAAACGCTGTGGCTAAAATTGTTGATTGTATTGATAGCTGAGGCTATATTGAAAATGGTTATTAAAACCTCTAGTCAAAAGAGGGAGGCATTGAAAATTGTAAAATTGAAAATTGTAATGCCTAAAACAATCAACCTAAACCTTTCAAAGGGGAAGGTGTTGTGTAGTGGTGACACTACTATAAAAGCCACGCTAGGCGTCAGTCTAATTGGATCATACTAGCCCGGCTAGTCCCTGATCTCCTTCGTCTGTCCCACCTCAATTTCTTCGCCTACACATTGTCATTTCTCTCTTTGGATAAACTGTTAATCAATTGCACGTCGACATTCGTATACCCTCGGACATAACACAATGTTGTCATTAAACATTATAGATTTTACCGAGGTTTTCTTGTGTCCGAGTTTAGATTTAAAATCTGCTTCGCATTTTTTATAGCTTCCATTTTCTAGATCTCTTAATATTTCATTCATTTCTTTTCTTTTTAATTTCAGCAATTTTAATACGTCTAAATTGCTAAGTTTATCTTCAGCTACTTTTATTCCTTTCTTTATTTTTACATATTTTTGATTTAACCCGTTTAATTTATTTCCTAGAATCTTCTTTTGTTCGTTTTTTATGTCTTCTAATTTTTTACTCAATTCTTTATCATGCTTGTATTTTTCCTCGGAAACAACTGTCTCAGTACTTTTCTTTTTAAATTCCTCATCACTCATCTCCTTCAATTCTTCTCTTTCAATTTTAATTTCTTCAATCAATTCAACAATTCCCATAGGTGTTTCTGCTTTAATTTGTATTGTTTTTTCTGTCTCAAATATTTTTACATAAATATTTTCAATGTTGATAGTATTATCAAAACAAATTTTACCAATTGGGGATGTTTTATAGACTTTCCCTGTTCTAGTCAATGAACTTTTAGAACTATTTTCTTCATTTTTCATAACAAAGCGAGTCAGACGACTTACAGGATGATAACGATTTCTAATTTTCTCTGAAAGGAAAGATGATTTTTTAATTAATTCTTCCAAATCCTTTAATTTATATAAATTCCTATGATTTACAGAATATTCCCTTTCCATGAATACATTTTCGTTAACATCTTTTTTATTGAGGACAACAGCTCCATATTTAATTTCTTTAATGAAATCACAGAAAAATAAATCAAAAGGAATTTCAATATTTTCCCCGTTATCAACACTATCTAAAACAGCCAATGACTTTTCATTATCAGTTTTAATATCCATAACAGTTGTATCAAATTTAAAGAACGATTTTTTATACTCTTTTTCAGTTTTTTCCTTTTTCTGTACATATTCTGACAAAACTTTTAAACGTTCTTTTAACGCATTTCCAAGATTTTTTAACTTTAAACGAATTTCATTTTTATTCCATTTTCTTTTAGATTTTTCTAATTCTTCAAATTCAGTACCCAAAATAAATCGCAATTTTGGTATCATTTTAGTGCCAATGTACACTATATCATTTATTGCATTATCAGAAATACTATTAACAACCGTTACATTCATTCCTTCTTAAAAATTTTCATATTAATTTTATTTAAAACCCATTGTTGTATACATATGTAAATTTATTTCTTAAAAATGAGTTATTCTAAAATTATTTGTAAGCAAACATTTCAGTAATATGTCAAAACAAATAATAAATTAGCTCTATATAGAAAATATTTAATTTGTAATTTTTAGGTTGAATTTAGAATTATAGCTGCATGGCTAAGATTTAGGGTTAAAAAGCAGAATTTAAACTACTAGTGATAAAAAGTCTACTAGGGGTAAAAGGTTACACGCATCTTCTAGTAACTTTGTTAGTTAGTGTCTTATCCTGTTATTCCCTCGACATTTAAATATTTAATAATATCACTTTTATATTAAAAATACCCATAAAAAGTTCGAAGGCAGCATATAAACCAACGGGACCATTATCCTCCACAATTGCATTTTTATATTTTTTACTCAATTTCTCTTTATTTTCCAAATATTGTTTGTAGATTTTCTCAATACTAGCTATAGAAATAAAAAATCTATGTAAAAATTAGCAACGGATCAACATTTAATAGCAATTTTAATAAAACTGAGTACTATAGTTCGTGGGAAACCTCTTTAACCGGCTTGTATTTTTTTTCAAGGAGACAAAAACTTGGAGAGATACAAAATTCTGAAAATTTAAAAACATGGGGGGGGGGGGGTAAAATCAACATTAAACTAAGACTCAAATAGGGGATAATAATAAAGTACCCGTAAAGGTACCTAGGGTGTTCACAACCTGTTTAAATATTTATACCTTCATCGAAGTTATTTTGAGCAGCGCTAACATTGAGATTCCAAACAAGAATCAGCGCAAAAATGAACAACAATTTCTCTTTCTCCCGCATTTCTCTGTTAACCCGAATTTTTTTAATAAAGGGATTTTATATTTTAAATTTAATTTCTAATTTAAAATTTTTTTAAATAAATGATTAAGTTAGGAGGTAGCTACGTGAATATATACGGAGGGAACAGAGTCGCGACGCAATAGAAATTTTTTTCGAATCGTAATTCGTAATGCGTAATTTTTTATAAATTTCGGAATCGTAATTCGTAATGCGTAATTTTTTTAAATTTCGGAATCGTATCCATTACTAGTGCCCTGCCCAGTCCTCGAAAAAACCGGCAAATATTACAGGAAAATAACGGCTAATATTACCTGGTATATTACCTGGACTTTTAAATTTTGGTTTAATTCAATTGTTAACCAGAAACTATGTTATCGGTTCATTTAAAACCGGAAGTAGGGTCGGGTTTCGTTTTTCAACCCTAAACAAGATCTGTCAAATTTCCAACCCCAAACCCAGAACTATACTTTGTCCTTGTATCTTTACACACATTCCATGGAACTAGTCACCTTTTAATCTCTTAATATCTCTCTTAATCTCTAATTACTTTTCTCCGCCGCAGGCGATAATTTTGAGAAATTCATGACTAAATTAAAATTTTTGCGGTTTTTCAGAAATAAAATATTTAAAATAAAATTACAATTTAAAATCAAAATAAAAGTATAAAGTTTTCATTTTTAGAAAAAAATTGTCTGGTTGACAATTGAATTAAACCAAAAGTTAAAAGTCCAGGTAATATACCAGGTAATATTAGCCGTTATTTTCCTGTAATATTTGCCGGTTTTTTCGAGGACTGGGCGAATTACGATAACGAAATTTATAAAAAACTACGCATTACGAATTACGATTCCGAAATTTAAAAAAAATTACGCATTACGAATTACGATTCCGAAATTTATAAAAAATTACGCATTACGAATTACGATTCCGAAATTTAAAAAAAAATTACGCATTACGAATTACGATTCCGAAATTTAAAAAAAATTACGCATTACGAATTACGATTCCGAAATTTATAAAAAATTATGCATTACGAATTACGATTTGAAAAAAATTTCTATTGCGTCGCGACTCTGTTCCCTCCGTATATATTCACGTAGCTACCTCCTAACTTAATCATTTATTTAAAAAAATTTTAAATTAAAAATTAAATTTAAAATATAAAATCCCTTTATTAAAAAAATTCGGGTTAACAGAGAAATGCGGGAGAAAGAGAAATTGTTGTTAATTTTTGCGCTGATTCTTGTTTGGAATCTCAATGTTAGCGCTGCTCAAAATAACTTCGATGAAGGTATAAATATTTAAACAGGTTGTGAACACCCTAGGTACCTTTACGGGTACTTTATTATTATCCCCTATTTGAGTCTTAGTTTAATGTTGATTTTACCCCCCCCCCCCCATGTTTTTAAATTTTCAGAATTTTGTATCTCTCCAAGTTTTTGTCTCCTTGAAAAAAAACACAAGCCGGTTAGAGAGGTTTCCCACGAACTTCCCACGAACGAGAGGTTTCCCACGAACGATTATTGCCCCCTGTAAATATTTATGGATATAGTGTAGTTCACCGGAGGTAAAAGTTCGGGACGAGACATATGTCATTCGATTCGTCTCGGCGAGCTGAGTCGAACGGTACCACTCCCAGTTTCAGGAAATGAGTCTGGGCCGAGTTATAGGTCCCGAAAAATCGAAAAACCATAGGGGGGACCAAGCACTTTTCTGGGGTGAAAAATTCGAAAATGCAAATTATACCTCATTCGAAAGAGCTCGACGAGCTGAGTCGAATGATACCAAAATCACCGTGATTGGACAAGATTAGACAAAGTTATGACACAAAAAACAAAATACCTAAACCTATGGAGCATCGGCGAGGCGCTTGTGCAAAACCCCGCGCTTCGCGCGGGGTTTTGCGGCACGCGCCTCGCGGGGAGTCTACGGGCGCTGGGTCTGGGCTCGTAACATAAACCTATTCCTATTTCACTTGCTCTGGACATATTTGGGGCCCCCGAAGCATCAAAAATCTCCACAGAAGTCATAGGTAAGGAGCTAAAATAAAAGATCATAACTTTGTCTAATCTTGTCCAATCACGGTGATTTTTGTGTCATTCGACTCAGCTCGAGGAGCTCTTTCGAATGAGGTATAATTTGCATTTTTGAATTTTTCACCCCAAAAAAGTGCTTGGTACCCCCTTTGGTTTTTTGATTTTTCGGGACCTATAACTCGGTCCAGAATCATTTCCTGAAATTGGGAGTGGTACCGTTCGACTCAGCTCGCCGAGACGAATCGAATGACATATGTCTCGTCCCGAACTTTTACCTCCGGTGAACTACACTACAGCCATATTTATTCCAAATGGTTATTAAGATATCACCTATGGCCAAACCCTTGTATATTTTTAACTTTGAACTACCCTAACAACAACCGTTTTTAAAATTTATTTTGTAATTTTTTCACTATTTTTATAAACATTATTCTTAGATTTGTACAAAATTTTAGTTTCAAATTTATATTTTTACCGGTGGAAATATTATTTTGTATAAAACAATTTAAAAGTAAGAACTTTCCAGAAAATAGACTTCAGAAAAAACAGCTTCTAATTTCCTCGCAGTAAAGAATCCGGATAGTTTTTAATTTTTAATATTTTGAAGATTAACTTTCCAAAAGAGAATATTAAGGGATTGAAGATTCGCCCCTAAAGAGAATTAATTTAATTATTTACTTTTTTAAAGGAAAGGAATTATTTAAATTAATTATTTAAAATAATTAAGAGAAAATCACCCCTTTTGCAGAATTTAAAAATAAAATTAACGTGAATTAAAATCTGTTCCTAAAGAAATTAATTTAATTATTTAAAATAATTAACAGATAATCAACCCTTTTGCAGAATTTAAAAATAAAATTAACGTAAATTAAAATGAGCCATTATACAAAATTGTAATTGCTAAAAATAAAATATTTATTTATTTAACTGTTAATAATTTAATATTCCAAAATTAATTTTTTTTCAATTTTTAAAAATGGAAACAAATTTATTATTTTTAAATTTAAAAAAAAAGTAAAAAGATATTTTTAATTACGTAAATAGAAAAATTTAATTGTTTAAAAATAATTTTAGAATAAAAATTTTTTTGATTTTTTATATTTGCAAAAAATTGAAAAAATGTGTATAAAAAGTTAAAGAGTAAGTAACGTTTAATTATTCTTTTATTAAAATTTATATTTTAATTATTTAAAAATATTTTTTAAATTTATTACCTGCCTGATTTGGTAAGATTGACACATAGATAAGGGCCATCTTAAAAATAAAGCCCGAAATATTTTGCTTAAATTTTTTTTTTAAAATTTTCCTGAATCGAAAACGGCAAAACTAATAAATAGAGGTAAATGTCCAGCTCGTTTCTACATGTCCGCAAATACATACATAGAAAGCAAAAAGTAGAATATTTTATACGAATTTGGATATATTTGTGGAGAAACTCTTTTATGAATCCATCTTAAAAAATAGCAAAAGCTGGATGGAAATTGAGTTTGAGAGCTCTCCAATGCTAGGATATAATTGCTGAACCTTTTCAAAAAACATCAAAAAATTTTATATAATATTTTTGAAATTTATTTAATTTATTTTTCAGATTTGAAAAGATGCAAATTAAAAATATTTTTATTTTATTTTTATTTATTTCAATAATAACAATTATTGCTTGTGGACGCCCGGCTCCGCCAAGCAATTATGATCCAGATCATAACGGTGTACCACATGGTATGCTCAACGAATAAACGAAGAAACAAAGAAATAAAGAATCACGAAGAAATTGGAAGAAATAAGGAATTGACAGAGAAAAATTAAAACAAAACTTTTGCGGGGTTTAATTAACTGATTCATAATTATTTTCCTAATTATTAAATTCAAATTAAAATAAAAAAAATTTCCTCATATTAAAGAATTCTTTCACTTCTACGAGGCTTATGGCTTATATTTTGTGTTTTAAAGTCTCCGCGGCATTTCTCTTAGACTATACTGTATCCCAAGATTTCTAGATGTATTCACTAGATCTAGAAATTTTTGTAAATTTTTAGATTATTAAAAACAAAATTTTTAAATTTACAACTACAAAAATTTTATACAAAGCTAAAAAAGAATAATAAAAATGTTGAATAAAATTAAAAAAAATGATTTTTAAATAGGCTTGTTGGTAATGTAGCTCAAGACCGGTTTTTTGAAACAAGTAAATTTGTCAGAAAAATTAAACTGAATTATAAAAATTTGAAGAGAAAAATTAAAAATAAACGAAAATCATTTGTTTAAAATTCCACTTTAAATAAATCATGTATACAGAACCGTCTTGGTTAACTGCCAACAAGCTTTTTAGGTAAAGGACAAACCACTATCCGACCAAAAAAACCGTCCAGGCATTAAAGTAAATAAAACACTGCCCACTTTTACCGACTTAAATTTTATTTATCTAAATTAGTGCTTTTTTCGGGGTGTAGTTAATTTTGGTCGGGGTGTAGTTGAGCCTTGAACGGCTTCGAATGTTTGTTTAAAAAATAAAATAAAAATAATCATGAGTTTAACTTAATATGTACATCTTGATTTTCGTGTTTTTTTGTGTTTTTTGTTTTTTTGTATTTTTGTGTTTTTTTTGTATTTTTTGTGTTTTTGTGTTTTTTTGTGTTTTTTGTGTTTTTTTGTTCGTGTTTTTTTGTATTTTTTGTATTTTTTTTGTTTTTTTGTTCGTGTTTTTTTTTGTATTTTTTGTGATTTTTTTGTATTTTTTTGTTTTTTCGTGATTTTTTGTGGTTTTTTGTGTTTTTTTGTGTTTTTTTTGTGGTTTTTTTGTGGTTTTTTGTGTTTTTTGTGTTTTTTGTTTTTTTGTATTTTTGTGTTTTTTTTGTATTTTTTGTGTTTTTGTGTTTTTTTGTGTTTTTTGTGTTTTTTTGTTCGTGTTTTTTTGTATTTTTTGTATTTTTTTTGTTTTTTTGTTCGTGTTTTTTTTTGTATTTTTTGTGATTTTTTTGTATTTTTTTGTTTTTTCGTGATTTTTTGTGGTTTTTTGTGTTTTTTTGTGTTTTTTTTGTGGTTTTTTTGTGGTTTTTTGTGTTTTTTTGTGTTTTTTGTTTTTTTGTATTTTTGTGTTTTTTTTTGTATTTTTTGTGTTTTTGTGTTTTTTTGTGTTTTTTGTGTTTTTTTGTTCGTGTTTTTTTGTATTTTTTGTATTTTTTTTGTTTTTTTGTTCGTGTTTTTTTTTGTATTTTTTGTGATTTTTTTGTATTTTTTTGTTTTTTCGTGATTTTTTGTGGTTTTTTGTGTTTTTTTGTGTTTTTTTTGTGGTTTTTTTGTGGTTTTTTGTGTTTTTTTGTGTTTTTTGTTTTTTTGTATTTTTGTGTTTTTTTTGTATTTTTTGTGTTTTTGTGTTTTTTTGTGTTTTTTGTGTTTTTTTGTTCGTGTTTTTTTGTATTTTTTGTATTTTTTTTGTTTTTTTGTTCGTGTTTTTTTTTGTATTTTTTGTGATTTTTTTGTATTTTTTTGTTTTTTCGTGATTTTTTGTGGTTTTTTGTGTTTTTTTGTGTTTTTTTTGTGGTTTTTTTGTGGTTTTTTGTGTTTTTTTGTGTTTTTTGTTTTTTTGTATTTTTGTGTTTTTTTTGTATTTTTTGTGTTTTTGTGTTTTTTTGTGTTTTTTGTGTTTTTTTGTTCGTGTTTTTTTGTATTTTTTGTATTTTTTTTGTTTTTTTGTTCGTGTTTTTTTTTGTATTTTTTGTGATTTTTTTGTATTTTTTTGTTTTTTCGTGATTTTTTGTGGTTTTTTGTGTTTTTTTGTGTTTTTTTTGTGGTTTTTTGTGTTTTTTTGTGTTTTTTGTTTTTTTGTATTTTTGTGTTTTTTTTGTATTTTTTGTGTTTTTGTGTTTTTTTGTGTTTTTTGTGTTTTTTTGTTCGTGTTTTTTTGTATTTTTTGTATTTTTTTTGTTTTTTTGTTCGTGTTTTTTTTTGTATTTTTTGTGATTTTTTTGTATTTTTTTGTTTTTTCGTGATTTTTTGTGGTTTTTTGTGTTTTTTTGTGTTTTTTTTGTGGTTTTTTTGTGGTTTTTTGTGTTTTTTTGTGTTTTTTGTTTTTTTGTATTTTTGTGTTTTTTTTGTATTTTTTGTGTTTTTGTGTTTTTTTGTGTTTTTTGTGTTTTTTTGTTCGTGTTTTTTTGTATTTTTTGTATTTTTTTTGTTTTTTTGTTCGTGTTTTTTTTTGTATTTTTTGTGATTTTTTTGTATTTTTTTGTTTTTTCGTGATTTTTTGTGGTTTTTTGTGTTTTTTTGTGTTTTTTTGTGGTTTTTTTGCGTTTTTTGTGTTTTTTTGTGTTTTTTTTTTGCGTTTTTTGTGTTTTTTTGTGTTTTTTTTTGTGTTTTTTGTGTTTTGAGTATTTTTACATTTTTTACATTCTTTCATACATTTTTAATTTAACTCAGTTTTTCAACGTTTCCATTAACATTTTTGCCAAGTCTTTGTTTTCTTTATATATTTTAATAGCATAAACTGCATTTTCAATATCGTTCAAACATTTAAAAAGTTTAACTAAAAAATTATTATAAGACATTTTTAGTTCTTATGTGAAAATTTATCAATAAGTTAACAGACCATTCCCGACCAATGTTTGCAGGTGGGTACTACATGTTCAAAAAAGGTACATACGAGGAACAAAGTTAAACTAAAGTGCAATTAAGAATCGCTAGTGCTGCAATTTATATACACCACAGATTCCTTTTTAGTGACATTATATGGGGTACACTCCGATGTAGCGACGCAAGTTTACTGCCGAGGTATACCTTCGTTCAAAATTGAATACAAGAGCCCTTTATGGTTGGGTACACTTTGAAGACCAGGGCGTCCCGGATTCGACAATTTTGAACGAAGTAATAGGTCTGCGGTATCTTGTGCTCGCAGTAAATTGACCTGCTACCAAACTTATGGATCCACATTTATCTTCAATAAACTTGCTTTTATTTGTATTTTCTTCGTCCATATTCACAAGAATTGCTGAATCTTTTTCGTTTTCTTTTCCATAAATTTGTAGCACAGATGAAACTAAACTGTGTTGGTCAAAATAAAGGATATGTTCGTCTTGTTTGCTAGTACTTGCTTCTCCTTTTTCTTTTTCCTTTTCTTCCATTTTTTCCGTACTTAATTTAATTATCACTTTCTTTTTCTCTCCATTTTTGTATACTTCTTTAAATACATGATAAAAAAGAGCTCTAAACCATTCTTCTTTCAAATCAACAATAAAATATTTATATTTATTTAATATTTTCTCCCGTTCATCTTCTATGCTGAACGACGGACTTTTAAATTCATTAATAATCCATTTTTTCAAATTTTCTTCTTTTTCTGACCACCCATTATTTGCTTCTTTTATCTTTTTATTTTGTTCATGATTTAATTTTCCTTTTGCAATAACCGCTTCTTCCCATTTCTTTTTAACTTCTTCAACATTCATCTTTTTCACTTTTTCCATTTCATTTTTAACTTCTTCAATTAATTCAACAATTGCCACAGGTAATTCTGAGTCAATTTGTATTGTTTTCTCTCTCTCGGATATTTGAACAGAAATAACGTCTCCCTTGGAACCAAAAAGTCTTCCTTCTTTTGTTTCGTTAACTTTGCCTGTTCTCAAAGCAATTTGGGAATTATGTTTTACCTCTTTCATACCAAAAATTATCAACTTTTTTATACCATGATAACGATTTTTAATTCCTTCTGAAAGGAAATATGATTTTTTAAACAATCCTTCTAAACTGAAAAATAAACTCTCATTCATTAACTTTGTTTTAATGGACATGTTTTGATTTTCATTTTTGAAAATTTTTTCGTTGTGATTTTTTTTGTTGATGATAACAATATCATATTTAAATTTAGTAAAATCAAAGAAAAACAAATCAAAAGGAATTGCTATTTTATTTGATTCAAAAATTTTCATTCCTTGATAATTTGTTAATATTTCTTTTAAACTATGTAAATCAAAGGATTTTTGACGCTTTAATGGAGCGCTTAAGATGGCTAAGGGCTTCTCATGTTTTGTGTCAATGTCCAAATCTGCAGTCTCATATATTAAATTCAAAAATGATTTCGGTTTTTTTCCTTCCTTGTTGGTTATATGATTTGACAAATTTTTTAAACGTTCCATCAAAACACCTCTAATATTTTCAGCAGAAATTTCCCCTTTCATTTCATTGTCAAAATATAATTTATCAAATTCAGTACCCAAATAGAAACGTAATTGTGACATCCATCTACGGTCAATAGAGACAATACGACCTTGTAAGTATTGCTCGGAAAGAGCGTTTACAAGTGTTACATTCATTCCTTCTGAAAATTATCCGATTTTAGGTTTACAATTGCTAATTAACTTTATAGCTGTTGTTCTCCGGACATATTTTAAAAATTTCAGAACCTCTAAGCTCGCTTTTAGATTCTCTATAACCTGTATTTATCTTCCCCCCCCCCCCCCCCCCCCCTCACGTGCCTTCACTCACATTCAAACCCTATTAATTGCTCTCACCAGGGCCCGTACAATAAATTAAAGGGTTAGGTTACCCGGGTAAAAGCCCTAGCACTTGACCCGACTTGACCATCCGCTTGTTTTCTCCAAATTATGGAGAAAATAACTTTCTTTTAAATGGAGTTAAAATTTTATTCTTTTGGCCAAATTATATAATGGAGTGTTAACTATTTACCAAAAAAAAAACCCCAAGTACTCTCCTTTGTCAGTGCAGTTATTCAAGTAAATATGGTAGGCCGAAATAAGTCCCGATTCTTAAAAATATTAAAAATACCCATAAACAGTTTAAAAGCAGCATATAAACCAACAGGACCACCAACTTCCACAATTACATTTTTATATTCTTTTCTCAATCTTTTGTTTTCCAAATGCTTATTGTAGATTGTCTCAATAATTCCTTTATCTATTTCTTCACTTTGAATTTTTGACAAATTAAAAATAAACTTTAATGCTGATAATTCATTTGATTCCATAAAAGAGTAAACATCAAGCAAGGAGGCAACATTTGTTTGGAAATTTATCATGAGAATCTTGCAGTTTATAACTGCATCGATCAAATCCGTGTAGGTTTCCGTTTCATTTTCATTTAACTTGTGACTTTTTAATTTTACAATTTGATCATATTCTTTTAATTTTTTAACAGTATCTTCAAGTTCAGAGGATATGTTAATTTCTTTTAAATTTTGACTAAAATTATTAACTGTATTTTCAAGTCTTTTAAAATCTCTGTTAAATGTTGCGAAAAGGTTTTTATACTTCTCATTCTTTTTAAGATATTCATATTCCTCGAATTTAATTGGATCGTCTGGGTATACACTTCCAGTTGACTTAACTATTTCAGCAAGTTGTTTTAAGCGTTTAATGCGACTTTCTTTTAACACTCCTTTAAAATAAAAAAATATTCTGAAACAACAATGGAATCCAATTCTAATAAATTTTGGAGTCTTTGGAGCTTAACCTAGTATCCATAACTAAGATTGGCGGATCCGGATATCCTGATCCTAAAAAGGCAGAATATCCGAAATTTCCGGTTCGGATCTCGGATCCGGAAATCGAAGAATTACCAGGATTTATCAATTTTATCAACAACTGGCTTTAAATACTAATACCTTTATCGAAGTTGTTTGGATTAGCCCCAACATTAAGAATCGCAGCGAGAATGAAAACAAAAATTATCAATAATTTTGCTTTGTCTCGCATTTGTTTGTTAAAACAAATTTTCTTTAATTGAAGGGTTTTAGGTTTTTTAATTGAGACTTTTAATTTTAAAATTTTTTTCAAAAACTGATTATGTTAGGGGATTATTAATTGTTTATATATTCAGGGAATGTAGTCAGAGGGTGTCGAAATTTATCGAATTTATTGCCTAACAGCATTGATTAACGGCCAATAATTTTTATTAATTTTTATAAAAATTAAAGAAAAAGAAATTAAAATAGCATTGAAAATATTAATAAATGCCCTTTAAACAAAGGGCATGTTTAATGATTATTTAAAAAATGCTCGCTTTTTAAAAAACCCAATATAATGATAAAATCACGAGAATAAAATTCTCGTGATTAAATTCTTATGAATATTCACGAGAATTTTATCAGATGATTTTTACGATAAAATGAATAAAAAAATTTTATTTGATTAAATTTCACGTGTATTTTATCCTCGTGAATTTTATTCATGTGATTCTCAATTCTCATGATTTTATCATTATTTTATAATTTTTTCTCACATGTATCCTCGGTTTTATCAAACAGGCTTTAAAGATGCCGCATTCATTTGCGGGTCTAATAAATATTTACGTCTACAGGAGATCCGTTTTAATCCGTTAAAAATTGTTTCCGGACTGATAATTTAGTACGCGCCTCGTCTTAACACAAGAAAAAAAGATTCAACACGTTGTTTGACGAGTCAAATAAATATGAAATGTTAAAGAAGCATCGGAAGACGAAATGTCGTTTTTGCTTTAGGAAGCAAGCTCTCGAGACTATTAAAGTTAGAAACATTTGGGGCCTAAGAAGGAATTTCGGACCGCGATTCGTTTTGAATCTGGGACATGGTTAATTTTATATAAAAAAATTGAGAAATTTTCATAAAAAAATTTTGTCATAAAACCCGTTATGACAAAAAAAATTTTCAAAAATAATTTGCGTTTATAATTTACGATAAAAATTTAAAATTATTAATTTAATGTGATTTTTCTTTGATTTTTTGTGGCATTTTTTAAATTACATTTCATTGCATGAATTATTCTTCTTATGAAATTTCTATAATTATTATGAAATATTATGAAATTTAATAAAATTTTTAATAAAATTTTTTAAATAGTCTTTAAACATGCACTTTTAAGGGCATTTATTTTCAATGTTATTTTAATTTTTTCTTAAATTTTATGAAATAAAAAAACTATCAGATTATTATAAAATTTTTATAATTATTATGAAATATTATGAAATTTTTCGAGAAATTTTTAAAGTCTTTGAAAATGCACTTTTAAGGGCAAATATTAATATTTTTAATACTATTTTTATAAAAAAACTATCCGGTGTTACTCAATACCGTACAATTTGTCACTCATAAAACTGCCTCACTTTTCTTATTCGCTCAATATAAATAAAATCAAATCCTTAACACAATCAGTTTATTTAAAAAATTTTAAAATTAAAAACATTAAACAAAAAATTCGTTTAAACAAAATTATGCGAGGCAAATTAAAATTGTTGACAAGTTTTGCTTTGATTATTGCCTTCAATTTTAATATTGCAGCAATTTGGGACACTTTCGATAACGGTATTATTTAAAACTGGTTGAGGACACCCAAGATGTGTGGGTGTCACACTTGTGGTGTCACACCACACCCCAACACCCAAGGACACCCAAGACACCCAAGGACACCCAACACACACACACTCAGAGAGAACTTTTTATGAAAGTTTCTTTAATATTTTATTCTAATTTGTGTTGATCGGTTGTATTTTATTTATTTATAGAAGGAAAATTAAAAGAATGGCGAATAAAACGATTGGGGCAAATTGCTGAGGAATATAATTCTGCTAGAATGCTTCGTGTAGATTTACACCAAAATCAAGCTATTAAATTTGAGGAATATAAATATCTTGAAGAAAATGTGGAGTATGTAAACCTTTTTGAAACTTTTAATAAAGCTCTTAATGAACTTTTAAATAAAATTAATATATTTGCAGAACTAAATTTGAAAAATAAAAAATTAGCTCCAGACGATGTTGAAAAAAAATTAAAAAAATATGATCGAATCGTAATGAAGGAGAAACTCAGTTTCTGGCGAAAGGCATATGTTTCTGGCGAAAGGCTCAATGCTATCTCTAAATTGCCCTATTAAATAATAGTTAAATAAAATAGCATCGATTTCCTGAGTCTATATCGAGCCAAAGTCCTTTCTAAGGACAAATTTTAGCTCGTTGAGCTTTTTCTTGGCTCGCTGAGCTCTATCGGATGATATAGCTTGTTAAAACATTATAAAACAAATTAATTTTGTCGCGGATCGCTCCAAAGTGCATTCTCTTGCTCTAAGAGCAAGAGAAATAGTTTAGTTTAACAATTGGCTGGGAAACTTATTTTCTATTTTATCTTCCTCTTTTGCTACTATCTTGTATGTTTATAAAGCCTAATTTAGCACACTGCTTGGTGATTACAGGGTGCGTAGAAAGTCCTTGCCCACACTCTTTTTGGCATAAAAATTTAATCAATCTCGTTTTTAGGTTGCTTTTATTTGGCCTTCAAAGTCACCTTATCTTAATACTTTGGAAATTTATGTTTGGACACTTTTGTAGCAAATGATTAGACGAAAAAGATAAAAAATTATTGAGAATCTGAAAACTTCAATAAAGCGTGCCCGGGCCCAAAAAAGTGAAATGACTGTGCGACCATCGTAGTCAATTTCCAGAAGTGTTTAGATGCTTGTATTTTCGCAAATTTTTCAAATTTTGCAAATCTTTTTTAATTTTCTAATAACACACATTCTTGTGATTGTATGTGTGAATTTATTTGGCAAAATTCCTCATGATTAAATTTTTATGCCAAAAAAAGTGTGGGCAAGGACTTTTTACGCACCCTGTATATGTTTATATAAGTTTTTTATGTTTAAATAAGCGGAACTCTTGCAAAATATCCTATTTTTGCATCATATCTCTATAATTTAATTATGCTTAAAACAATTAAAATAAAAAATAATTTCAAAATTTCGAATTTATTTATTGTCCTAATCCCGATAATCGTATGATTATTTGTCCTTTATTAATAGTCTTGGCTCTTTTTTGGCTTTATCTTAGCCGTTTCTTAGCTTAATTTTTGGCTTTTTCTTAGCTTAATTTTTGGCTTTTTCTTGGCTCATTTCTTGGCTTTTTAATTGCCCTTTTTCTGTTATATTCACTTATGAATGATTATTTGCCCTTATGATTATTCCTCATCTCTATCTTAATAAGAGCTGGTCGGTGTCGAAGTGGACTTCGCCAATTTTTCAAACTCATTTTTTCAACTCTCGTTCTTCGTCCAGACCCACTTGATCATCCCAAATTCCACCTCCAATCCTCTTAGACCTAGATGTTCTTCTAGATCCCTGATAATCCCTCGAATCAACTCTACCTGAAGGCTTGCCAAGAATACCACCTCAAAAAGTCTGATACCTCCCCATTACCTCGCCATATCTTCTTATGATGAGGTGCCTTATTCAGGGCCGCAGGTGAGGATTTTTGGAAATTTTTAAATTCCACTGAGCCTAATTTCTCCAGTTTTTAACGCCGTAAGCTAACATTTTGAAAAGTTGAGAGGGAAAGTTGAGAGACTATTATCGGGGGTATAACTTTTTTATGAGAGGCTTTCGAATGATATAAAATTCATTTGTATTGGATCAAGCTTTAAAAATTTATAGCTGTTAAAATTTGGCTGTTACTCAGTTTGCGGTCGATTAACGGAAAAGTACCCATTTCTTCTAGAGAATAAAAAAATTAATTTAACTATGAAGAGTTTTTGTAACATGAATGTAGTTGGTTTTTATTCATTAAAGGTAAATTCTTTTAAAAACTAAAATAATTTTCTAATTTTATCGGCTTAGACACTTGGGGGAATCTTTTTTTATCAAACACAAAAAAAATTAAAATAAAAGACAGTTTCAATTTATGCAACTTAAAAAAAGAAAACAATTCAAAAAAGTAAATAATGTGGATCTTAACGGTTAAAAATGTTAAAATAAAATGCGTGTGTTGCAGCATTAATCTATGTACATTGAATTAGAATAACTTTGTTTTAAAATAAAAAAAAGAAATTCTTGAATCTGATGAACCATACTTCCTTCAACTTGCTTAATAATCCTTTTAAATTATTTCAAACTAAGAACAACATCACATACTAGCCGGTTAAGATGTTTCAAGACAGAAAAATTTCCCAAGCCCTAAGGTTCAAGACCTGAGCCAGAAACCTAAGCAAAACTTGATTTAGAATTATACCCCAACACCCCTCATATTTAAATTAGGGTAGCAAAGTTTAGCTACCGGGAGGAGTCGAAGGTGTAATCGCGTGGTCCCGTTCACACCTTTGCAGGTGCTCTCCCAATAATATACTAACTCAACCTTACAACCATTGTTTCACAATTACATCTAACCAGAATGATTTTTAAAATTCAAAAATACCAAAAAAATAAAAAAAAATAAAAAAAATTGTAAAATAAAAAAATAAATTACATAAAACTTATAAATTTAGACAATTCTTTTTTTCAAAATCATAGTTTTTAAACTTGGATTCTGATTTAAATTTGTAAATTTATTTGTTTAATATCTTAAAATTGAAAAAAAAACTTAAAATTTTTAAATAATCATGAATTTTCTTTACGGCTTTGTAATTAATAAAAGATTGACCAGATAACAGTGTTGGGGTGTAATTGACCAATTAGCACTACTCATTGGCTTTATTTATTAAGAGTTTAAAGTCCTCCATAAATAAAAATTCAAGGAAAACAAATAACAAACAAGATTAACGGGAAATTGAGCGTTCGGACTCTTCTTTACCGATTTATACTTAAAAAATTTTTTTTTTCCATATATAAACAATTATTTACCCCCTAACATAATCAGTATATTCAAAAAAAATTTTTCAAATTAAAATTCTTTATTTAAATTAAACATAAAACCCTTCTATTGAAGGAAATTTGTTTTTTAACAAAAAAATGCGAGACAAAGCAAAATTGTTGCCAATTTTAGCTTTAATTCTCGCATTGAGTTTTGATGTTGGCGCTGCTCCAGACAACCTGGATAAAGGTATTAATATTTAAAACCGGTTGTGGACTGACTAGAGAGTTATGTCTTTCTGAAAGCAACCTTAATATCGATAATATAATTGAGTTACCGTATTGTCTCTAATAGAAGCCCATCTCCAATGGAAGCCCACCCAATGAGGCGTATTGAAAAATAAAAGCCCATGCCCCCAATAGAAGCCCACTATATGAGGGGTATTGAAAAGAATAAGCATAGGGCTTGTATTAGAAACAATACGGTATGTTGTTTTTAGAAATATTTTTTAATTTTTTAGATGAACTTTTAGAAGAAAGTCGCATTGAACGTTTACAACAAATTGCTGAGATTAATAATTCAACTGGAATGCCTCGTGGAGGCGAAGATCTAGATGATCCAATTAAATTTGAGGAATATAAAGAGCTTGAAGGAAAGGTGGAGTATAAAAACCTTTTTAAAACATTTAATGAAGCGTTTGGAAGACTCGTAAATAAAGTTACCGAATTTGCTCAACTAAATTTAAAAAATATTAACATATCTCCTGATGAAACAGAAGAAATTGTTAATGAATTAAAAAAATATGGTGAGATTGTAAAAAATAGTATAAGTGTTGGTGAGATGTTAGAAGAAAAGGTAAAATTTAGACTGGACATAGCTGTGAAAAAATTTATATAATTCGTATAAAATTTTGGAGATCCATCCGACACTAAATATACCGTATTTTCTCTAATACAGCCCCAAGGGACTGTATTTTTCAACTATCCTCCAAGTTGGGGCTGTAATAGAGGGTGGGGCTCTAATTGAGGGTAATTGAGAGTTAATTATAAATTTCAAGGAATCTTCTACTCCATCAAATGGAGAAAACTACATGGAATTGATAAATATAATTATAAATTGCAAGACTTTCATGATGGATTTGCATTCAAAGGGCTCAGAAGGCTCTTTGATTGATATTTACTCTTTTATGGAAAAAGCATCCTCTTTAAACTACTCTTTGTTTAATGCAACCGAATTAAATGTGTTGAAATTTATTTTTAATTTATCAAAAATACAAAGCAAAGAAATGGATAAAGCTATTATTGAGATAATCTACAATCAGCATTTGGAAAATAAAAAGAAATTGAGCAAAGAATATAAAAATGTAATTGTGAAGGTGGATGGCCCAGTTGGTTTATATGCTTCCTTCGGACTCTTTATGGGTATTTTTAATAATTTTTGCTGGTCATAAGAGTCTGCACTGTCTAGTTGTATTCTGAATATTAACTCTACTGATTGTATTTTGCTATCTATTTTGCCTGATATTATATCTAATTTAGTTTTCGTTCCTGTGAAATAAATGAGCTTTAACACTGATCTTTTATAAAGAGTCAATAAAATTAATTTTTAGAAGGAATGAATGTAACTACGGTGAGTGGGTACGCTAACAATTCAGACGATAGGATACATATTAACAACAAATTTTTGTCAAAAATTCGTTTCATATTGGCTACTGAATTTGATAAATTATTTCCTGAGAAAGAAGATTCATTAATAAAATTGGCAGATAATGAAACTGTTCTAAAGCTAAAAGATTTTGAATATTCGCTAAAAGAACGTTTAAACGTTTTGTCAAATTTTGTACAGGAAAAAGGACAAAATTCAGTTTTGAAATTGATAAGCGATAAAAATGTCTTGGACATTATAACTTTTAATGAAAAGCCAATGGCTATTTTAGACAAAGTTGATAAAGAGAAAAACGTTGAAATTCCGTTTGATTTATTTTTCTGCGATTTTACAAAACAAATTAAATATGGTGCTGTTATCCTCAACAAAAAAGATCACAACAAAAGGATATTCAAGGAAAGTAAATTCTTCATAAATATAAAAATGAATTCGAATATTTTATTCGAAAATTTAGGAAAATTGCTTGAAAAATCACTTTTCCTTTCTCAAAAAATTAGACTCCGTTATTTTTGTATTGTTTGGTTGATTTATTTTGGTATGAGAGAGGTAGAAAATAATTCTAAAAGTTCTTTGACTAGAACAGGCAAAGTTTATAAAACATTCGACGATGGAAGACTTTGTTATAATGATAATTCCAAGTATAGCGAGAATATATCTGTCCAAATAAAAGAGACGGAGACAAAAACACAAATTGATTCAAATATACCTGTAGCAATTGTTGAATTAATTGAAGAGGTTAAAATAGAAAGGGAGAAATTGAAGGAGATGAATAAAAAGGAATTTAAAAAGAGATGGAATGAATATATTATTGGTGAAGTAAATTACAAACATAATAAAGAATTGAAGGAGAGATTAGAAGAGGTAAAAAATGAACAAAAGACTATTTTGAAAGAGGACTTAAAAGAATTAAATATTAGAAAGGAACAAATAGTTAAAGAAATAAATGAATGTGAAATAAAACGTAACAATTTAAATTTGTCAAAAAAATTAAAACAAAAAGTGGAAAAAAGAGAAGAACTATTGGAAGAAATAAGAGATATAAAATTGGGAAACAATAAAGAGCGAAAAGGAAAATTTAGAAAAATAACTGAAATGATATTAAAACGAAAATTTAAAAGGAATCAAAAGGAAATCCGGAAAAGATCTAAAAAGTTTAATTACAAATATGGCATTGAACGATTTAGAAATAGTTTTGAAATGTTGAATGAAGAATATGACAGTGAAGATTTAAATAAGGAAATCGAAGAGAATAATATATTTTTAGATGAATTACAAGAATTAGACGAAAAATATCCGAATGGAGAAATCGGAAAAATAAAAACTGAAGAAGGTAAAAAATTAAAAAAATCCTTAAAGTTATATAAGGATTATAAGAAAATAGAGGAGATTATAAAACAATTGGAAAACAAACGTGACAATTTAGAGGTGTCAAAAAATTTGAAAAATAAAATTAACGAAAAAGAAGAAATAATGGAAAAAATAAAAGAAATTGAAGACAATAACTATAAAGAAAAGAATGAAAAATTAGACAAAATAAGAAAAGAACAAGAGAAAATATTGGAGGAGAAGTTAGAAAAGATAAAATTTGAAAATGATAAAATTGTTAAAGGAGACCTGGAAGGTGAAGGAAACAAATGTTGAAAAAATATGCTGATTTTATTGTTGAATTAAAAGAGAGATGGTTTAGAGCACTTTTTTATCATGTATTGGATAAAGAATACAAAAGTGAAGACAAAAAGAATGTTAAAATTGAATTAAGCAAGGAAGAAGGGGTAAAAGGAGAATCAAGTACTAGCCATAATGCTGAAACAAATCAAGATGAAGGAGAGGAACATGTTCTTTATTTTGACAAAAACAGTTTAATAGGAAAACCATGCTTACTAAAAGCTTATGGAAAAGAAAATGCAGTAAAACTAGTTAAAGGGAAGAAGGATTCGGCAATTTTTGTGAATATGAACGGTGAAAATACTACAGGCAAAATAAATGAAGGTAAGTTTTTAACGAAAACTGTTCTCTTCATTTTCACGCCGCAAGCGAAAAGTTTGAGAATTTTGGAAGAACAAGTCACCAGATTTCTTCCTTTTTAGCTCCCATAATTAATAAAAATTCCCGATTTTTTCCCGATTTTCAGAAAAAATTCGTGAATCGGGAACGTGAATTCACGAGAATTTCAAATTCACGATTTTCGTGAATCGGGAATTCACGAAAATTTCAAAATCGCGATTTTCGTGAATCGGGTATTCACGAGCCAAAAATCGTCAAGAATTTACGATTTTCGTGAATTCGGAAATTTTGCTTTTTCGTACGGGAATTAAAATTATGAGGAGTTAGATGTACTGAGGTTCTTAATTGATCATTTTTAATGCTAACCCAAAGGATTTTTGTAGTGAGTCCTTTAACAATAAGTCCGAAACAATGCTTTTCGAACCCACTCGTAACTACATTATTACCATGTACCTGCGAAACATGCGTCGGGACTGGTAATTGAGTTACTACGACTTTTCTGCAAAAGCGGATAGCTTTATTAAAATTTTTATTTTAAATTTTTGAAGGTCTGATCGAAGTTGAGAAAACAGTTTCTGCTATTAAAGAATACAGTAAAAATAGCGAACGAAAGGATTTAGCAGATATGTTAATGGAAATTTTGAAGAAACCAAAGTTAAATTAAAAAGTATTAAATGAAAGAAAAAATTGAAGAATGTAAAAAATGTAAAATTTATAAAAGACTGATTTCAAAAACAAAAAAAGAAAAAAAACACAATGATTCAACCAGACTATTTTTTATTTAATTTTCAAAACAAACATTTAAAAAGATATCCGTGGAGGGCAAAACACATTCCATCCGTCCGATACATTAGAGTAAAACTAGAAATTTAAAGATAAGAGTTGTTGTTACTAGACAAGAAACAATACACTTAGGTATCAGAATTATTAAGATAACATATATCGACATAAATCTAATTTATGATAGAAGTGGATAGTGTATTTTAGTTTATTGTGCTTGTATTTTGGATGGCCTGTGCTTTGTCCTTCATCCAACGATATCACACCGGTTATTTATTTAAAAATTTTGATTATTTCCCCTGTAAATATTCATTCCAAATGGTCATAAAATTATCATCCATGGCCAAACCCTTGTATATTTTTTAACCTTGAACTACCCTAACGACAACCGTTTTGAAAATTTATTTTTTAAATTTCATTTAACATTTTTATAACCATTATTCGTAGATTTGTATAAATTTTAGTTGCAAATTTATATATTTTTTACGGGGAAAATGGTATTCTATCAAAAAATATTTAAAAGTCGAAAACTCTCCAGAAAATAGACTTCAGAAAAAAATCCGCAAAGTTTTAACAATTTCATATGTTCTAATGGCAAATTCTAAGCAAAAACAAGTCGAAGGATCAAAAACCAAATAAAACTAAAATCTTTATGCCCGATTAAAAGTAAAAATTATAAAGAATGTTGAATAAATCGGACTTGCTCATGGACATGGATTTTGGTATCCGTAAAGTAAATAAGGGTTAGAACAAGAAACGTAGAAAGAAATATTGAATGATTGGTAATATTAAAACAAAAAATTATTTCCGAGACTTAAAGAAAATTTAAAATTTTTTCAATGACTAAAATTTGCTAAACAAAACCAAACATTAGTGTGGAACAGAACATTTAGAGACTGATAGTTCCATAAAGATTTTGGCAATCTCGTTCCCGCCCTGTTTCTAGCAATCATATATCAAAAGTCATACATATCCATGAGCATGCCATAAATAAAGTGCATACATTTGTGGGTAGGTGCTAACTCGAGAAATTCAAATCCCGGAACAGACAGGTCACGGAACAACAATTCACGGAATTGCCAAGCCAGGAACGACCAACTCACGGGAAGACAACACGGAATATTTTAAAAATCAGAATATTTTTAAAAATCAGAATAATTTTAAATTCTGTTTTTTAAATATTCTAATTTTTCATAAAAGTCTTATTTTTCAAAATATTCAGATTTTTAACATATTCCGTTTTTTGGTCATTCTGTGAGTTGGTTGTTCCGTGATTTAGTAAAACCGTGACTTGTCCGGCCCGAGAGTAGCCCGACACGACATTTTTGTTAATTTTTTTGATTTTGTTTGTTTTTCCTCTTTTGTTAAATAAAAATTTTCGTACAATTGATTGTAGTCCCCAGCCATAGTTAAATAAATAAAGGGTGTGCTATTGCTTGAAAAATTAAATTTAAAATATGATTGTTAGCTAAATACAGCGTCGTTTATTATTTTTGTTTTTTTACATTTTCTTGTTTTTTTTTTTGTATTTTTTATTTTGTTTATTTTTTTTGTATTTTTTAATTTACAGGATTTTTTAAATTTTTCTTTTCTTTTATACAACTTTTAATTTAACTCAGGGTTTTTCAACGCTTCCATTAACATTTCAGTTAAATCAATTTGTTCACCGCTTTTGTTGTATTTTTTGATTGCTGATACTGCTTTCTCAACCTCAACCAAACCTTTGAAAAGTTTAAATAAAAACCTTTATATGCATGCTTCACGCCAGATATTTAATGTTAAGTAAATCAGCACTGTCCGTACTCGTGCTTCGCAGATAGTTTTGGGCTTCGTACCCAGTACAGCGTGAAAGAAAACCGGATACCATGCTCAGCTATGTGAAAAGTTCGTATCTAGTTACTAGCTCCCTCATTTTATTTTCAAAAAACTTACCTTCATTTATTTTACCTGCAGTATTTTCATCGTTTATACTCACAAGAATTCCTGAATCTCTTTTCTCTTTAATCAATGTTACATTGACTTCTTTTCCATAAATTTTTTCCACAGTTGTTTTTCTAATTAAACTGTTTTTGTCAAAATAAAGAATATGTTCGTCCTGTTCATTATGAATTGTTTCAATATTATTGCTACTACTTGCTTCTCCTTTTTCAGTTTGCTCCTCTTCTTTGATTTCCTTGCTTAATTTAATTGTCACCTTCTTTTTTCCTTGACTTTTGTATTTAATTACATGATACAATATTGCTTTAAACCATCTTTCTTTTAATTCAACGATAAAATCATCATATTTTTCCAACATCTTTTCATGTTCTTCTTCAATGTTTAACAGCCCTTTTTCAAATAATTTATCATTTTCGATTTTTAAATTCTTTATCTTTTCTTCCAATAATTTATTCTGTTTGTTTTGAATCTCCTCTGATTCTTTTCGCATATTTTTATAGTTTTCATATTCAATTCTTTTTAAATTTTCTCCGCGACTTTTTTCTCTGAATTCTTGGTATCTTCTCTTATTCAATCCTCTTAATTTTATCCGTTTTAATTTTTTATCAACTTCTTTATCATGATTGTATTTTAACTCGTCGAAATTGCTTCATACCATCTTTTCCTAAATTCCTCATCGTTCATCTCTTCCAATTCCTCTCTTTCATTTTTAACTTCTTCAATTAATTCAACAATTGCCATAGGTTTTTCTGATTCAATTTGTATTGTTGTCTCAGTGTCAAATATTTGGACAGAAATAAATTCACCATTCTTGTAAGGATCTCTAAAATCCAATTTTCCATCAGAGGTTGTCTTATAAACTTTGCCTGTTCTAGTCAAAGGAATTTGAGTATTAGCTTTTATTTCTTCCATACCATAGTAAATCATCTGAAATATATAATAATAACGATTTCTAATATTTTGAGTAATGAAAAATGATTTTTTAGTCAAATGATCAAAATTGACTAATAAACTGCTATCCATCGAATGAATTTTAAAAGACATTTTCTGATGATTTTCTTTGAAAATTTTTTTGTTTTGCTTTTTATTGAGAATAACAGAATCATATTTAATTTGTTTAATAAAATCACAAAAAATCAAATCAAAAGGAATTCCTATATTTTCATTTGATTCGAAAATTGTCATCCCTTCATACTTCGTTAATATTTGCTTTAAATGAGCATAATCAAAGGATTGAGGACGATTCATTGGAGCACCAAGGATGACCAAAGGCTTTTCATCTTCAGTATTTATGTCCAAAACTGCTGTATTATAGATCAAATTCAAAAATGATTTTCCTTTTTGATTTCCTTCTTTTTCATTTATATAATTTGATAAATTTTTTACTCGTTCCTTCAAAACATTTTCCATATTTTTTATTTTTAACACATCTTCTTTAGTAGGAATTCTTCCCAATGTTCTCTTTCTCTTTTTATTACCAAAAGATAATTTATCAAATCCAGAACCCAAAAAGAAACGTAATTTTGGCATCCATTTTGGATCAAAAAAGATAAATCGATTTCGTGTGTAATCTTCAGGACGATTATTTACAAGAGTTGCATTCATTCCCTCTAGAAATAATTAAATTTTTTCAAAAATAATTAGAATTACCCATAAAGAGTTCGAAGGCAGCATATAAACCAACTGGACCATCACCCTCCACAATTACATTTTTATATTCTTTTCTCATTCTTTTATTTTCCAAATGATGATTGTAGATTTTTACAATAATAGCTTTATCCATTTCTTTGCTTTGTATTTTCGATAAATTAAATAAAAATTTCAGCACATTTAAGGCGGTAAAATTAAACAACGATTCCTTGTAGTTTAACGAGGATGCTTTTTCCATAAAAGAGTAAATATCAATCAAAGAGCCTTCTGAACCTTTTGAATGCAAATCTATCATGAAAGTCTTGCAATTTATTATTATATTTATCAATTCCATGCAGCTTTCTCTATTAGACGAAGTAGAAGATTCCTTGAAATTTATAACTAAATGGCCAATTGAATGACGGTATTGAAAATAAATAAGACTATTCAGTTAGAATAAATACAGTATATATGTATATCACGGGTTGGAAGTCTTTACAAATTTCAATAGGGCATTTACGAATTACATACAAATTTTTTTTGCCATCTATTTGCAGTTCTAAACATTACCTTTTCTTCTAACATCTCATCAATATTTCTCTTTTTGACAATTTCATCATATTTTTTTAATTCATTAGCAATATCTTCTGTTGCATCAAGAGATATGTTAATATTTTTTAAATTTAGTTGAGCAAATTCGGCAACTTTAGTTACAAGTCTGACAAAAGCTTTATTAAATGTTTCGAAAAGGGTTTTATACTCCTCATGTTCTTCAAGATTTATATATTCCTCGAATTTAACAGCATCATTTGAGTATAAACCACCTCGAGGCATTCCAGTTGAATTATCTATCTCAGCAATTTGTTTTAATCGTTTAATGCGACTTTCTTTTAACACTCCATCTATACAAAATAATAAAAATTTTTCTAAAACAACAAATGACTCCAATTATAAAATCTATATTAGATTGCTTTCAGAAAAACATAGTTTCTGAACAGCGTGTGTGGTTTTAAATATTTATACCTTTATCGAAGTTTTTTGCTGCTTCGCCAACATCAAACTTTAAAGCGAAAATCAAGACAAAAATTATCCACAAATTTGTTTTGCCTCGCATTCTCTCTTACCACAAGGATTCTCAATAGAAACTTTTGTTTCTAATCCTTTTAATGAAGATTTTTTAATTAAAAAAATTTTTTTAAATAGGTTATATTCAGTTAAATTGAATGTGGATAGGTAAATAAATGCCGACTTTTATAATATCTATATTTTACTCTCAATGCTATCTCTAAATTGCCCTATTAAATAATAGTTAAATAAAATAGCATCGATTTCCTGAGTCTATATCGAGCCAAAGTCCTTTCTAAGGACAAATTTTAGCTCGTTGAGCTTTTTCTTGGCTCGCTGAGCTCTATCGGATGATATAGCTTGTTAAAACATTATAAAACAAATTAATTTTGTCGCGGATCGCTCCAAAGTGCATTCTCTTGCTCTAAGAGCAAGAGAAATAGTTTAGTTTAACAATTGGCTGGGAAACTTATTTTCTATTTTATCTTCCTCTTTTGCTACTATCTTGTATGTTTATAAAGCCTAATTTAGCACACTGCTTGGTGTTTACAGGGTGCGTAGAAAGTCCTTGCCCACACTCTTTTTGGCATAAAAATTTAATCAATCTCGTTTTTAGGTTGCTTTTATTTGGCCTTCAAAGTCACCTTATCTTAATACTTTGGAAATTTATGTTTGGACACTTTTGTAGCAAATGATTAGACGAAAAAGATAAAAAATTATTGAGAATCTGAAAACTTCAATAAAGCGTGCCCGGGCCCAAAAAAGTGAAATGACTGTGCGACCATCGTAGTCAATTTCCAGAAGTGTTTAGATGCTTGTATTTTCGCAAATTTTTCAAATTTTGCAAATCTTTTTTAATTTTCTAATAACACACATTCTTGTGATTTTATGTGTGAATTTATTTGGCAAAATTCCTCATGATTAAATTTTTATGCCAAAAAAAGTGTGGGCAAGGACTTTTTACGCACCCTGTATATGTTTATATAAGTTTTTTATGTTTAAATAAGCGGAACTCTTGCAAAATATCCTATTTTTGCATCATATCTCTATAATTTAATTATGCTTAAAACGGTATCACGACTTTTGCGCCGAGAACATTTGCGCCGCGACTTATGCGCCGCGACTTTTGCGCCGGGCGACTTTTGCGCCGCGACTCTTGCGCCGCGACTTTTGCGCCGGGCGACTTATGCGCCGCGACATTTGCGCCGCCATTGTTTAAAAAATCCGGATCCGAAAAATGCCGGATATCCGAAATTTTCAGTTCGGATATCGGATCCGAAGATTTCCAACTATTCGACAACCCTACTAAAGTGAGGTCCGGCTATAGTTATTGATATATTTTTAATGATAGTGGCGGCGCAAAAGTCGCCAGGCGCAAAAGTCGCGGCGCAAAAGTCCCCCGGCGCAAAAGTCGCTCGGCGCATAAGTCGCGGCGCAAATGTTCTCGGCGCAAAAGTCACGGAACCCTTAAAACAATTAAAATAAAAAAAATTTCAAAATTTCGAATTTATTTATTGTCCTAATCCCGATAATCGTATGATTATTTGTCCTTTATTAATAGTCTTGGCTCTTTTTTGGCTTTATCTTAGACGTTTCTTAGCTTAATTTTTGGCTTTTTCTTAGCTTAATTTTTGGCTTTTTCTTGGCTCATTTCTTGGCTTTTTAATTGCCCTTTTTCTGTTATATTCACTTATGAATGATTATTTGCCCTTATGATCATTCCTCCTCTTTATCTTAATTAGAGCTAAATCGAGAGGGAGACTTTAAAAGAAACAAAAACAAGGAAGTCTCAGAAAAATCCAAGATGTTTAAACACAAATATGACTATAGAGGAATAAGGAATAGATTTCATGATTTTAATTGCGAATACAACAGTGGAAAAATCAAGAATATAAAAACTAAAGATGATAAAAAGTTGAAAAAAGAACTACATCAATTAAATGACAAATATGAGAAGGGTGAAATAAAAAATATAGTTACTGAAGAAAATGAAAAAATAAAAGGAGAATTGAAATTATTTAATAAATATAAGAAAATAGAGAAGGAAATAAAAGTATTGGAAACTGAACTTGAAAGTTTAGAGGAGTCAATAAAATTGAAAGAAAAAATAAACGAAAGAGATGAAATGACGAAAAAAATAGAAGAAATTAAAGAAAAGAACGATAAAGAATTGGATGAAAAATTAAACATGATAGGAAATGAACAAAAGAAGATATGGGAAGAAAAACTTGAAAAGATAAAAAATGAGAATGAGGAAATTTTGAAAGAAAACAAGGAAATTAAGCGCAAGGAAATGTTGGAGAAATATGATGATTTTATTGTAGAATTAAAAGAAATGTGGTTTGGAGTTGTTTTTTATCATGTTTATGATAAAGTATACAAAAACGAAAACAAAAAGAAGATATCAATTAAAATAACTAAAGAATCGGAAAAAGGAAAAGCAAGTACTGGTAGTAATATTAAAACTTTTCAAGATGAAAAAGACGAATATATTCTTTATTTTAATGAAATTACTTTAATTAAAAAAACATTTTTGCCAGAAATTTATGGAAAAGAATATGCATTAGAATTGGTTAAAGGAAAAAAACATTCTGCAATTTTTGTACAAATAAACGGAAAAATTACTAAAGAAGGCAAGTTTTTTGAAAATCAATATTGAAACAAATAACTAGACATTCCTTGTTATAATTTTTAATCTTAAGTTACTTCAACAATAACTCCTTACCGTTGGTTAAGAACCGCTTTTTAATTTTTTACAGTGAGCAGTTTTAAAGCGCTGGCTGGGATGAGTCCATGGCCTTAACAAAACATAATAACTGGGCATATACTTATATTTACTTTTTTATTTGAAATTTTTTAAAGGTTTGAACGATGTTGATAACGCTGTTTTTGCTATCCAAAAATACGGAAAAAATAGCAAAAAAAAAGACTTATCAGAAATGTTAAACGAATCGATGAAAAAGCCTGAGTTAAATTAAAAGGTTGAAAAAAAGAAAAAATCGGAGAATGTAAAAAATGTAAAATTTGTAAAAGACAGATTAAACAAACAAAAAAAGGAAGAAAACACAATGTATTCAGCTAAACCTAAACGATTATTTTTTGTTTAATTTTTAAAGCAAACATTCAAAAAGATATCAGTAGTTAACCCACAGTCGGTGTCGTGGCTTTTTACTAATCCACTACCCGTCAAGTGGTGGAGGGGTCCGACAAAAACCAAAAGGGAGAGGGAATGCAGCGGTAAAGATCAAAGGGAGTGGACACTGTCGTGGGGGAGGAGGGGTCCGATAAAAGGGAGAGTGCATCGGCAAAGATCAAAGGGAAGTAGGCAGTGTCGTGGGGAGGAATGAAAAACCCAAAAGAGGGGTGGGTAATTTTAAAACATGCGGCTGGCAATAAAATCTTGCTTGTCTGTTAATAATCCTATAATATTTTTAGGGGTAGATTTGACGTAATCATGTAAAACGAAATGGATGAGTGATTAATCAGGGGAGAATGAATAATTTGCACTGTCGAGGGTGATGATTCGTGTACATTACTAAATTACACCCTCGTAAATATGTACCCATTATCATTTGATTACCCTAGATGTGATTACCCTGTCATTTGATTACCCTAGATGTGATTACCCTATCATGTGATTACCTTAGATGATAACGATGCAAGTGATTACCCAGATTGATATCTCAAGTGATTACCCTAGAAGTTACTGAAAGTTACACGGTGATTATTGTTTTAATAACGATTTGTTAGTGATTATGTTAATTAAAGTGATAGCTGATAATTAAAAAAAATTCTTTATTTTCAATCCCTAGTCTTTTTTTTGCTCCCTAAAAATTTTGCCTTTGTTTTTAATACCTTTTGTCAAGTTTTCAGATAATCGACCTTGACCTTTTGACTTTAATCCCTTTTTTATTGAATTTCTAAATTTTTTATTTTCTCTTTGATGTTGCCGATATTTTAAATTTATGCAAATTTTTATTTTAAAACCTCATTGAAGATGCCGCCTATATTTTAAAAATTTTAAAAATTTATTTTTCTTAAATTTATGCAAATTAAACTTTTAAAACCTCTTTGAAGTTGCCGCCTATAAAAAGTTTTGCCAAAAACTTTCATATAAAAACAAAGATTTATTTCTCATTTGTATTCACTTTAAAAAAACAATTTAAAATATTTATTAATTTGCTCCTCATTTTCTCTATTTTCAATAGGAGCTCTTTTTGCTCCCCATAAATTTTTGCTCTTTTTTCATAGGAGCTCTTTTCTCACACGAGCTCTTTTTTCAATAATGGACTATATTCCTCCAACAAAACGCGCAAGAGCGTTCTTTATTGATAACCTCCTCTCTATCAATCAATCAGGAGGAGATGCTTTACAATATATTGAGCAGCTTGAAAATACTACAAAATACATCAATAAATTCAAAATCACCAAAAATTACACAAAATTCCTTATTCAGAATATTCCGGCCGACCCTGAGGCCTTATTATCAGGAATATTCCAGCACTGTTTCAACGAAGCCATGAACAACGCAAGAAACAATGGACTTGAACCGGAGGAGCTGAGTTGCACAGTAACAAGTGAGTTATTAGATTCTGATATTTGGATACCCCTTAGGCCCTCATCACAAAACACCTTTAATACCCTGCTTAATCAATTTAATAAGGTTTCTCAAAGTAAAAAGCAGGCCGGAGTTACACTTTGGGGTAAACCCTTTTCAGTTAATGTTATGGTTGTTGATAAGAAGAATTTGGTCAATGAGAGTAACATTATTGGAGGAGCTCCCCGAAAAATTGCTCCTATTCATCACCAAATCAAGGAGAAGAATATCATCAAAATCAACAACAACGATGGTTATTGTTTATTTTATTCTTTATTAGCAACACTTGTGCGGCTTATTGGAAACATGTCTCGTTCTCAATTTTACGACTATATACATGGGAGGTATGGATCATGTGGACAATTTAAGAGAGAGACACTGGAGCTGATGGAGCAAGTTGGAGCTCCTCTTGGTCGAGAGGAGTACAACGCTGAGGAATGGGTTCCTCCCGTGGTTGACTTTTGGAATGGAATGTATTCAGGCCAGTTTTGTTTTAAAGTTTTCATTTTTGATTGTTTGGGAGCATTGATATTCCTGTGCTCCCAATGAAAGTAGGAGAAGATGATGAGAGGTTGCTCTTTCCTCTCTGCTCTCAATGTGCAAGGGAGCACCCTGAAGGAGTAAATGAAAATTACTCCTGCCCGCACTCAGACCAACAACGTGGATGGCTAAGTACATGCACATCACTTGAATTGAATGCAGCTCTAGAGGAAGGATACATCGTCACCAAGGTGTTCAGAGTATTACAATATGACAGCTCCGACGACAAATTATTTGCTCCATACATTTCTGAATTTATGGCAGCAAAAATTCACTCTTCAGGGTTTGATAGCTCTATGAAGGGGAATTATGAGGAGGAGGAGAGGTTCATCAAGGAGTGCAAAGAGAAATTTGGAATTAATATAGAGAGGAGCAAGATGGGACCAAATAAGGGGAAACGCACACAAGCGAAGTTGATGCTCAACAACTTATGGGGGAGATTTTCTTTAAGGAATTTTGGGTTGTCACAATGTGCAATTACAGACAACCCAGCAGAGCTACACAAATACTACAATGACAAATCAGTTGAAATCACAGGCCTAGATGAGCTCACACCAGATATTCTACTCATCTCTTACATCAAAAAGAAAGATTGGATTGAGGAGCACAATTGCTCCAATGTTGTCATCTCCTTATGGACAACTTCAGCTGCGCGAATTCATTTGCTGCGAGCAATGCAAAAAGTCGTCCGAACTCCTGGGTGCTCTTTGCTCTACACAGACACCGACTCCCTAATTTTTGCTCATCCTAAAAACTTATGTCCTCTTCCTTTGGGCCCTCACCTGGGAGATTTAACCGATGAGTACCCCTCTCACAATATATTGGAATATTGTTGTGGAGGAGCAAAGCAATATGGTCTCAAACTTCAACGCAAAGGACAACAAGAAGCTGAATATGTTTTAAAAGTCCGAGGAATGACTCTAAACTACGATGTGCTCAACAATCAAGGATTACAATACAACACATTCAAGGAGCAGGTAATTAATTATGCCAGAACAGGAGAAGTTAAACAAATTGATATTATTTACCCAAATTTTTTGCGGTCATCAATTAAAGATGGTCGTGTCACTTCACAACCCCAACATAAAATGTATAAACCTGTAGTCAGTAAGGGAATTATCCGCCCTTCTGACTTTTCTATTCTCAATTATGGATTTATAAATAATCGCCATCCTCGTATTTCACCCCCATAATTTATTTATTTTTTTGTCAATTTGTCACAATATTTCTTGGAGCCGGAAAGTAGTCAGGGGTACTCCTTATCTTCTCTATACCAACCATTGTTCAATGAATATCAAGTGTGCCATTCACACATTGTGAGGTCGTCCTCTCATTGTTTACGATGATTATCAACATGTGCCATTCACATGTTGTGAGGCATACCTCTCATTGAGATACAGTGGTAGTGGACTTAGTAATTCTAACATCCCTGGTCGAGTTAGATGAAGGAGTCGAATGGCGAAGCCGGTCTCCTCCCCTCCCTCACTTTTTTTTTCAATTATAATTTTTATTGTTTTTATTTTGAAATAAATTTTTTATAAACAACTTGTGCAAATTTAATTTTTAAAAGTAGTAGATTTTAGGGGTAAAAGTGCATAATTAAGAAACTAGTGAGCATAATTTAAAGTTTGAAATAGGTGATTTTAGGGAGAAAAGTGCACAATTAAAGAGAAAGAAATTGCAAAAAGCATATTTTAGAGTTTGAAATTGTTGATTTTAGGGAGAAATGTGCATATTTTAACAAAAGAAAATACAATTTTTAAATTTTATTAAAATTCATGAATTTTATGTATGCGTGCGTGTTTTTGGCATGCGCGTATATTTTTTAGAGACGCATGTATTTTTGACTATACAAAATTTTTATTCAAAACTAAATTAATTACAATTAATTACCAAATATCAATATTATTGTCTTCATCTTTTTTCAAAATAATTATTGGACTCTTTGGCTCCTCTGATATCGTTAGTTTGTTTGATATATCATTGGAGAGTTGATTCAACCATTTTCTTGCCAATCCTTTTCTTCCACAAATTCAAGCAATTCCAAAGGATAAAAACGATCCTCTCCTCCAAATGGAATACGCTCAATAATGCATTGTAGGTATGGGTAACGTAGGCGAATCCGGTGACGAGCATAAAAGTGTGCAGCAACACTCACATTATATGGAAAAGGTAACCTCCCATAAGCTACGAGAGAATTTCCTCCATGTCGAGTAAGGCCATCTATAAGAAAAGTTTTCTTAAAGCCATTTTTATCTTCATAGGTCGTTTGAACCTTACGACCAAGGAGCTCCTTTAGAATTAGCACATGGTTATCAGGATGATTGAGGTGATCTCTTAAAGATTTTACAGAGCACCCCAAAATTCTAGTGCACTCGTCAATTACTTTATTAGATGAGGAATGAGAATTCATTTTTTATTGAATGATTTTTTCTCAAAAATTCCTCTCCTTTTATACCCCAATTTTTGATATTTTGAAAGTTTACATTTTGATAAATAGGTCAAATTTTTTGATTTCCATA